AAAAAAAAAAAACAAGAACTCCGGGAAAAAAGTGGAGTTAGTAACATGCATTCAATAACAGAATGAGTGCAGAAAGAGGAGGGGAGTTCAGTGCACCGGAATCCGATAGTCTAGGCCTATAGCAGCATAACTAAGGGATGGTTCAGGACTCACCTGATCCAGCCCTAACTATAAGCTTTATCAAAGAGGAATGTCTTAAGCCTACTCTTGAATGTGGTGAGGGTGTCTGCCTCCTGAACCACAACTGGAAGCTGGTTCCACAGGAGGAGCTTGGTAACTGAAGGCTCTGGCTCCTGTTCTACTTTTTAGAGACTATAGGAACCACAAGTAGCCCAGCATTCAGAGAACGTAGTGTTCTAGTGGGGTAATAGGGTACTATGAGCTCTTTAAGATATGAAGGGGCCTGACCATGAAGAGCTTTATAGGTGAGGAGGAGGATTTTAAATTCTATTCTACATTTTACAGGGAGCCAATGCAGAGAAGCTAGTACAGGAGAGATGTGATCTCTTTTTCTAGTTCTCTCTCTCTCTCTCTCTCTCTCTCTCTCTCTCTCTCTCTCTCTCTCTCACCACAACTGGTCGAGACAGGCGACCACCCACCTAGAGTTAAAGGGTCTGTACAAGGTTTCTGCCTTTTAACAGGCAGTTTTTCCTTGCCGCTGTCTCCAAGTGCTTGCTCATGGTGGTACTGTTGGGTCTCTGTAAATAATGTTATAAAGAGTTCGGTCTAGACCTGCTCTATTTGAAAAGTGTCCTGAGATAACTTCTGTTATGAATTGGCGCTATACAAATAAAATTGAATTTGAATTGAATTGAAAGAAAACATTGCAAAAACTTTCATTCTGACTCCTCGGTTGATGTCTTTTGAAAGACAAAGCTGTTAAATTGAAATTTTGTTTGTTTTACGCTCAGTGGTCAGAGGCTGAAAACCAGTCAACAGACAAATTGTGAAGAAAAACAAGTTGTTACTGTTACAAAGTGATACATGGGGACCTTGACACATGTTGTTTATCAATCTGAATTACATAACACACAAATACACACAGTTTAAAGACAAATAACTTGAAAACATCTGAGATCAGAAATGTATCAGGAGACAAATAGAGTTGAAAAGAGCCCAAAAAAATATATTTTGTCATTATACAACAAAAATAAAGACTCTTAGAACATAGCAAATAATTAAGTTAAATGTAAAAAAATAAAATAAATAAGGCAATATATGCAGTTAATTATATACATATGTACATACACGTATACAGCCAGGAAAACAATCTGCAGTGCATCTTTTTAAATTGCATCTGGGGGAATGTAAACAGCAGCAACCAGATAGAGATGATAATATGGTTACGAAATGGTCTGAGGCAGGACTGTGAAGATCTTTTTAGAGTTTACGAATATGCGTCACAGTGGTCACATGACGGGCAAAAAACATGACCTTGATTACATTTTGTATTTCTGCAGCCCAGCGGCGCCTCAGCTAACCTCCGGTTGCCCGTCACCGCCCCTCAATACACAGCAAATCCCTTCAAAAAAGGAATGCAGGTCTTGTTTACTGCGAACAGGTAAAGGCGTGAAATCCAGGCCGGCCTCCGGGGTGTCGCTGATCGCCGCCGGCTGTGGAAACCAGGACACTTATTAAGGTTAACTATTCATCTCCTTGTCTTCTTTTGTTCCTCAGCCTCTTTCCTGTGGCTCGGTTTACCTTTGTGTACCTTCTGCTGTTTAGATTTTTCAGAATAAAAGCTGGCCTGGGGGTATAAAGCATCCGTCTCTGGTTCCAGGGACGACTTTGCTGTTGGAAAGTGCCGAGGGAGGGCGCGGCCTTCTCAAACATGCCTTTTTGTGATGGTGGTCCGAAAACTGGCATGGTGCCTGCTGCTTTGTGTTCGGACCAGCTTCCTTCACTTCTCATGAACCGTTGTAGAAGGATTAGTCAATTTGACTGATACAGTTTGTGATGTGCAGTCGATGTTTCTGCTTAAACGCTTTGATAATTTGTGTTTATGATCTTAAAAACTTCTAAAAAAATAAATATTCTGATCCAGATTAATTAACTTTCATCAAGCAAAAAGTTAGCTGGTTGCAGTATAGCCCATAAAACTTGAACAGGAGAATTAAATTAAACGATCAAGTATTTTTCTGTTGACGGTCTAATCCAGTGGTACCCAACCGCAGGATCCCTGTCTATGAAGAAAACAAAAAATTAAGTAATTAAAAAAAAGAAATTGTTATTTTTAAGATGTAGATTATTATTTAAGATCTAAACTCTGAAGACCCCAACATAAGCTATAGTCACTGAGCCTTCACTCTCATAAACAGAAAAGTTCAAAAAACTAAAGAGCTAATAGAACAATGAGAAGAAAACACTGAATTTTTCAAAAAGTACGCCTATTAACTATGTATGATTATTACATTTTAAATAAATACATAAAAAAACAAGGAATTGTAGAAAAATATCAGGAAAACTCATCTCTGATCAATATTCACAGGAAATAATCTGCTCAGAATTCATCCAAATCGCTTGTTTCCACTCTACTTAGATTTTATGGAAATCTTAACAATTTCATCCATATTTAATTTGGCCATCATAAAAAATCCGACATGAATATAAAATATCGCACCAGAAACTTTGCGGTTGTATCTTGTGTCACAGCACCACCAGATGCCCTGAATAACAACTGTGAGTGCTTTTAGGCGAAACTTCAACTACACTGTTTTGTCTCCTTTTTAGTCCACCTTTAGTTTCTCAGCAGTTAAACTGTTGCTGTCTGCAGCGAGTCTTCTCTTGGCAGTCTGAGTTCCTTATCTAACATCGACACCAAAAGTGACAAAGGAAAGACAGAAGCAGAGAAGAAAGGAGGAACAGGGAAAGGGAGATCAAGAGATGGAGGTCAAGAGAGGGAAGAAGAGAGGCCTCAAATCTTTAACTTCAGCAAAAAAAGGGCTTTACCGAAGTAGAAGTACTTGAGTATCAGAGATGATGTTTAAGTTGTGCCAAAACAGTAAAAGTCATGTTTGACAGGAGATTAGGGTGATAACTATCATTTTACACTGGTTTGTTTTATGTGAATCAGTTTTACATTTCAGCCAACAAATGTTGTCCATTTGTTTTCTCTCATGTTTGTAATTAGTATTAATATCACGTATCCAGATAATCCCATGAGGTGTTATTATAGAATGAAGTCATTGTCCTGTTAAATGTGTTAAAAAATGAAAGTAGGCTGCTCATTGTGGAGCTTTCAGTGTTACATTACTGTACTGCTGAACAGTTTCTTGTGCCAACTGAGCTTTTTGTATTGAGGCTGAAACACCATCTGATAAATATGTATGAAGTAAAAGAGTCAGTATTTCTTTCTAAAATGTAGATGTTGAAAAGTAGAAAGTCTTTAAAGAAAAGAACCAGAAGATCTAAACTTGACTGAAATCCCATCTGAACACTGACAGAATGTCATGAATCTGGTTACAGGATACGTGTCTGGTGATATTCTATATTTGTCTTGTCATAAATCTCATGTTCAGACAATGACTGTATCTACTAACTAGTATTGTGTTTATATCAAAGCCTGATCTTTGATGCGTTCCATTTGAACTGGGATGTCAGAAATTTCAAGTGGAACGCCTCATAAAGTCGGAAGAACCTTTCACCAACAAAAAAATCAAACTCAAAATCCAAGATGACTGCATCAACTACTTGAAAGTTGTAGTAATATTTTTTATTAGCACTTCTGTCTTGTTTCTCATTAAATCAGATCCGTTCACCTTTTGTCTGTGGACATGTTTATATGAGCAAAATACAGCATACAGACAGCAACAGTAAAAAAACAAATGCCAGTAAACGTATCATTTTAATTATATAAATTCATCTAAACTTTACTGGTTCCACACAAATTTGAGGGGATATAATATTTTTTTTTAATTTTCTGACACCCCTAGTTCCAATACCATGAACACACACAATGTCGTTTACAGCACTCCAAGTTAACGCAAATTTATCCGATACCTGTGAATTCTGTGCAATGCTGCAATTTCATCCAATCACCGCAACGTTTCCCCAAATTTCACCAATTATTTTCAATTGTTTCCAGCAAAACGTTGAGCCATATGTCACCAAACTCACTCCTTTGTCTATAGTTGTGAAGATGCAGACATGTCCCACAATGACCCTCCAAACACAGCAATTTTATTCTCACTGGAACAAGTTGCGTTTGATTTTTATTAAATTCTACACACACAAAAAATCGGTTTCTGCAATGTTAACTTCCTCTTGCAGTTTTCTAAACTTTTTTAGAAAAGCTGCAGAGAAATTAGACAACAATCCCCCTCAAAAAAAGCCTGTGAAATCCTGGAGTGACTAATTTAATTTCAACCCCACATTCACTGTCCTGCTGCTCCAAATACTCACTAGTGCACCGAATGTGAATTCCTCCACTACTGAAAATAGTCCCCAGCAAATGCACTATTTCCTCTTTTTTGTTAGACAAAAACAACAAAAATATGACCCTTTTTCAACATAAAACTATTTATAAACTGCGTATTTAAAGATTTGCATCTCCAGGAGGACAAATGGGGCTTGGAACGGAGAGCCACAGACAGGAAGAAAGTACAACACATTGTTGGTCTCCGATGGTTTAATTGCTGCTTTCCTCCCTGACAAGAACAAAACTGCAGGGAAACAATACTGGAAATCTTCTGAAAGAGCAAAATCTTGGACTTTTCAATCTTGGTCAAATTAAACAAATTCCACCAGACAGACAGGATGGTGAACAAAGAAGAGCTGTGAAAATATTCAAGTAGGAATGTTTGTTTCTGAAACGATGATGAGAGAAAAAGGAGGGTGGAGAACGATGGAGAGATAAACTAGAGGCGTCTCTTCTTTCTGCTCTGAATATATTTTTGCTGTTTCACGGTGAAAGAGGTCACCTCGCAGGCAGAAGGCCCAGTTCTTCTTCAGCAGGACAATAAAGACGAGCCTCCCCTCCCTCCCCCGCGTCCTCAGCCTTTGTCTGTGGGCCCGGCAGGTGAGACGGAGCCTGAAAGATGTTTTGTTTCGGGCGAGGTTTATAAAATGATCAAAGCCTCCTCGATTCTGCTCATCTGTCCACAAATCCTTCTCCAGACGATGCTGCACAAGTCAGACGGAGCGGTGAGTCCCAAAACACCTCAGAGGATTTAATTTTTTTAAGTCTGGGAGCAGTTCAGGTTGGCTGGAATATAATTTAGTTTTATTTAATTTTTTTTTTTTTATCCAGGACTAACTGGTTGTTCAAGTAAAAGAGCAGAAAACAAATGCAAAGTTTTTAAAAATTCTCAAAAAGTTAAACAAAATTCTTATTTCTAATTCATCATTTAATTTTTTTTCTTGAGCTTATCAATGACTAAAGTAGGTACAGTTTTGATCATTAATAGATATATTTAATACATTAGTGGAAGATGTGCTGGCTGTCTCTTCTTCAACCAGGCTATTTTTCTACAGTACAGTTTCTATCTGCCTTTAAAAGCTGACCTTTTAAGGTTATAGGTGAACCTAAACAGGACCTGGGGTTTGGGTTGTCTTTGGGCTGAAGGTTTTGGAGCATTTCGAGCCTTGAAGGTTATCCATCTCAGGGAGTGAAATCTGTAAAACTATGATTGCATTTGCATTTACAAAAAATATACAATTATTATTGCATTATCTGCTTATACCCAGAAACTTGTTGATGTTTAAGTTTTACATAATGTTTAACAGTAGGTGGGTTTTTCCAGAAATGTGGGCTTTTCTTCTGTGCATGCATCTCTACTCTAGTTTGCAAACTGTTGGCTAGTTGGTTTGTTTACAATGCAGAGAGCTGACAGTAAACAGGCAAACTGTGTTAAAAACCTGCATTCTTTTGGACTTGTATACAGCACTTTCATATTTTTTTATGGATGTTGAGACTTCACAAAACACTAAGGAGATACATCTTAGAACACAGGACAGTATGTAACTGGGTTAGAGTGACTCTCAAACAGGGGTAAAGAGACACTGCCTCTTTAACTTTTCACTCATTTGAGTCTTCACGTATGGCTGTATATAAGTGTTGCTGTGAGTCCATCTAAAGATGCTGACTAAACCTTACAGAAAGACAAAAGAGCATACTTTGATTGCTTTATTTAACAAATTGCCAGCACAGACCTAATCACAAATATCCAAACGGAATATACTGTTTAATTGTGTGGATGTAAATGTAGTCATTGTGGGCGCAGCTTTAGACGCACTGTCCATTTAGAGAAGTTCATGACTTTGTGTATATGATGAAAGTTTAGACCCCATTATCACTTAGCTGCCATAAGTAACTTTTCTAAAAATAACTGCCATATTTGCTGAGACATTTATTTTTATATCCTGACAGTAGTGCATGAAACAATTCAGGTTCCTCTTAGTGCTCCTAATGTCATTAGCAAGAATCCACTGGGCCTGGACGAAAACAACCAATCAGAGCCAAGAAAGATAGTTGATTGATTGACGCTTTCAGTCCCGTGCAGTGAGACTCAACAACTAACTATCTTCTTCAGACACTTGCAGTTTGTGTCAGAAACAAGCTTTTTTTAAAAAAAAACAATCTGACTTGCTCTGATTTGTATCTTACCTTTCCTCTGGGCTCCCATCATTCTTATCTTCCTCCAGATGTTGTCGAGGCTGCTGGGACTCCTCGTTCTCTCCTCCCTTTGCTTAGCCATGCTTGTACCCAATGAAGACTCCAACGAAGAGGATGGCTCTGCTGCGGACCCCAACACCTACCACTTGCAAGCCTCAGGCGAGGGGGTGTTGTCTGAGTCGTCTAAGACATCTGAGTCATCTGAGTCATCTGAGTCATCTAAGTCATCTAAGAATACAAACAACTGGTCACCTGCCTCCCGCAGCGGCCTCCTGCCTATGCCCCCCACAGGACTGCCATGGCCACCTGGTGGCAACATGACTGATGGCTCTAACAACATGCGGATGCTCGGGGCCACCGACCCGGAAATGCCCCCCATGCCCGATACTACAATCTGTGACATGCTGTTGAACGCACCAGTACCACCACCTATCGACCAGATTCCTTTTTTCTGCCTCTGTTCGCACTGTAAGGGCACCGTAGGGCCCAAAGGAGACCGTGGAGACCGGGGCCTTCCAGGTGTGTAGATTGCTTTAAATGACCTTCGTGAGCTTTGGTGAAAACAGTGCATTTGAGCTGCAGTTGTGGATTACTTCTTGAGACAACTGTTGTGTAGCAGCTTGTGTTTGTGCAATTCATGAATTATGATTTCAATAAAGTTAAACTTTTTTCTTGTTTTATAACTGCTTTTGCCAATCGTGTTAATGTTTGATGAAGATTGACTGTAATCTTTGATCAGGTGCACCTGGGAGTCCGGGGATAAGAGGAATGACAGGCTTCAAAGGTCGTCAAGGATTCACTGGCCCTCAGGGGATGAAGGGTGAGTAATGACCTCTGTCACTTCACTGATCTTGAGTGTTCAATATCACAAATATCTTAGATTTGACAGGAAACAAGATTACAATGATATGAGTTGGGTATCAGTTTCATCTCTGAACATCCAACAGAGAAAGGTCCTGGAATATCTTAGCAGGAGAAACTACTATCCTAGATCCATCAAAAAGAAAAAAGAACCCACTGTCCAACAACTCTGAAGTTTCTTCTTCTGGATGAGAAAGACTATGTGGAACTTCTTTTTAAAAGCCACTTGGTGTAGAAACATTATGTGATTATACAGTCCTTTCAGGATTTCACAGGCCTTTTTTAGGATTTATTGGGATTGAAATACCTGACTTCACAGCAGGTTTTTTTAAAAAACCGTGAAGCATTTGTCATTGCTTTTAGGATTTTTTTTAACAAAACTAGTTTAATTGTTTTTTTTTTGTATAAATCATTAAACCAAAGGCAAATTGTTCCAGTGAGAATAAATAATCTTTTACAAGTAACTTTACCAAAAAGTCTCTGGTTCTGAGGTTAAATGTTAAATGTTTAGTGACAAATCGCTCCCCATTTTGCAAAGGAAACTACAGTCATTGGTCAAATTTGCGGAAAAGTTGCATTGATTGGACAAAATTGCAAGTCGTACAGAATTCATCGAGATTAGTTGAATTTCTGTTTATGCAATTCTCTGTAATTGCAATCAAAACTTCCAATTGCAACAGGCCAACGGATCTGACCATGCTTTTTACTCAAAACAGGAATTTACTGCATCTGCATCAAAAGTTTCTGATCCTGATTTTCATCTTTCTTATGATAATTTCTGTTTTTGTCTGCAGGTCAAAAGGGAGACCTGGGGGAGAAAGGGCAGCCTGGAACTGCCGGTTTAACCGGGATGAAGGGCGAGCTAGGCTTCAAAGGTCTGCTGAGATGACTATATGTAAAAGATCACTCTATGTAAAGGGTCATTTTTGTTACATGGATGCTATTTTGTGATCTAACATTGCAATGGTTGAGGTTTGGCACACAAATCACATTGTGGAAAATTATGAATCATGGTAATATATTAAGATTGAAGAATATTTAGTTTGAGGGTAGACTGATTTCTATTAGGACTCTAAGGTTTTTTGGGGCCAAGAACAGCTCATCCAGGATTTTATGTCCTTAAGACATGTTTGTAATTTAGATAATTGATTAATTTCATCGGGCTTGATCGATAGATATAACTGCGTATCATCTGCATAACAGTGAAAGTTAATGGAGTGATTTCTAATAATGTTGCCTAAAGGGAGCATATATAAAGTAAATAGTATTGGTCCAAGTACAGAACCCTGTGGAACTCCATGACTTGCTGTAGTATTTATTGAACATTCACCGTTAACATGTACAAACTGCGAGCGATCTGATAAATATGACTTAAACCAGCTTAGTGCGGTTCCTTTAATGCCAATTTGATGCTCAAGTCTCTGTAAAAGAATATTTTGGTCAATGGTGTCAAATGCAGCACTAAGATCTAATAATACAAGTACAGAGACAAGTCCATTGTCAGAAGCAATCAGAAGGTCATTATTAACTTTGACCAGAGCTGTGCTATGATGAAACCCCTGGGTCAAGAGTGGGCTTTTTAAGAAGGGGTTTAATTACAGCTACTTTAAAGGACTGTGGTACATATCCTGATAATAAAGAAAGATTAATCATATCCAGCAAAGAAGTGCCAATTAAGGGAACAACTTCTTCAAGCAGCCTAGTTGGGATCGGGTCTAATAGACAGGTTGATGGCTTCGATGAAGAAATTATTGAAGTTAACTGATGAAGATCGATAGCAGAAAAACAGTCTAAATATATATCTGAGTTTACATTGGTAAAAATCCCTGAACTTGGAGAGCCACTGGTAACTGTTGATGGCAGTTGGTGATTAATTTTCTCCCTAATAGTAATAATTTTATTATAAAAGAAGCTCATGAAGTCATTGCTACTTAAGTTTATGGGGATATGTGGCTCAATAGAGTTGTGACTCTCTGTCAGCCTGGCTACAGTGCTGAAGAGGAACCTAGGGTTATTCTTATTTTCTTCTATTAGTGCTGAGTAATAGGCTCCTCTGGCATTACAGAGGGCCTTTCTATAAGTTTTAAGATTATCTTGCCAAATTGAGCGATATTCTGAAAATTTGGAAGAGCGCCATTTCCTTTCAGATTTCCTAGCTATTTGCTTTAACAGGCGGGTTTGGTGGTTGTACCAGGGTGCTATTCTCCTATGTTTTAATCATTTTTTAGGAGCGATAGAGTCTTTCAAGTGTACCCCATTCATCAGCAGATGCTTCCCCTTTTACACACCATTGTTTTAAACATTTGTTGGATGTCCTGCCACATGTTTGGTACCCAACCCTAGTCAGAGGACTTCAAATAATACTAAAATATTAACTACTTGGTTAAGTTTAGGGAACAACTTTGGTCATGGTTGAAAGAATGTTGATTACTGGTAAGAACAGGAACCAATGTTTGGTTGACCCAGCCATGCCTTCCGAAACATCATTCCCCCCCAAAAAACTAACACCACAATTAAGGTTTGTGCACAAAATTACTGTAGGCTTAGGCTTGATATTGTTAAAAGAAATCAACCCTGACTGTTGGTCGAAAACAGGAACCAATGGTGATCATGGTCAGTCAGACATTTTGTTGAGTCATCAATTCGCTCAGGTCTCCTACCTTTGTGAACTTTGTGGCTGTTTGACTTGACACAATGTCATTCTTCAGGTCATAATTCCTACGACAACTACAGGGCTTTGTTCCTTTAATGTAAGCATATTTTATGTTGTTTAGGAGTATTTGCTGAAATGACTGCTTGTGTTGCTCACAACAGTATTCTACAGAAACAAATGCAGTCTCAGATGCCTCATGAATTGCATCCTCCAGAATCCTCCACACAGAAAATAAAGAACATTGAACAATGGATCCTTGCAAAGAAAATTATATTTGAAAGTTTGGTAATTTAGATAAGAGAGGTTTAGACGTTAAGATGCTTCACCATTTGACTTCATGTCAAAATGTAATGCACATATTCTTGATGTGTGTTTTCCAGGGGAAAAGGGGGACAGAGGACTGGTAGGCCCTGAAGGTCCACAGGGCCCCCAGGGAGAAACTGGCACTTGCCCTGCCTCCTGTGAGAGTGTACAGGGTCCACCGGGTCTACAAGGCACCCCAGGACCAGCCGGAGCCCGGGGCCTGCCTGGTGTCGAGGGACCTATGGGACCCAAAGGTCTTAAGGGTGACAAGGGTGACCTGGGTAGAACAGGTGACCCGGGACTGAATGGCCAGAAGGGTGATCAAGGTGAGCAGGGGGTGTGTGAGTGCACAGATGGGGCAGACGGCAATGATGGGAGACCAGGGGAAAATGGTGCTAAGGGGGACAAAGGTGACACTGGTCCTATGGGCATACAGGGCCCCATGGGGCTGAAAGGCAATATGGGTAACATGGGTCTCACAGGTCAGCCTGGGCCCTGCACCTCAGCAATCCAATCGGCATTCTCTGCATGTATCAACCAGTCATTTCCGATGGAAAACTTGCCTGTTCCTTTCCAACACATCTTTACCAACAAACAGGGGCACTTCAACCCATCCAGTGGCATTTACACAGCCCCTGTCAATGGCACATACGTGTTCTCCTTCCACCTGGCGGTTGCCGATAAGACTCTTAAGGTCGGCCTGTTCCACAACTTCTACCCTGTAGTCAAATCAACAGAAACAACTGACCACTCCACCACCAGCCAGACTGTAGTCCTCCACCTCAAAATGGGAGATAGGGTGTGGCTGCAGGTGAAGGACGGCACCACCAACGGCATGTACACCGACAGGGAGAGCAGCAGCACGTTCGCTGGGTATCTTCTGCACCCTGACTCCTGCGAACTGCCTGTGGGCCGCACTTTCACGCCGTGGGGCCCAGATGATGATGAAGATTCAGTTTATAGCTGGAATGGTCCTATTCGCACCACCACCCCTTCACCATAGTAGGCTCCAGTCAGTCAGTCAGTCAGTTGCACAATTAGAGACAAAGCATCCACACACACTCAATCAAACACTCAGTGTATTTATAATTGCAAGTTTTAAAGGAGGGGTATTCTACAAAAGCAGAATTGTTAATTTCTGAGAAGTTACTGTAGCACTTTGAAAGTTACATAGCTTGTAGTCTCACAATACCAGATGATTGGAGATCTCACCACCTATCAATCGTCTGAGGATTTATAAATGCAAAATAGTTTCTTGGACGATGGCAGAAATGTACACCCTTTGTACCCTTTGTAACAAAACATTAAAAATGGAGGTCCTGACCAACGTTATATGGTACAAGCACACGACTTTCACATGTCACCACCATAAAGACTTTGGATTGGTTCTGCAGTGAGGGTTTTTTTTAAAAAAAACTCCTCACTGTTGGTACCTAATAAAATTGTGTTTTCCAAACCAGCCAATCAGAACTGCCCCTAAACATGATGTCTTACAGGAAGCAAGTGATAATATTCAAAATTCTGTCTAAATCTAGGTTATTCAAAAGCAACAGAACTAATAGTAAGAGTGCTGATCAACTTTTTTAATGGCGTTGCTAGTGGGCAATGACTTGAGATTGTCATCTGTGGTTTTCGGAGAAATAACTTGACAACTGTTGGATGGATTCTCCTCAAGATGAATTGTAATGACTTTCATAGTCCTCTGACTTTTCATTTGAATTTTTGAATTTTTTTTTTCTTTCTTTAAAAATGTTATATTTGAATTTTAATTGTTTTGTGTTTTCTATATCAGAGTTCTGGAGACCACAACAAAAACAACAAAAACATGGAGAAACTATAAGAAAATACCCCCCCTTTAAATGTGGAGATAAATTCACTCTTATGATTCAACTCACTAAATATGAAAATGCACGTAGGCTCACATGTGCCAGCTTTACAAATGCATCTGATCATGCACTTGATACACTTAATAAATGGCTAGATCACCAAGCTGGCTGCAGAGTTCTGTAGAGGTTCTAATGTCAAATTTTATAAAAGCACTTTGCATCCTCAGAGTACATTTATTTTTAATCCTTGAGATCAGTTTGCTGCAGTTTAGTTTTAGAGCCTTTATCATTTTGCCTTTTCAAATGTTAATGATGCATAAACTTTGATGTGTTAGAAAAATATGAATTATATTAAAATTGCAACCAAAGTGGCTGCTTCGATCACGAGTCCTCCGACATTTTATTTAAGTCATTTTATTTCAGACAAAAGCGACAGTGTCTGAAGTAGAGTTTGACAGACTTCAGAGAACCTACATCCTTCTCACTGGGTGTTTACAGTAACAGATAAGAAACATCTCATACATTGTTTCCTCCGTGGCAATATATAAATATTCAGTTTCACATCCTGGTATAGTAAATCTTTAAGTTTGCTCTGCTACAACAGCTATACAGTCCAAAGAGAGAGTCCAAAATAAAAATACAGCCCTTTAAAATATTTACAATGCAGTTTTATCCCCAAATTCAATTTTAAACATCAAGGTCTAGATAAGTAATTCTTACTTAAAGTAATCCATAAAAGTTATTTTTCTCTGTACCTGCTTTCAATCAGCAGAGATTGTAATAGGAATTTTAGAATATTTTTTGATAGAAAATGTAAATATGTGAATTGGCTCCGTGTGTTACAGTAAAATCTGAAGGAATTCTTTGAGACAAGTTTGATCAGTTGAAGAGCTTTAAATGGTGAAGGAGCAGTTGAGCAGGTAAGGAAGAACGCTTTGAAGGAAACAAAATAGTGGAGAAACCAAGAGGGCTCAGGATGAGGAATTGACCCAGGTCCAGGTAGGGTCCTGTTTAGAAAGCCATGGGTGTGATGTGTTAATGTGTTGTAAACAAGGTTAGGAAATTGAAAAAGTCTCCCCAAAACGAATTAAAAGTTAAAAACAGCCATCCAGTTTAAATTTAAGGACAGAAATCCTGTTTTGTGAAATGAACATGAATAAAATAAATTAACTTGTTTCTAATAAAAATGCACTATTTAGATACCAGTGCCAACAATAAACATGACTGCACAGAGTCACTGCACAGATTATTCTATTAATGTTTTTTTTAAATTTTGTCATGAACTAACATAAATTGTTAAGATGTTTATGGTGGGTTTGTTTTGCATCGTAAGACAAACTTAAGCCTTAAATCAATAGAAATGGCTGAATTGTGTGACAGCCAATCCGTTATAAAACAGGTGAATGATGCAGACGGTGATCAGACTCTGGCATAAGGCGGATTAAACTGAGGTGTTCAAGTAGTTGTGTGTCACATCTGTTTGTGCCTCAGTTTTCTGTGTCTGTGCATTGTAATTTTCTGTCTGAAATTAAAAATCCTCTCCTGAGGTTTGTGTTCAACTTTTTCTTCAGCAGTTTTATTTTTTTTTGCATAATTTATACTATCAATACTATCAGATCAGTGTATTCTTGGACCCAGGCAGCTTCTAAGGTCCCAATTTTCTCAAATTCAGAGCCAAAAAGAAATTTTTCTTCTATATTTTTGTGCAGAGCCAAACAATGAATTGATCCTAAAAAGTGTTTTGTGTGTATCAAAGCCTGATATATCTATTTACTCAGTGCCATAAAGCTCCATTGTTGCCCAAAAACTATTAAAAATGCATCAATGAGCTACACTTTTGCACTGGGTGACATGTTCCTACATTACAATGAACACACACACACCATCCTGCTGCCCCAAACACTCACTACAGAACCAAATATGGATACATTTTTAGTTTCCAATATTTTCTTCTGTTTGTCTGATAAAAACTACAGTGAACAGCTGTTTTAGGAAATTACTGATACTTTTTAAACACAATACTATATTTGTGTTTTCAGCAGGAACCAATGGGCTTTGACAGAGTCACAGACAGGAAGTCGAAAGTAGTGAGTGACGGACTAGATAGGTTGGATATATACTTTATAAATCTATATTTTAAAAAATCTAAAAAATGCAAAAGACCACCTGGAGGTTTGTCACAGCATTAGAATATATATATATAATACAAGAATGGATCAGTCAGCTTTTTATTGTCACAGAGTTGAAACTGCACAGTCACACAGAGCATCACATCTCCTTTAAATGCCAAATACATTTTATCTTTCTATATAAATGTTGCTACAGTAAATCTGAGCGAAACAACAGACGATTCAGTCAGATCATTTCCTCCAGAGCCTAGCGAGCAGCAGCACATTATTTATGAGAGCTTGCAATTTTGTCTGATCTTCTCAACATTCAAATGCAATTAAACTTCACTAAACCACCTTCTTTGCTTTCTCCCACATCACACAATCCACTTGTTGACAATGTAGACAATGAACAGATGAGAAGTTCAGATCTACAAATGCAGGAAGCACTTAGCTGTCTAACTTTAAAAGCACAAAAATGATTCTTACAAATTACTTCACAGGGATTCATCATGTATTGAAGGACCATATCAGTGGTTTTGCATGTTAGCTAGAATAGCCTCAATATTATTACCTAAGACTCACAGACACTGCATTCTGCGAGTACAGTCCTGAGACAGTCCTCTACATAGATGTAGATGCAGACCATTTATCCACCTAATCCTGAGCCTTTTTAGTAACATTAGAACTCTCCAAATGGTGAGATTTTATTCTCACTGGAACAAGCGGCCTTCAATTTAAAAAAACAAAAACTATTTTCGCTTTTTTCACTTTCTCTTACAACATTGTGAGACTCGGAGCATCCCCGAGATTGACGAAGCTAGGTGACAGGAACTCCATTACAGAGGTGGTTTTCTTGTCGGGTTTGGCTCCTGGCATCCCATAGGTGAAAATAAATAGTTCATGGGGACTTTAACAGAAACATAAACTGATGGTATATGAAGGCTGTTTCTGTTGCAAAAACATGCAAAATCACAGACATGGTCCTTTAATTAAGTCTCAACTTTTTCTAGCACAAACTCCGCAGAAAGTGATCTTCCGAGCTGTCTTTGTTCCAGCTGTTGTCACTCTGGCCAACTCTCTCCTCTATTTCTCTTTGGGCGCCATGTCATCACCACCCGACACGTTTCCATCTTCGTCCTCGTCATCAGCCATGCCCTTCAGGTAGGAGCGCTTGAACTCCTGGAACTCCATCTCCTCCTCTAACTCACTACAGACACACAACAGCAGTGTTGGAAAAAGAGCAGAGGCACAATAATGGGATTTCTATCATCGGTAGGGGGGTAGAGAGGGTCGTTTAAAGCTGGGAACAGATGGTAAAGGTTATATATATGAAACTTAAAACACAATATGGCAGAAAACAGCTGTTAGCCATGTAAAGATATAAACAGTGTCACATGGTGTCTCACTCCCTCTGCCTGTGTTGTATTGCAGCCTCTCTGTGGTTTATTAGTGATGGTTAGAAAGACTAACAAAGACAGTATTGGTGATGATCTGAGATGCTGGTGCTCTAGTGTGACATCCACTGGCAAGTCAGTTTTTTATATGTAACCTTTAAGTTAACCCCACTATTTTACAATTAGCTTTTTGTTTTTGGATACTTGGAAGCTTGGTGCTATGAATCTTGAACAGAACTAGTTCAGAGCTAATTTGATTGGAATTGTGTCCCTGTACATCTACAGCTAACTCTAAGTCTACTGAACCATGTTGACATGTGTGGGTGTCAGCTTGTTACATCTCATCCTTTAAACTGTCTGAATTTACTCTACCCAGTGAAACTTACAAAATATAAAAAGGAAAAAGGTTCATAAAGAAACAGAAAAGCAAAAAAACTAAACAATGAGAGGAAAGCCGATACTGCTGATGAAGACAGGGTAATAAACAGGAGCAACAACAGACTAAAGAAGAGCTGATGAAGTGATAGAAGATCCTGGAACAAAAGCTTGTCCCTGGATGAACTAAACAAAAGCTGAACTGAGTCATTCCTACTCATTCATTCAGGACTGATGCTTCCTCTAAGAATCATTTTATTTACTTTTTGCTTGGAAAACCACCTTACCTCTCCTTCACTGTTGGCAGCAATAAAGAAAACAGGAAAAACCAGAAGGTTTAGGTTTAGTTTGACTCTCTTCCACCTATTGTTTATGGATAAATGAATTCGTAATGTAGTTATTGTAGAGTAAATAATATTGTTCATTAGATGTAATCTCTTACCTGCATCAGGTTTAGGATGCATCAGTTTGAAGGGAACTTCCAGGCCGACTTCACTGCAACACAAACCGAAAACATTTCTTACTGCAACTGCATTAATGAATGAATGCACAATACACCAGAGGTGGGAGTCTTTGTTTTCCAAACAACATGTTAGTCTCAAGTCTTTACACCCAAGCCCCAATTCCTTAACTTTGACTTAGAAGATTTTCCTTCTGACGTTCTCGGGCTGCTCAGCTTCAACTCTCTGTGATTTACAGAGTTTGCTAATGGACAGATAGCTTTAGCTAAAGAAGCTAACTGCTAATTAACTGCTTGACTGATCATTTTTTTACTCAAAATTTTCTACAAGAGTAATGAGACATACACATACTGAGTAACTATAAATAAAAAGAAGTAAACATTAACCTACCTTGATCCCATCATCCTGTGAGCATGGCAGAGATTGGAACATTTGGAGAAATATATATATGTTGAATATTTTGATTAATCTGCACACATATCTAACTTGCATATTAACACGACATTGTTTCACACGCGCCACATACTGCTTATTGTGTAAAACAACTCCTCAGAATCACATGACCTTAGTGGATAGAAACAAGTGTTCATTGAGTGTGGAGAACCAGAACAGTAAAGCTGCAGGCCGACAAATAAACTGAAAATCACTATAAAGCTCCGTAAAGCCGAGAGGAGCTGCAGATTCAGCTGATGATTCTCTGTCCATTAACTACATACTGTCAGTGGTTATTACACACACACACACACACACACACACACACACACACACACACACACACAAAGGAGCGACTGACCCTCCAACGATTAGCTTCACCATGACTCTATATGAAACCATGATCCCCATGACTTCCTTCAGCACACCTTCCTTGACACTGAAAGAGAAGAAACCGATTTCTGTAAATGAGCCGAACTACAAGGGCACATCGATCTGACTGAGCAGGAACTTTAACAGGTCTATCTTGTGTCTGATTGTTTGCTCACATGCTTGATGATGCCAGGTTGGTGTCTTCGTGCTTCAGTTTACCGTCCAGCGCGATCCCCCGTCTCTCCCTGTTGTTGGCCAGTACGGGCAACAGCTTGTAGACTTTCTGCAGGGTTGCGCCAGGAGCCACTGAATCCCTGAGACATGGAGACACAGATACACGTTAATCAGCAGACAAAAGAATACAGCAACCAAAATAGACTCTGGAAGAGGATTTAAAACCCAAATGTAATGTAATAGAAGTAAAAAACAAACACAGATCTTATTCCAATTCACTTCCTTCAATGTAATATTGAAATGTTATTGTTGTGTGTATTGTTTCATGAGGAACACACACAATCACTAGAGTAAACTAAAATCGACATATGAACCAAGGAAGCTTTGGAAGTTTTTTATGCCCAAAGAAATCACTTTATTTACACAAATTAAAAAAAATTCAGTTACACCAGAATTAGGTACATACATATATGTTTTACTGATAATTTCTGATCTCTCAATTCCACCAGTCACGTGAGCTGATTTTTTTCAGTTTCTTTGACTCTTGTGAAATACCTGTTGCTAACTCACTTTTTTCCCTGTCTCACCTCAGACCATCTCGCCCTGAGCCTGGACCCAGTTCTGCCTGCCAGCACCTAAAGACCTAGAGCACTGGTCTTGACACATGTTGATGGCATGATAGAAACAGACCTGTTTATGTACTGATTAATAGACGAATAGATGAATAACTTGTCAAGCCAATTTTTTTTTTCAATAAACCAGCAGAAGCTTGTAATCAAAACATGCAGATTAACTGGATTAACTGTAGTTACCTTTGTTCCTTTTTTATTCTTGAAACTCATAACTTTACAGGTCCGCCCTTACCAGAAACACAAGGCGGTGTAGGTTGATTATGCAAGCAGCTTATTACAATCAGTATTTACATTTATTGTAAGGTGGCGTGGCGACATTTAGTGTCTCCTGTGGAACGTTGACTTATTCAAGTGTTGGTCATATAATTCCAGTTTGTTCCATTGACTTATTTTCTTTAAGTTGACTTTATATCATTACACAAATGTAAGCGGTGCTGTGCTATAATGCTTACTAATCTTAATAATCCCCCAAAATGCAAAGAATTGATGTTGGTCACACGAAATAGACTATAGTTATCAACTTTATCATAGTAGTACCAATTAGATTAGTTGATCTACAGAAAGTTAATTGGCCAACATTTCGATAAATAAGTGCAAGTAGTTTTTCTGTTACATCAGCTGTTTTGACAGATAATGTAATAATTTTCTTTTGGGGAACTAAAGGAACTGAGTAAATTCAACTTAAGTGGTAACATTAGTATAAAAATGTCTTACTTTATTCAGGTACATTTAAATAAGTTTGGAGAAATGCTGCATATGACTGTGATACTAGTTTCAAGTTAAATTAACTGAATTTAATTAGTAATTTTTTTACCCAAAGTTACCTTAGCAATTACTTGTTACTTACTTGAATATTTTTCATGCTTAAATTGTTTGAGTTCATAAACTTAAAGGGTTTAAGGAAATTGGTTTCAATTGCTCATTTGCACTCACGTGATTGTGATCAAATTCAGATGCAGGGAAGTCTGTGCTGTGAAGTCTGTGCACCCAAGACACTTTACACTGGTTGTTCCAGTTCCACAATTTAAATTAGGCCCTCAAAGTTTACATGATCAAATTTCATAAGGAGTACCAACAGGGCGTCATCATCAGTGAGCCCTTCGCTGGTAAAATAATCAGTGGGAGTTCATTCCACGTGCTGATGTATGGAAACAGTCTCTCAGTGAAAGTGTGTGTGAAGGTGTGTATGTGTGTGTTAGTATCAGGATCAGAGAACGACAGCTTCCCTTCCTCCCAGACCAGATTCACTCTGATCCTCTAGGGCTTTCTCTTCAGTTCAAGACGGAGTGGATCTAAGTGATGTGAAGAAGGTCCTTTATTTACCATTACAGAACCATATAGTCCATAATCCAGACAGAATGGCTCCCTTTCTCTGGACAGACTCTGCTGACACACCAAGAGACCAGTCTGTACTGTCTCCAACCTCGACATCCCAGCTGTGAGTCCCTGAGTTAAAGCCCTCAGAGCCCAGAACAGACCAGGAAGAATCAAACCTCTCTGGATTATCAGGAAGCTGCTGTTTCTCTCCTCCTCTCACACTGGTCAGATCTTCAGACAGGATGAGTTCTGGATCAGCAGTGTTTGGGTCCAGAATCACAGGACTGTAGGAGACCATGTCCTTCATCTTGTTCCAGATGTTGAAGGTCAGGTTGCCCAGGTGTTTGGCCTCGTCTATCAGAGCTCCTGAGGGCAGCTGTAGATCCTCCAGCAGGGGGCGCTGCTGGACTCTTTCCACTGCAGCCTTGTAGTTGTTCAGGAATGAGACGTCTTCAGCTCTCAGCTCCTCCTCTGTGGCTCTGACTGTGTCTGAAAGAGCTGCTATCTCTCTGCTCAGAGCCTCCATCTTCTACTTAGCTCCTCTTCCTCCCTCAGTGCAGCCAGCCTGGCCTCCTCTACCTCTTCTAGAAACTGGTGAAGCTTCTTAAACTGCTCCTTAATCAGCCTCTCTGTGCGTTGGGCCTGGACCTTCATGTGTTCTGATGTTTGATCACTTTAACTCCTTCAGAAACTCTTAACTTCTCCTTTAAGGGCTCCAGAGATTTCTGGAGCTCCTCTTTGTGATCCTGTGCAGCTTCATCGATGGGTCTGATTCTGTGGTTGGTGTGTTTCTTTGAATCTCTGCAGACGAGACACACTGGCTGCTGATGGTCCAGACAGAAGAGTTTGAGTTTCTCAGAGTGCAGACTGCAGAGAGCCTCTGAAGATCTCTGATCTCTCTCCTGTAAGAAACTCTCACACAGGTTCTTTAAAGCTCTTTCTTAGAAAACGCAGAAGGCAGATACCTCAGCCTCAAGAACAGTCAGTCATTGTGCCACTCCCTCCTCCAAGAAACTTACTTTCACTTTTAGTCTTTGTTATAAAGCTCTCGTTCTTTATGTGAGGTCATCAGCAGGTTGAAGTGAAAGTATTCCAGTATTCTCAGTGTTACTCTTGAGTCCTCTGTCACTGGGAGTTGTGGTTTTGGGTCGATCATGAATCTTATCATGTACTGAGATCTCTCAACAACATCCTCCTGGTGTGTCATCTGAGTTGGCAGTGTTAACAGAGGGTTGCTCTCCTTTTACAGTTTGTACATCCTTGCCTCCTCTCCTCTCATCTTCCCTCCCACCAGAGAGGAGAGACACAGAGGATGTTATAAAGAGTTTTGGTCTAGACCTGCTCTATTTGAAAAGCGTCCTGAGATAACTTCTGTTATGAATTGGCGCTATACAAATAAAATTGAATTGAACTGAATTGAGGAGAGAGGAGTCGAGGCAACAAGTACAAGAGACATCCTTACTTCAGCTGCAAGGTCTGTCCATTTTTTCTTATAGAATACTGCCATCTTTTATGATCTCTGTCAGATAACAGTGTCCCTGACAACTAATATATTCAATTCAACAACATGGCATAATGTGACAATACTGATCATTATTTTTAAAATTTCATGACCAATAAAGCTGCTTTTTTTCCCTATAAATCTGTTTATTGCACTTTTTTGTCATCACGCCAAACTCCCTTTAAGAAATAGGACATTTTAACAATTTGTAACGCGTCCGTAACCACGTGTAACTTTAACACTTTAAGCTAAAGTGCATCATATGTCCACAGTCTGGCTGTCAGTTCGGCATCAGTTTACAAACATTTAAATGATTTTGTCCCCTCAACTATAGAAGACACAGCTGTAGCGATCTGTTGTAAGTGGCAGAATAAGTGCTGACTGGATTAAATATAAGCCAAATTAAGCACCGACTCATAACACTGTTAAATAACCGTCTATTATTATGTGTGTGTCTGTATTTGAGGATTTTTTGGAGCCGTTACCATAGTCACTACCTGTATGAAGGTGAAATGTCATTAGGAAAGTGGTTACAGCAGTGCAACAAACATGATCCAGATGTGTACACAAACAGTGAAGGGCAGAAGGTCTGATCACCACCAAAAACTAATACAACTTATCATTACATTTATAGAGCACTCTCGCCATGGTTTGTATATTCCACTTCTGCAAAGGATTTGTGTATCCTCCATCCTCCACTCTAAAAAGCAATTCAGTAGACTTGTTGTCACCATTTAAATAAATGCATGATTACAAGATAAAACTTCTAATTTATTAATTTAGATAAAGCTTTTAAGTTGCAAACTTTAGAGAGTTGTGTTTACATAAATAACATGGGAAAATGGGTTAGTTGGAACAAGTACATTTTTACGAGTAGCCTAATCAACTTAAAATCTTGTGGATATGCTACCAATTATTAAGTAAGTGGTAATTAAAAATACCTTTGATTGAAGAGGAAAAGCTACTTCTCCTAACTCAATGTACTTGTTTCCACCTGTAAATCAAAAAAGCTCTGCCATAAGTGCACCCGTCTTTATGATCTTATGACTGCCGTTAGATTGCGTTCTGAGAGAGATCCTGACCCACAGTGGATCACGGAAAGTGACGACAGCATTGTGAATGAACGCTTTTTTCCGGGTGGATAGAAAAATACTAATTTGAGTTCTCAGTAAACTGCAGAAAAACAAAACAAACAGACCCGCTGATTAAAACCAGTAAAAACACTGAATAAAGCAGTTCCACCTTAAAAATCACTGCTTCTCCCCACGCAATAAGCATTTAGTTTGTTCTGTGAACAAATCAACTGTACACTGTATCTGAAAGATCACATACCCAGGTTCCTCGATGGCCACACATTTGACGTAGCTGTCATTGGAGTACAACACCACATTGGCGACCTGATCCACTGAAAACATGACAGAGTAAGTTTACAGCAGGCATTTAGATACTCTACATTCTTCATGCAAATATAACTCATGTCTTCATGCTACAGTTTGTAATGAATGTCCTCAGTAAGTATAAGGTTTACCAGAGATGATGATGTTCTTGATGTTTTTGCTGGAATTGTTCGTGACGATGACGTGCACTTTTAGGGTCTCACCATGGTAGTAGATCTGGAAACCGGACACAAAGTCAGGCAACGTGAACAACATTCAACATATTATTAGAGTGCACACTTCATGTATATTGAAATAATCTAAATCAATCCAGTGTCTATGATTGATAATTAATTAGCTCTGCACTGCATTTAGAAGTAAACTATAAATATTTTTTATATGGCTCTCAATTTAACTTTAGTATAATATTATATATTATAAGCAAACTAAAATATATCTTTATAAATATCAATTCCACTTATATAAGTATAACAAAACAAACTAACCAATCAAGGCAGTAGTAGAGCAAAACTCTGCGAGGTAAAATTGTTTTTGTCAAAGGAGTCTGGTGGCTTTAAACAGAGCGATACAACGGTTAACTAAAGGTCTATCTCTGTAGGGATCCTTTCCATAATGCTGTCAGACACTGACAATAACAACCTGAGTCTGTCAGTGGCAGAAACTACTACTGTTAGTGGAACAAACAACAACTACTTACAACTACTGTTAGTGGAACAAACAACAACTACTGTTAGTGGACACACTTTGACAGTCTGTCTGTGTTACATATATTTTTATATACTTAATAGACTTATTTTTTTGACAGATTCAGTGTTTTCTTCTCATTGTTCTATTGTTATTGTTTGAACTGTTCTAATGCAGGATGAGGCTGTTTATCAGGGAGTGAAGCCCCCTGTGAAGCTTTGACCCACCCTAGTGGAGGTCAGACCCCATGCTGCTAACCAGTGCACTACATCTTATTGTGTGTTGTGGTGCTAAAAATGAAGAAATTTGCTGACCTCTTTGTCCAAACTGGCCTTGACATGTAGTGGTTTATCTGACATGACAAAGTCCCTGGTGGTTTCAACAGAGGGCGCCACTCCCTCGCCCTCTGGAGCGTACTGGACCTTCCTGAGCATCAGCTTCACTGTGCTCCTGTTGGACAAAGAAATAATTAAAACAATCAAAGTCTGATTGAAACTTATTTTCTTATGCTGACACTGGAAGGTAATCGGACGAGCTGAGACTCACCGTTTACGTATTTTAGCATCCTGGCTCTCAGCACTGAACACTTTGATCTCAAACTCCACAGCACATTGCTACAGAAGAAGAGAGACGTCACCACCCTGTGATGTGTTCACTTCATCAGTACCGGTTTGATTCCTCAGTCAGGAACTTACCTTGCCAACATCACTGGTGGATGGCTGGAGAGCCACGGAGCACGGCAGGTTGTCAGGAAACTGAGGAAACAAAAATATATAACGTCAGTAATCAATAAATAAAAGAGAATGCAGGTGAGTTCGCCACTTATCTGATCTAACATGCTAATAGTAGGTGACCACATGGCGTTTTTGGACTTGAGGGGTCACGAAAGGCTACAGCCTCCCACAACTGTGCAAATACTTCCTGGCTGCAACTGAGTGGCGAGTTAGGAAACTTTTTCTCATATTAGTTAAAGAGGTCACCGAAATGTGTTTCTGTAAGCAAGAAATAAGCCAAGCAGTTCCTGAATATGTCGTCCTTTTAGAATCTGGTTCATTTAAAAGTTAGGGTTATGTATACAAGAAATCAATTTTAAATTTGCAGTGTTTGCTCATTAGTTGTCATATACAGTCACCAGTGCTATAGTGCTGTAATTTAGTTTAAATACAGGAGTATAACTTGTATCTCACTGTTGTCTTTCAGCATTAGGGAAGGCTCCTTCATGCAGCCTGTGTCACATCTCACCTCAAAGAAGAACGGATAGGCGTTGTCTCCCAGTTTGCGCAGCAGTTTTGCCTGCATCCTGGTGTGGACTCCCTTATCACGGTCCTGCAGAGGCGGGTATACCTGGCGGGTTGACATGTACAGCTCTCTGCGAAAGGATATTCCCATCACATCCATGTCATCTCTGCCGTACCGGAAGATGCAAGAAAGGGTGACAAACGCTGGAGGGAAGAGAGAGAGTGACAGAGACGATCAGTGTCCCCTCAGGATCAATAAACAGTACTTGGATTTAAACTGGAATCATTGGGAGGCTGAAATCGATCTACTGATCTTCATCTTCTTAGTTTAAAAGTATGTATTTTATTTCACTTTATATATTTTGCTTGTAATTGAAATCTTTAAAGGGACGAGCATGGCAACATTTATCAGTCAGGAAGTTGCAAGATGCTGTGTGACCTTGGAAGTTTGTCCAATCACTGCAACTTTTCCTCAAATTTGACCAATTATTATAGTTTCAAAACTTAAATAAAATTGAATTGTACAAGCAAAATCACACCCAGTTTTGCAATTTTCATTCTCTCAACATACATTGGAGTTTTTGATAAAAGCTTAAAATAAGACATTTTAGGCAGCAACAAAAAAAGAGCTGAAAAATCCTGGAGTGACTGATTTAGGCTACGAACATGGTAATGACGTGTTCTGTTCGGTGATTGATCTCTGTTTATGTGTCTGTAAGGAATATAATTTAGGTGAAGTACACAGCCAACTTAACAACAACTCAATGTGCCCTCCACAATAAGATGTGATAAGGAAACAACAGTATAATAATAATTCCACAGTAAAACTGCTTCTTTAAGCCGACACGCCACAGATTTTTGTTCACACCAAAATAACTTTATTTAAAATTCCAGTGGAGATCAGACTTTAATAATAATAATAATCATATACTTAACTAATGCATGATAATGCATTAGTTAAGTATATACTCAGATATATATTTAGACTGTTTCTCTGCTATCAGTCTTCATCAGTCAACTTCAATAATTTATTCATCGAAGCCATCAACCTGTCTATTAGACCTGATCCCAACTAGGCTGCTTAAAGAAGTTGTTCCCTTAATTGGCACTTCTTTACTGGATATGATTAATCTTTCTTTATTATCAGGATATGTACCACAGTCCTTTAAAGTAACTGTAATTAAACCCCTTCTTAAAAAGCCCACTCTTGACCCAGGGGTTTTAGCCAACTATAGACCGATTTCTAACCTCCCCTTCCTCTCTAAGATTCTGGAGAAAGTAGTCGCCAAAGAGTTGTGTGACTTTCTACATAACAATAGTTTATTTGAGGATTTTCAGTCAGGATTTAGAGTTCATCATAGCACAGAGACAGCTCTGGTTAAAGTTAATAATGACCTTCTGATTGCTTCTGACAATGGACTTGTCTCTGTACTTGTATTATTAGATCTTAGTGCTGCATTTGACACCATTGACCATGATATTCTTTTACAGAGACTTGAGCATCAAATTGGCATTAAAGGAACCGCACTAAGCTGGTTTAAGTCATATTTATCAGATCGTTCGCAGTTTGTACATGTTAACAATGATTCTTCAATAAATACTACAGTAAGTCATGGAGTTCCACAAGGTTCTGTACTTGGACCAATACTATTTACTTTATATATGCTCCCTTTAGGCAACATTATTAGGAATCACTCCATTAACTTTCACTGTTATGCAGATGATACGCAGTTATATCTATCGATCAAGCCCGATGAAATTAATCAATTATCTAAATTACAAACATGTCTTAAAGACATAAAAACCTGGATGAGCTGCAATTTTCTGATGTTAAACTCGGCCCCAAAAACCTCAGAGACTGACTGTCTAAAGATATAGTTACTCTAGATGGCATTAACTTGGCCTCTAGCACCACTGTCAGGAATCTTGGAGTTATCTTTGATCAGGATTTGTCATTTAACTCCCACATAAAGCAAACCTCCAGGACTGCCTTCTTTCATTTACATAATATTACAAAAATTACACACATACTATCACAGACAGATGCAGAAAAACTAATCCATGCATTTGTTACTTCAAGGCTGGATTACTGCAACTCTTTATTATCAGGTTGCCCCAATAAGTCCATTAAAACGCTCCAATTAATTCAGAACGCTGCAGCACGAGTACTGACAGGAACTAGAAAAAGAGATCACATCTCTCCTGTACTATCTTCTCTGCACTGGCTCCCTGTAAAATGTAGAATAGAATTTAAAATCCTCCTCCTCACCTATAAAGCTCTTCATGGTCAGGCCCCTTCATATCTTAAAGAGCTCATAGTACCCTATTACCCCTCTAGAACACTACGTTCTCTGAATGCTGGGCTACTTGTGGTTCCTATAGTCTCTAAAAGTAGAACAGGAGCCAGAGCCTTCAGTTACCAAGCTCCTCTCCTATGGAACCAGCTTCCATTTGTGGTTCGGGAGGCAGACACCCTCACCACATTCAAGAGTAGGCTTAAGACATTCCTCTTTGATAGAACTTATAGTTAGGGCTGGATCAGGTGAGTCCTGAACCATCCCTTAGTTATGCTGCTATAGGCCTAGACTATCAGGGGATTTCCCATGGTGCACTGAGCTCCTCTCTTCCTCTCTCTTTCTGCACTCATTCATGTCCCATTAATGCATGTTACTAACTTGACTTCTTCCCCAGAGTTCTTGTGCTTTCTCGTCTCGCAGGTTCTTATCGATCCTGGTGGAGCCTCCTGCCATGGTCCTGCTAGATTTCCATTGCCAATACTGTTGTTACTGTGCGTCTGTCCTTCTGTCTGTCTGTCTGTCTCTCTCTCTCTCTCTCTCTCTCTCTCTCTCTCTCTCTCTCTTTCGCTTTCACCCCAACTGGTTGAGGCAGACGAGCAGCCACCTACCACCCACCTAGAGCCGAAGGATCTGTCCTAGGTTTCTGCCTTTTAACTGGCAGTTTTTCCTTGCCCTTGTCTCCAAGGTCTTGCTCATGGTGGTACTGTTGGGTCTCTGTAATTAATGTTAAAGAGTTCGGTCTAGACCTGCTCTATTTGAAAAGTGTCCTGAGATAACTTCTGTTATGAATTGGCGCTATACAAATAAAACTGAATTGAATTGAATTAAAAACTTCCACAGAGGTTTCATGCGGGTTTATTTTATATGTTTCCGCTGCGTCCTGTTTGAGCTTCAAATAAACCCCCCAACATGTATTTTAAATCAATGTGTGAGTTGGAGGGTTGGTACTGACCTTTCCTCCCCTGCAGAGCCTCAGGATCAATGATGACGACGCCATCTAGTGGTAAAAAAAACAACAGGTCAAATCTCTTGCAGCAATAAAAGTGAAATTGTTTTGATAATGATTAAGAAAAACTATGAGCAAGGTTCAAGGGCAGAGACAAAGGAGGGATTCCAGAGTTTCTGCAGCTTTCAACAGATTAAATTATTTTTAAGACCACTACGAATGCAGTTTAAGACTGGTTTTATGCTCATACTAGCAGAAACAGTATGAAGGATATGAAGGAAAATTAGTATCCATGTCGGTTTCAATTGGTAGTTTTTACGTCATAATTAAAACCAATTTTTCCCCAAAACACATTTAAAAGCGAGACTGAAAAAAGTAAAAAATAATACAATACAATATAGACTTTTTAAGACCCTGCAGACACCCTGGATTATAGAATACACAAGACCAACCAAGCCGTCTTTAACCCAAATAATATATTTGTGGTGTCTCACTGGGAGCTTTTGGTGAATATGTTTCTGGCTACAGGCTCAACATCCTCATTCTTTAGATCTGGGCTGCAGAAATACGTTATCTGTAACTCCTCTAGCACAGATTAAAAGGCTCTGACTGCAACCTTGAGGCTGTGACATTACATCAAACATGTGACTGCTGCTTCACTGTCCTAACTCACCCACTGGATCCACAGAGTCGACGCGGTCCACAAAGTCTCTTTTCCCCATGTAGACTCCAACCTGAAGCAGGAGAACAGATACTTTGAAAACCTGCATCCATGTCTGTGAGTGCTTTATGACAGTAAATAGAAACATCATTTTGGTTCATATAAAGAAAGAAAGAGCTGATTAGTATTTAAAATGTTTTAAAGACATGAAATGGATTATGAAAAGTGAATTCTGCTGACATATTGCAGCGTTACCTTTACTTTAACATTAGAGCAGCTGTAATCTGACATAAAGCTACGCTACCCACGTGTGACTTTGTGTCGACCTCATGGGGATCAGTCACACGAGTGGATGAACCGCTTTACAGAATTGAATGCAGTGAGATGGAAAATTTCACTAAGAGACCAACGTTCACTGATCTGTTGATAGTTCTGGGCTTTTAATGCCTTTATTTTGATAGGACAGGTGAAGATAGACAGGAAGGGGGGGGTGACTTGCTCTGTAGTCACAATTGTTACGTTGTGTTGTGTATTTGCTTGTGTGGTTACAAGGGATATGGGTCGTTTTTTTAAGGTGAAATTGCTCAGTTGTGCCACAAGAGGGAGTGAGTAAGGCTGCTTGATCTTTCTGCTCCTCAGATTCGGTTGTTTCTCCTTTAAAAAAGACACAATTTCTGGCCACTGATCACTCATGAGGCCTGGAACACATCAGGTATATTTTACTTTTTGCTGCACTGACGATTCTAAGGTTGTGTCCTTTAGTTTAATTCATGCAGTTTCTTAAAGCTGCACAACGTTCCTGTCCTTAGACCTTCATCAGGTGAAAACTGTTAGAGTTCCTCCTACAATAAAAGCTATTTATATTATACATGTATTTTTAATATCAACTCTGCTTTAACAAGAAGACTCCCACTTTAAAGAACCTCTCCTGAAAGTTAACTGTACTTAAACTCACATTTCATGAACAGTCAACTGTGGACCAGGAATGTTTTCAGGCTTTTTTGACTTGGGGTGGAACAAGTGGGGCACTGACTTATGCAGGGGTGGCCTGGGCTAGTATCTCATCCGATTCACTCACCGACTTGTCCTTGCAAATCTTCTTGAAAACAACATTTTTAGTACTCATGTTGGTGCAGATCGAGAGAAGCGAGTTGGTGGTGCCTGAGAGAGAGACACACATAAGCAGATAAAAGTCAAATCCCTGACCATGTTTTTATTTCCATGAATGTTTGTTACAAACTAAATCTTACTGAAAATGTCAGCTATACAGTGTGATATCATTAGCCAGTGCTACTCAAACTTTATTTACACATTTAAATATTACATCTAAAGCAATACCAATAAAATACAGCAGGGTGAAATAAAGTCAGTAAGTAGTCACTAATGTGACAAAAACTTAATACGTTCAGTAGCCAGTCAGTATTTAACTACAACTATACCTACTGAGAGAGTTTAATCAGAGCGATTTGTCCACAAGAGATATGAAACTGACAGTCGGGACACCAACTCAAGAAAACAGTCACAGCAGCAGCGCTCAAACTACATCCCACAAAGTCAGGGTCGAAAGATATTCATGGTGTCCAGAGGGTGGCAGAAATATCTGCTGATTTAATGACAATCACGTATATCAACATTTGCTTGGAAAAGCCAAATGAAGATATTTGAACTGAAAAACATTATTGCGGCACATCAGTAAAACACTGAATAGAAATATCTGAGGCTGGCATTAGAAATCAATACACTATCTTTTTTTTTATTGAACTTGAACGTATCACTGAGTCTAAAATGTGGCCATAACAGATCATTAAATTATATGTTCATTCCCTTTTTTCCCCCCACACATTATTGTTAAATTTGACTCCCTCTAGATCTGCCCTGTACAAACAAATCACTGACACACGCTGCTGTCTGGACTCATTCACAGTTAGATCTCTTAGGCTTTTCAGAAACCATTATATTTCCTTATATTTCCCTTAAATGTATCCTTACAGACCCGCTCTAACCAGGTAAAGTAGCTTTCGTCCAACTGTTAGGCTGGAACAAGTTACACCTCATACATGGAAAGAGAGGAGATTCTGTAAATGTATTCAGGACTGCACTAAATATTTCTTCAGTATTTATTTTTGAGATGCTAACCACAAAGCTGTATGCTCTCTATACAGATTCAGCCATTATCTTATGTTACACAAATGATTTCACTCTTCTAGCGATGCATAAATAATGAATATGTAGAGATCAAAGGGTTCAACATCCTCAGGATTTTATGCATCAGGCATCCTTAGAAGACATTTTTGGGGCAACCTTAGTCTAAGATGTGTAAGAAAATATAAAAAATGTACACAGTAGGCCTTTATGTCAGCATTTGGTTCACTTCTGTGAAAGAATAAATAAATGTAAAGTAAATTGTCTAATAGAACAATGGGCAAAGCGTCAGGGACACGAAAACACAGAATCTGACTGAGAATTGTATTAAATGTTGCCTTAAAAGGAAATAATCTGTGCAAAAATCACAGGGTCCCTTATAGAAAAAGGTTGGGAACTACTGTTTTAGTGGACATAGTTGGTATGTTGGAGCCCTCTACTGACTTAAATATAAACTGCATTATTAAATAGTATGTTAATGCAGGTATATATGCTCTTAAATCAATTTATAATTAATAAAAACTAAACTATTATGTGTAATTATGTCTCAAAATTGTATATAATAAATAAAACAATTTCTGCCCAACCCCAGAATACTACGACAGTAGGGAGAGTGGGGTAAGATGAGCCATTTTTCATATTTAGGATCACTACATCAAGGCAATCATAGTTTTGTCGCTAACTAATATATCTGCATATATTTCAGGATGTTGTGCATCCCTTCAAACAAACAGAATGAGTGTAAACATAACTGTTTCGATAATATAGCATGTCCAAAAATGGTCTCGTGGCTCAACTTACCCCGTGTATGGGGTAAGTTGAACAAAGGAGCGGGGTAAATTGTGCCGTATCCCTACTCCCCCTCCCTAAATATCTAACCACTTTACCCATGTGGTTCTTACATTCACAGACTCCATGAAATGATGCCTTCCTCCTAAATATTTGGTCACATGATCAATGTTTTTTACCATTTCCTAGCAACAAGGGGTGGCTTAACTTACTCTTTGGCTCAACTTACCCCACTCTCCCCTACATCTCAACATTTACGCTTTCAGGGCTCATTTGAGGGCTGGATTACATTACATCATACAGGAGTTCAGATTATTTGGTCTGTCTGTATAAATGATTTCTCCTTGCTGACTTAATTGAGTTGAGATGACTGAGAGATCTGAACACACTTAACTATGCTGAGCCTCTTAATCCTTTTAAAACCGTCTGAGATGAGTTTCACCTCTCGTCACTGAAGACTACACTCACTCACTTCCTCTGAAGGTTTAGGAATCAACAAAATAATACGAGAAATTTCTGCATTAAAAAGCAAGTGTTCACTCCAAGCTGAGCTATAAACAATAAATAAGTAAAAGAAAATAACTACCTGGCTTTAAATATTTTTCACAGCACTGCATCAATCTTTCATCTAATCAAATCAATAAGATATCTCTAAGTTGTTGAGTCTTTCTGTTTGTTATTGAGTGCAAGAAATTCTATTTTCTTAAAACAAGTGAACAAATCTATCTGGTTGATAAAACTAAACCACAACACATAAAACAACTCCTTTCATCACAGAGAAATGCACATTTTCCTGATTCTAGTGCATTGGTATGGCAGAGCTCATAAGACTCATCTGGTACCAGATTTAACAGAGCAACAGACGAACAAACTCAAATCTAATAATTATCAAATAAAACCTTATTTATTATTCAAGCTGTGTTAATGAGTCTGTCTTAACTTCTTTAAGGCGGAAAAAGGCTGCAAGTGAAAGCAGAAAGGTTAAAATATGATCACCTGATTAGTCTTAATGCAGAACACTGAACCTGTGTGGCTAGACATCAAGGGAATTGTAGTCCTAGGGCATAAAGGACTACAAATTACAGACACAGTGGGCCTCATGCAGCAACATTCTCTTAAATTTCTCTTGTATTTTTTCTTATTTTTCTAGATATAAGATATAAAATGAGAAAACATTGGTGAATCCCAGAAATCAATGGGTGCTAACAAAATAAGAACAAATTCACAATATGCAGAAACAGGTTCCAACCATCCATCAATCACAGCACATACGGTTTATTATAGATAAATACACAGTAAATATAGAGTCACAGAGTAAACACTCGTACAATATGAGACAGTGGAGATGTTTTTCAGACTCACCTGTGTTGCAGAAGCGGAGGGTGTGTTGTTGGATCGGAGGAGGAGACAGGCGGAGATGCTCTATAAGTAAACACCTGCTGTCCGTCACAGCCTCCCTCGCCCCCGTCAGCCAATCTGGTGAGCAGGCTGTGAACTTTGACCAACCCTCAGTACTACAGCACTACAACCCCCCCACCCTCCTCTTCTTCCTAACACCACACATCCAGACAGACAGACAGACAGGGGCAGGCAGACAGACAGGCAGACAGACAGACAGACAGACAGACAGACGGGGCAGACTTCCTGTGAATGAGCCGACTGAGAGGATTGATGCTGGTTCCCCCTCAGTCAGCACAACAGTGCCAGATTAGAGAGGGGGGGGTAGAGAGGTGGAAATGGTGTCGTAAGGGAAACATACAACGACATTAAAACATAAAATGTGTACAAACTGGCAATGCAGAAACCCATTTTATACTTAATTTTGAAGGGCAATTTTTACAACATGAACGAGATCCTCAGGCAGGTTAACCAGGGGCGTAGGACTGGAGTAGGCGGGGGATTAAGCAGGGGTGGAAACAGACAGTCTACGTGGCTTAACCCAAACCTCGGGGGGGAGTTATTTATATATATATATATATATATATATATATATATATATGTTTTTAAGGGCTTTTTGTATATATACCGAAGAGGGAGAGATGGGAATATTTCCAGAAATAGAACCTTTGTTCCATTGATTTTCTGGTCCAGTCACAGAGACTGAGAGAGACCCAACAGTTCCCACCATGAGCAAGTACTTGGCAACAGTGGAAAGGAAAAGAGTTCCTTTTAAGAGGCAGAAACCTCGAGCTGGTTATTTTGCTCATTTCCAGCTCTATATTCTCAGTCACGGATTCACTCTTCAAAAACATCCTTACTCATCTTAAACTGGGCATTCATGCAGCCTCTCAGTTCACATTACCGTAGACACCATGTTTCTACCCTAAAATCAGACACAAAACCGACTTGTTTAGGTCATAAATTACATTCTGTACCTGGCCTAACTTGAGAAAATGAATAAAAGGTAACGTATGTACGTTGCTTCAAAGAAATTTGAATGTAAATGTATAAGTGCTTTCACCTGCTTTATATAGATGAGTTGCTATAAGTAAGACATGCTCAGGGCTGCTTGTTCTTTTTGTGAAAATCTTCATTCAATATTGAATGTTTTATGACTTCTGAAAAACGAACATCATTGTCATTATGAAATCTGTAGACTAACTTCAGCTATCAGATCGATGAAGCGGAGGAATTGTTCTTCGTGACCTTTAACCCCCTTTTTAAAACCATAAATTATCAACTGACAGTTTTGGTTTACAGAACAGGCAGAAAAAAAAAAAGACGTGTTCAGACTTTTGACATCCAGCGTTTGTCCAGAGGCAGCCTGAAGGTTGAGCAGCAGGTTTGATCTGGTCTACAGTTGTGTGTGTGTGTGTGTGTGTGTGTGTGTGTGTGTTAGTTGTAATCTCCTGTGTAATAATGATGATTAATGCGCTGCAGGGCAGTAATCCACCTCTGTCTGTTTACCTGCTGACAGGCAGAACAGTGGATTAAAGCTCCACAGCATCACTCTGTCTATGTATAGACACACTCACACACACACACACACACACACACACACACACAGACACACTCAACTGAAATAACATACAATGTGCACGTGCAGTGTGGTTTCCTAACTTGGGACACAGTAAACACTTTAAGCCATATTTAGCCTTTATTATTAATATAAAGACACAATATATTATTAATAACACACAAATATCTATTTATATAGTATAGTATAAGTATTTGTCAACAATTAATGAAAACATCTTCACATCTATATGAGTATAATTGTGTTATATTGTTATCACGAATACTGAACAGGGTGACCAGACATAGAAGCTTACTCCCCCAGGGGTCAGGACACCAAACAACTACAAAGAGATGCGAAATGACACAGAGACACAAAACAACCACAAATTGACCACAACTAAACAAAAAAAGACCACAAAGAGACACAAAATGACTAAAAAGAGACAAATTGACCACAATTAGTCACAAAATGAACATAAATCTGTGGGTCTTGCTCTTATATTAAAAAGAGGTAAAGGGCTTTTTACATGTTTATGCCCAAGGGCCCATTGATTAGTGATCGATCTGTTACTGTTATCCTGGATTATATTGTCAGTTTTAGAGGCCTCACAGGATGAGTTATTGTTGTTGTTGACAAATACATTAATAAACAACAATTTTCCTTTATGTTCTTACAACAACTGTATATTTACTGCTTATACATACTATACCAAAGGGTTAAATAAAGTGGTAATCATTTGTATATTTCCTGCACATTATATTAATTGAGTAATATTATTTAGTTATGTTTAACATAAGATTTGTGTTAATTACAATATAAAATATGTATGAAATATGTGTTTCTTAAAAAAGAACCAAAAACCATATTTATTTATTTATTTCTGTAATACAAACTTTATTCAGATAATAATAAACAAACGGAATTACACAATCATTAACACTCATCTACAAATCTTTCCCAACATTTAGATTTCAAATTTTGCCTCAAAAACTCTTAAAAAAATAAGTAAATATTCCAAAAGTACAGAAAAAGAACATTCATTAGTCTGTCCGTCTGGGGACAAACACCTGGTCCCCTAAAACCTGACTTATTTGTGGGGTTAGAACTTTGTTACATTAGTTGGAGGTTGAAGTTGGTGTAAGCCTTTAGAAAATGAATGTTCTTGCAAGTGTACAGATGTATCGATGTACAGTAAAGAGTACGACACATGGGCTCAGACGTAAGCTCTGGCTGAATCTGGATCGGACTTGGCCGTAGCCGTGTAGACCTTCTTTGGCTGGTTTCCATAGTAACCGCTGCAAAAACAAGAAAGAGGAAGTCAGACTGTAAGATACGATCACCGAAATGTTAAAAGTTAAAAAGCTGGCTCTTCTAGATTTTATTGTACTGAACGGATCAAATTCTGAAAATGAAATGAGTCATTTTGTGGAGGTTGTAAAATTTACAGCCGCTTCTTTCACAATGTGACCTTATTGGAAACAGTAGTTTTGGTCGGTGTGCATCATGTGACGGACGCCATTGCTGTAATACTCGGGTGAGGTGTGCAGCACTTACCCTTTCTTGCCTCCAGCTGATGCTCTCTTGCAGGCGGTGCAGAGTAAAGCTCCACCCAGCATACTCAGAGAGGCTCCACCCCAACCCATAAAGAGGCCAGTACCCAGCTCGAACCTGAGTGAAATAACACAAACACAACCTGTCAAACAACCACAACAAGTAGAACACGATTCATAGAATCAGAGTTCTTTCTGAAGGACTGAAGGAGGAAGAGAAACTATATTTCACTGATAATTCACTCTGAAACTCTAAAATAGGTTTTTCAGGGTGGAACTGTCCCTGATAGGACAAAACCTCGGGTCAGAAATCTGTTTTTTCTTCTTGTTCCTACAGTCAGATGTTTGATCTTCACTGTACAGAATGACTTATGTGCAGAGTTTGACACTAAAAGGATGTTTTCACATTCATCTGCTGAAATCTGACAGCGGTACTGAGGTGATTTATATGGAATTTCCTGTTGAACTTGTTGCTAAAAGTAGCTAACTGCTGCTAACAGTAATGATAGAGGCTGTTAGGTCATGCAGTGAACATTGGCCGGCTCAATACAGGAGCCAAACCCGGCAATAAAACCACCTCTATCCTCAATGTGTCAGCATCGAACGCTGTATTCAGCCCCAGTCTGGGAGCTTGTGCGAGAGGATCAACCTAAACTTCAGACGTGTGTTTGAGTCGACTCACTTCACTCCACCGGTGAACGGGTCGTTGAAGTCCTGCACGACTCTAAAGGCGTACCAGGAAACGGCGATCATGCAGCACAGACCTGCATCACACAAACAAAAACATTAACACCAGAAACAAAATTAGTTTCATTGGTTTTGTACATGATGCTGCCACGGTGCCTGGATTTCCTGTTTTACTACTAGTACACATGGTGCTATCCATTTGTCTCGTGAACTCGGACCCCGAGTTGGAAAGTGTAAATCTCGCAGCTATCTCGCGACATTTCACCGAAACACACACACCCCCTTTTGGTCGGAATTTCAGCCGTCCAGCTCGGGGTACCTCACAGTACACCGAGCTGATGGGGGGGCACGTACGACTCGTAAAACAAAGATTTCAGCGCCCATATTAAGATGTATTTTCTTTGTATTTGTACTACGTTGGTCGTTTTAATGTCGATTTTAAATGCTCCTACACTGTTTACATTGCTGCTTTAGTCCGGTCACCAGTTTATGCATTGCACGATGTTGCTGTGAGTTCAATACAATGTAAAGTTTTGTTTTCGAGCTGGTTTGCTAAATAGGCTAATGTAGCTAACAATAACACTAGCCTGCCACTGCCCCTGGTGGCCCCTGGAGGCTCCTGGTGGCCCCTGGGGGCCCCTGGTGGCTCGAGAGAAACGCCACAGCACTTGTTGAAATTGAAATAGGCGAAAATGGCAAAATATTATTGAAATGTAAGACTTGCAATAACGGAATTAGTTGAAATGTTTGTGTTTCTGTAAAAAAACATTATTATTCACATTGAGCTTGTTTAGATGATCCACAAACAATAACAACACAGCTGCTGCACTTCTTTCTGACTCGTAATGCCCAAAGACAAACTGGAACGCTATAAGTGGTACAAGCCAGGCAATTACGTCATGTTCTCGTGGCAGAACAACTCGGGCTCCGAGTTCACGAGACAAATGGATAGCACCATTAGATGCCATATGCTACGCTAATCCATGTGGAAAAGACAACCACACTTTGAAGATGATTAAAAGATAAAAGCAACATACATATAGTCACATCTAAAGTTAGCATATATTATTTGTTTGATAGTTTAATGTGGTACATTTTGTTCACCTTGCAGGAACAGTAGCTTTAAAAGATAGCTAATCTACATTCATCTTTAGCTGATAGCTAATGTGAGCATCAATCGTTTTTTATCTTATCATCTTCAAAATGTGGTTGTCTTTTCAACAAGGATGAGCTTAGCATGTAGCATATCTGAGAACAGGAAAGGAGGAAGTTGACCGAGGCTCCAAAAGGGGCGGGGCTCAATTACAAGATCATTTAAATAATGTTTTTTTGTCTATATATCTCTGCTCCATCACACATGAACTCACCAGAGACGATGCTCAGGATTCCCCCAGTGGAGGCGATCTTGGCCTTGGATTGCTCGGTGGTCGAGCCGATCTTGATGCACTTCAGTCCGAGCAGAGACACAATCATGGAGCCGAGGCCGAGCAGCAGAGCGATGATCATCAGAGCGCGGCACGCCTGCACATGAGCTGCACAGAGGAAAGAAATCTCTACATCAGTTTCACCAAAAACACATCAATAAATCATTATTGATTATTATTAATATTATTATTATTCATATTAAACTACATGGCTGATGGGAAATGTGGTCCAAAGGCATTTGGTGGTGTTGTTTTCAGATGATTCCTGTGACAATGTCCGGGCGGACCTATAGAGGATGATGTTTCCTCAGTATTAGAACTGTGTTTGTTTGAGAAACACAATTACATCAGATTTCTAAACTGTTATCTTGTTTAAACTCCATCTCATTGTTCATGTTGTTGTCACCTTGCAGTAACACCACAAAAATAAGAACAAAAAATCTGATTTAGATTTAAAAAAGAAAAAGAAAAGGCAGGAAGTTGGAGAAACATTGTGTGTATTACAGTCCCCAGCTGTACTGTTGTAGTCATTTATTGACATGATGACCTCTAATGATCATAAAAACCTGCCACACCTCTTTATGGTTTCAGGAGAGTCAAACAGTAAGCTGCTAACTAAACAGGCAGAAGGGCTGAACCATGAATCATACACTGTAATGATCACACTTAAATGACTTGGTATGTTATGAAAGACTATAATGGTTTTGGATGCCGAGGGTTCCCAGGCTTGAACCCTTAGTAGTCACAAAAAGATACAACCTACTACAACCGCAAACACTTCCTGGATGCTCCTGATTGAATGAATGCTTTCTTCTTCATGATTTCAAACAGGACCAACATGGCGGCTCGTTTAGAAACTTTCTCTTACATTACTAAAATAATTGACTAAAATGTGTTCCTGAAAACATTTTAAATGAAAAATAGGTCTTCGCTTTGGATCGGCAGCGTTTGGTTTAACAGTTCTTTTGTATGTTTCTAGAGGCGGCGAGTCAAAACCGGAAACCTTCGATTTGCATAAAGTAACCTTGATCTCAACTTTGTGCCAATGAGAAGCACCTAACGTTCTCTCAAAATGCACCATGGTGCTATCAGAATGCTTTGGCTGGTCAGGACATCCAGGACTTTTCAATGTGATGTAATGCAGCCATAAAAACATGGTATGTTGAGTTTCTCTGGGAGCATTCAATAAAGAACTGCAACCAGATGATGACACTAAATGTATTTGATTATGTTAGACTAAATGGACTCCCTAAACTGCCTAAACACATCTGTGCTAGAACATTTTTACAACTAAACAAGAGTTGAGGCAACCAAAGAATACTTCTGATTTACTCATTACATGATTTACATACATAATTTCACATCTAAACCCAGTAAATGCAGATTAAAGTAAAGTAAGCCAAACTACAGTGAAGAGGAAGCAGCACTACTGGCTGCTTCTTTTTGGTCTTGACAGGCGTTTGCCTCCATTTTATTGTCAGTGGCTTAAAATGGCGCCCAAGGATAATCTTACACAGTATGACACATCATATTGGAAGAAAACACTTAATTCATAGAATAACTTTTTAACAAAATGTGCATAAAGAGGATTTAGTTGTATTGTCTTTGTAGTAAAATATATAACTCTAACATTTTTAATTTAAGTTTTTTAGGCGGGAAACTGGTTGTAAAATCCACCAACCTTTGGACGACTAATTCTGAAATAGAGCCACATGGCACGCTGGCCTATTTTCTTTACAACGGATCTGATAGGCTTTCAAAGAAATTCGCAAAAGAAATGTTTTTATGATGTTTGAAGCTCCAATGACATTTTTAACCTTATTAAATGCTGTCAAAGCCTGAAACCTGATTATTGATGTCCTTCTGAGACTTTATGAACTCATAGATAGGAGGAGCTTAAAATTGACCTAATTGCTTCTTCTCACCTTCTCAAGTCACTTTATTGGTCTTAAATGTTCTTCATTTCGCAAAAATGTGAAGAAAAGTTTTAGATAATTCCACATTCAGTGAAACAGACTTCAGCAAGTTATTCAATTAGCAGTTTATCTGGCTCAAGTTGCTGATTATCTCTTATTTCATGAGGACGACTAGTCCTTATATCCAGTTTATTTCCACCTCATATATATTATTATAAAGTTACATTGAAGACATCAAAAAGCCTTGACTATCTTTGCTTTATTGGAAAATATATTTTTCTTAAAGAAATCGAAAGGTCTTTAATCAGTGCTCTTTGAACTCTAACAGGGTCAGATACTATATATTGGATTATAATTATTTTCTTACCGGGGAGGGAGAGCAGCGATTCAAAGTCTCTACACTCGGCGATGCCGGCGCTGTTTTCGGCGCAGGAGTGCCACAGGTTTTCAAACTGCCTCTGGGAGATGATGACGCTGCCGGACACAGTGGAAATCTTCCAGTAGTCGTTAGCAAGGGCTGCTCCGTTGATCAGCCAGCTGATTATGCACATGATGAACCCGGTCGCTTCCACAGCTGTCGACATGATGGCAATGTTTCCAGAAAACTCTTAAGATGAAACAAAAGAGAACCTGAGAGGATATCCAAAAAGTCTAAAAACAATGAAGCCTTTGTCGAAGCCTTCAAAATGTGCAATGAGAGCAGGGTCACAAGGCCTGATCGTCCTAGATGAAGCCTCAATGAATTAAGTCAGGCCGGGTTGTTGGACGCTCCGGTCTCTCTCCTTCAGCTATTTCTAGTTGATCTGGTGTCTGTGGCTCTAACAGGAGGACTTTACTCTCAGCCAGGGGCCATAAACCACTGGGAGCCGCTCCCTGTAGTTCCCCATCGCCTCCTACTCCGTATTGATGAGGATGATGACATGAGTCTTCAGCCACACCTCGAATAACCCTGAAAGCCATCCACAGGTCTTAAGCAGACTGTAATAAGAGTCCTACGTGTTCCTGATGTCATACAGCTGCTTTTCAGTAAATTGAAATACTGCTACTGCAAAGGAGAAGGTTCTGAAGTAAATGTATGTGTGCAGACAAAAGTCACTAATTGGTTGCTAACAACTTTTCTAGAGTAGCAGCTATGGTGTTGCTGAGATGTTGCTAAAGGACTACTCAAGTTCAAGTTATTTTATTGTCATGTACAAAACAACTGACCCTTCCTAAGTCCCGCCCCTTTTTGCTATGGGCAAGCTTCGGTCAACTTCCTCCTTTCCTGTAGATATGCTATGTGCGTATCGTTTATGTTGAAAAGACAACAACATTTTGAAGATGGTGTCATTTCTAGGTGGTTTACAAAACAGTAACTGGCTTCTCCTGGTCCCGGTTAGGATTCCTTCAGTGTTCATGATTCAGGAGGTTTCTACCAGGAGCCCAATGATCCACAGAGGTCTCCTCCTCTCCAAAACAAACAGACCCGCTGATTAAAACTGCTAAAAATACTGAATAAAGCAGTTCCACCTTAACAATCACTGCTTCTCCCACGCTGTTGGACAGACAAAGGACGTCCCGGAGGGGCTGCGAGCCGAGCTGCTGCTAACGTTAGCTCAGCTTGTTTCTCTGATAACTTAAGATCCCGACGTCCGATGACTAAAATCCTTCATCCGGTTCAAATCTAGAGTTAAAAAGCACCAAGATCTAAACAGTGGATGGTAACAATGTGGCTTCAGACTGGATCAACAGTCAATGTATGACAGCTTCTGGCAGACAACCACAACGTTGACGCAGGCACAAAGGGGATATAAACCTGAATAAAATGACAGATTTCTCGGGGTTTGAACACATGTATTTGTGGTGAAACTATTTGTAAAACCTACAACCTTTTTCTATGAAATTCAAATTTGTGTAGAGGAAGTTATGCTTATTTGCAAATGCATGGATATGTATGTGGATATGACTTTACATTTGCTTGTAGATAGCGAGAGTTTTGTGGACCATGGTACCGCATTTTCAGGACTATAAATCGCACTTTTTTTCATAATTTGGCTGGTCCTGCGACTTATAGTCAGGTGCGACTTATATATGAAATTTAACATGTTTTAAGGCTTAACCAAAGTACTCTAGCCACTCGACATCTCAGTGAACCGGAGCTTTAAGGCAGTCTTGCGTCGTCTGTGGGAGGAGTGGATGGTGGATGGAGAGCACAGCTTCACAGCAACCGGGAGGATGCGCCATGCAACTTTCCAGCAAGTCATTGGATGGATCGACACAGCATGGACTTCAGTGACAACTGAAACCATGTGTTTAACTTGTGTTTCCTGATTGAATGTCTGTTCTTGGTCTTGGATGCTGTAAAATAAATTTCTAAATAAGGTAGCCTCCCGAGTATTTGCTCTGCTGCCGGCGTTTGCCTAGACATCGCCCAAAATGCTTGATTGCATTGCATTCTCCACATTTTTAGCAAAATTTTCATGTACCACATCAGCATTTTTGTTCAGTGAATCTTATTTGGCCGCCTTCATATCGCCCAGCTCACCTCATTTCACTCCTTCGTCTTCATTAACATTCCCGGTAGAATTCTCAATCTTTTTGACCTCTATGTGTCCAGTTACATAGTCTCTGTCTGTTCTTGGTCATGGATTTTGTGAAATACATTTCTAAATAAATGCGACTTATAGTCTGGTGCGACTTATATATGTTTTTTTCCTCTTCATGAGGCATTTTTTGACTGATGCGACTTATACTCCAGAGTGACTTATAGTCACGAAAATACGGTATACATTTGTGGATTGTCCTTATATATATAATAATCCATAATAAATCCAATAAAAACTTAGAATTTACTAAAACAAAGTAAAACATTGGTTAACCTAAAGTAATTGATCACACAAAATATTTGACATCGAATATAAATAATTTATTCAGTTAAACCTGTATCTTTTAAGTTTGCAATTTTTTAACTGCAAACTGTTTTCTTAAGGTTGAACAAACCACTTATTTCAAGTTACCCTAATTTTATAAAAGTCATTGTCTTTATTGACTTACTGTAAATTAACCATTGACCTGAATTGTTTAACTCAATTTAAACTATTTTTTGGAGCAAATCATTTGCTATAAATACATTTTGATTAATGACTACTCATTCCTTTACATCCCATTCATATTCATTGTTCCATAAGTAGAACACATTTACAGCCGCAATAATTAATCAATTAATGGATTAGTTTTTTGACTATCAAATTAATTGCCAACAATTTTGAGCATCAACTAAAATGTCCAAATTCTCAGATTTTAGCGTTTCATATGTGATTATCTAACCCAACCCTGGGTTATTTAGTCCCCTATGACAGTAAAATGAATATATTTGAGTTGTGGACAAAACACTCAAAACTTTGAAAATTATTTGAGAATGTGATATTTAAATTTTTTGTAATCTTTTTGTAAATTATCAAATAAATTAGAGATTAAAAAATTCAAATGGATTTGATTGGAGAATAGAAAGTGAAATAAGCAGCTGCAGATATTGTTATTGCTGTGAAACTGAGATAAACATTTATTGCAGTGAACTGCTGAACCTCAGTTTCAGCATTTCCTTTATTCTGTTGCTCCACATTCAATAATCTGAGTCAGAGGGAACTGAAACGCTTGAGTCACTGCCTCTCTTTTCTCAGTCTATTCTCCTTTCTCATATTTCCTCTGGTGGACCAGCTCACTGCTTTTGGACACTAAAGGAAAGGAGAAGTCCGACTGTACAGCAGGAAGTAAAAGGACAATAAACATTTTCATGTCCAAATTAGGAAGTACAAGTTCTGCTGTCGGAGGAGAACAATAATGACATCATCAGTACAGACGACCAGAAGAAACTGTTGTTATGAACAAATCAAATTTAACCTATTTAAAAAAAAATATTGACTGAATATGACTACCTGTAAAATATATTACGTTCATTTTTTTAGGCTTCAATGGAAAACTTATAGCTGCTTGAACTTGCATGAACATATTTTAAAGTGTTCAGATATGTGGAATCAAAATGAAGAAATTAGTCAAAGTGAGTAAATGGATAAAAACAATTAATTTAACATTTTTCAATTTAAATTTTACTGAAGAATTTACTAAACTGAATCCAGAATCATTAAATTAAAGATATTTGATCAAATCATTGCAACTTTAGAGGTTGAACAATCATCAGTATGTAGATTCTGTAATGAGGTTGCATTTGATTTTCTACTGTCCATATGTTGGACTAATATTCAGAATTGGCTACAGCCAAAATGTCCACAGATAATTAATACAATTATTCTGAAAATATAACATATTTATATTTAAAGCTCAATCGGAAAATAATCTGGATTTCAGTTTTCTTTTTAAACAACTGTGAAGTCACTATTTATATAAATAATATAATAACTAACCATTAGAAAGTAGCACAACATAAAATGATTCTGTAGTGAAGAGTGGGACCTTACATACAGTACATATAGAGCTCTAAGAACTTGTATATGTATGTTTAACTTCTCTAAATGTACTGTTACTGAATCACTGAAGGTTCCTACTAACCTTATTTTGTCTTTTTAAATTTGTATTGTTTTTGGGGCTGTTGTTTGTCTTTTTTGTGGGGTAACCTTATTCTTTGTCTGCACTGAGTAAAAGAGGATAACACCCTCATACAGTATTAGATGATGTTTGCTGTGGCAGATGTGTTGTGTGTCTGATGGTTTCAGGTTGTGTGAGTTGTTGTGTGTTTTATGGCTTTATGGTTGGTGACAGTTAATGTTTGATGGTCGTCAGAGTCCAAAGTCCGACACTTCACACTCTTCTTGTCCTCTCTTGAAAGAAACATGATCAGACTGGACCTTTACTCTTAGAAAGAACAAAAAGAAAAAGGATCCAAATCATTTGGTTGTTTTCTGAACAATTTATAACAACAAATAAAGAGCGAATGCTTTTACAGTTAAAGGACAAAATAAACCTTGTTTAACAGCAGCTCAACTTTCACAAGTAATAAAGTTTTAATATGATAATAAACAAGTGTTTTTTATTCAAATGTGGCCAAAAATATCTGTATTTTATGACAGTATTCATTTATGTTTCGCTTTTCTTTATTTCTCTTTTTTCTTTTTAAAGGTCCAGTGTGTAAGATTTAGTGGCATCTAGTGTTGTAGTTGCAGAACGCAACTCCTTAAGAATCAATTATACTATAGTATAGTTTCATGGGTGCTGGCAGTGCTACATGACGCACAGCTTCTCTGTTTAAGTCCAGTGAAGAAAAAATATGTTAGTGAACTTCAGGAGTTTGGGAGGAAACCGCTGTGAATGGAGCAGTGACCGCTGCATCATCGGAGAACAGCTTGGACCTTTCCAGAAATACAAGTATAGACTTGTGGTTCTTGTGGAGAATAATCCTGCGAGAACTCCCAAGTTCAGGAGCACAGAGAACGCTGCTGATGGTTTGAGACGACCTGCAGCACAGAGGGCTCCAAAATAACAGACAGGCTGAATCTCAGCTGATTACTGCACAACTGTACAATCTATTTATATTCTTTATAACATTTTATACTGCTTCTGTTGTTTCTTTTCATGTTTTTAAGAGGACAACTTCAACAACAATAACAATCATAACTCATTAGCAGAACTTCTGCCCTACACACTGCAATACTGCCTTCATCCTAACTTTCTGCATTGTCTCTACCTCAGAATAATCATTTCATAACCATTTGTGGAGGAATTCCTTCGACCAGTGAGTCTCATTAACGACTCGCCATTCAGTAAGCGCCCTGGTTTCCTCCCCTTATATCACACATTATATCTTACACATTCCTCAGTGTAATGACTGAAGAACAGTGGTATGTTTATGTTAATAAATCCATGCATGTGGTTGTTTTAAAGATGTCTTCCTTTGGTTGTTTTGGGTCAGTGGTGGTTGGCTATTCGCCCCGTAGGGTTGCCAAATGATAATATAATCAAAAGGAGTCAAGAACAGTGATCACTTTGTTTTTGGAGAGCTGCTTTCTGTTTTTTGCACAACAAAGAGGTTAAACCAGAGCACAGCAGAGCTCCAGTAGGCTGTGAGGAATCAGCTGCACATACCACCAGATTTTTAGGCCCTACACTATCTACAGAGCTCATCAGGTGTGTTATGAATTAAGCCAGTAAATTACAGCTGACAGCTGACGCCCTGAGGGAGGTGACAACAAGTCAGACCGGCTCTGCGGCCCAGATTCATTGCAGCATCAGGACACACCAGCTTCTGTGTGCAGATCTAGGACATATCGCAGTGACACTCACACTCATTTGGATCTTAAATTTTAAGGAGTAACTGGGATATATTATCATCTTCACAGTGGATTTAAGGCTTTTATTAACTTCTTTGATGAACAGATCCAGAAATGAGCACTGCATGAAAAACAAGTATCCAGGTTTTCTTTGAGGGATTTCTGTACAGTACTCTGGATTATATATGTCGTGTTCTGGATAAGTTTACATGCAGGCCACTGGTGGGATTTGGATATGGTGGACCTAACGTGACCAGATTTGTCCCTCCTCTCATTCTGGAGACGAACACTCTGGTCATGAGACTGAGACACAGTGTGACTCTGCTGCTGCTGATGATAATGATCCTGCTGGACTTCACAAACTGTGAGTTCACTTTCACTCCTGAGAGGTTGTGCAAGTGCTCTTACTCTCAAAAAGGTCAATAATCTTGTTCCTCTGCTGGGATATTATGCAAACCATTGTTGTTACTGGTTAAATTAAGCTCAATATAAGCTGTAATATTTTATTAAGACAAAGTTTGATGTATTTTCTCAGATTACTTTTCTAATGCAAAACCTGCATGAAAACATTTTTGTTCCTTTTAGACAAATAAGACTAATTTTCCAGAAACAAGGCTTGTTTACTTTCTTAAGATTCCTTTTTTTCCAGTGAAAGAGATGGGAATGTATGAAGACATATATACTAATAGTCTGCTTACAATAATGTGTGTTTGATATGTTCTTTTCTCTAAAAGAAACTATAATTTCTATGTGAAAACCCTTAAGTCATCATCTCCTCCTTCCCTGTAAAGTCCATCCTCAGTGTCTGTGCACTGGTGGATCTCACTGTAGAAGTTACATACAGGACCAGGACTGACCTCCAAACTATTTGTGATGGCACAAATAATGCTCGTAGGTCCTGCCCCTTAAAATCAGATGTTCAGTGAGCTCAGAGAAACTTTCCAGTTTCAGCAGATTAATGTGAAAACTTCCTTCTAGTGTCAAGCAGTTCAGATTGAGTCCACTCTCATGTCTGTACAGTACATATGAACTTATAGCCCGCAGCTGGTTAGCTTAGCTTACCATAAAGACTGGAAATCAGAGTAAACAGCTGGCCTAGGGATTTAGGGTTTAGGGTTAGGGTCCTGGGTACCAGCCGAAGTCTAAAAACAAAAACCGAACCGGACATTTTGTTGTGTTTTTATTTCATTTTAATGAACCTTCTTACAACAATAAACAGCTGATGTGTGAGATAAGATTTAAAATATTAACTCATTGTGTGACAGCAGATGTTTGGACGCTGCCACCTCCCAGCAGAGTCTCCATGGAGTCTGTTGACATGAGACACGTACTGAGGTGGCACCCACTGCAAACTCCCTGCGACACTGCAGTCCGGTACTCTGTGCAGTTCCAGGGGTAAGTCAGAAAAACAATATTTCACATCACTGCTGATCTGGCTTCAGACTTATTTCCCTCCTCTGTAGTTTATTTTGACTCAGTCAATCAATCTGCTGCTGAAAATAGTCCCCGACAAATACAATATTTCCTCTGGTTTGTTTGACAAGCAGCTGTTTTAGGGAAATTACTGATTTGATTTATTTTTTTAATGAAACTATAAACAGCATTTGAGAGAGTCAAAGTCTTTTATGAGAAATATTAAATAGAGAAATAAAGAAATATATTTAATAAAAACGTTGGAGAGATAATTAACGGCAACAGGTTCATCTTCAAGTAGCAATTAGAACAAAGGCCAAGACACTTTTCTTAATAACATAATGTATTTTACAGGTAGTTTTCACGCATATTAATGCATGCATGTAAGATAAAGGCACTGATTCAGCAGAATGGCCCGAGAACCAATGGAGAGCCACAGACAGGAAGTCAGTTGGTTTTTTTTTAATGGGACTTGCTGAGGAGGAAATATATATATATATATATATATATATATATATATATATATATATATATTAGGATTATTATCGTTAAGGATTAATCTGCTGATCCTTTTCTGTGTGAAATTTAGGAAAATATGTCCGTCTTAACTTCCCAGAGTCCAAGTTGATGAAGTCAAATGTTTTATTTGATTGACAGTCCAAAATCAAAATATATTCAGTTTAATATTAAGGACTGAGAAGAAAATATTCACATGAGGCTAATTATTAATTCATTATTAAATGTGACTGATTTCATATATATTCATATATATTAAGTCCATAGACTATAATGTTTGCTAAGGTACAGTCTGTGCAGTTGTATGACAGAAATGTGAAATATGCAGCTGATACCTGCAGGTTAATGTGAGAACAAAATCAAACTGGTGTTTCTTGTATCTCACAATCGTCAGACTAATAACACAGAAATTAATGACACACCTGTCCTATTAGTAATAATCAGCAGGTGTGATACACAAACACTCAGCTGCTCCAGTTTTCACTCTCTACAGTCAGACTGCATCATGTCAGCTGTCGATCACAGAGCAGAAGTTTTAATGAACTGTCAGGAACATTCCTGTGGCTGTTCTGAAGCCTCAAAAACACGCCCTCTGTTTTGAAGTTCAGTGTTGAACTCTCATTTCTGCTGGCGGCTCTGCTGCAGGTATGTCAGCTGTCAGTTGGTTCAACATTCAGGGTCCCCTCACAAGTATTCCTACTGACTTTGGCGATCCACTCACTTTTCCTCTAGCGCAGCTAAAAGTTCAGTTTTATACAGGATTACTTCAACAGTACCACAGTGTCCAATAGTCAGTGTTGGTGGACATTTTTTTTATGTTGGTGAGATGGTTAAACCTTGGGGTTGGTGTTGGGGTCAGATCTAAAGATCTTCTTTGGGAAGACATTAAAGGTTAAAATAAAGTTCTGTGGATCATGTTTGATCGTATAAATCCACTAAACTGTGACCAATGTCACCTAACAGGTAGGCTCAACCTGTCAACGGACTGAAAATGCTGACTCATGTTTCATGGCATTTTTAATAAACTTCACTAAACAGAGTTCCAATTCTACGAAGAGTTTCTGTGAGTCGGTGGCATGCACGGCAGCAGCGTGTGGTGGTGAAGGTATGCAGGGTGTGGTACCTGAGTCTGGGCTATTTACTTTGGCCAGAGGCCAGACACTGGTGTGTGAAAATTGTTTTAAATTAGTTTCAGATATACAACCAGATTCACAAAGAAATTTGTTCTCATGGAGCATAAAACAAGAAAAACTTATGATAAAGAAATATAAAATAACATTTCTCTCTAAATACTGTTCTTCCACCGAATTAGTTTTGGTTCTTGAACCAGTTCCATTTAAGATTTTCCATTTACAACAGTTCTGAGCCGAACTGTTGTAGTTAAGCACGCATCATCAACAGAGGGGGAGAAAAATACACAAAGACCTGTAGAATATGACACGCCCACATTGGTTCCCAAGGAAAACCTGATAGTCCCAAACCTATTGCCTAGGGAACCGGTTCCATTATGGTTCCTAGTTTAGAACCATTCAAAGCATTTGCACCCCAAAAAATTGACTGTATACCTACGTAGCACAACCAGAGCTAATTTGGTGGGAAAACATGATGTTAGGCTTTTTTTTCATCATCAGGGAACCACTTTCATGCCAGCTCAAGCACAGAGTTTTTAATCGTTCTGAGCATTTCAACCAAAAATGAATTGGAACCTGAAAAATTGGTTCCCGGATGTATCCAAAAAATATCAGGTTTTCTTTGGGAACCAAAGTGGGCATGTCATATTCTACAGATCGTTGTGCAGAGCCCTGCTGTTGATTATGCATCCTTGATTACTACGGTTCCACTGGGCTGGGTCGCTAGATGGCACCAAGGTTCCAAGAATCTCAAACAGAACCGGTCTTATCTGTCTTTGTCCTTCAGGGAGTTTGAGCTGACGGTCCTGAACGGCAGCTGGGTTGATGCTTCTGAGTGCCAGCAGACTCCTCACACTCACTGTGACCTGACCTTCGACCTGGGCTCCGACTCCGACTACAACCTCCACGTCCAAGCACAGTGCGGGTCCCAGCTGTCGCCCTGGACCGCACTCAGCCCACCTTTCAACCGCAGAGACAGTAAGATCCTAACAGGAGCAGGTCTTCAAACCTGCAGAAACACAGCACAGTGTCATACAAATCTCTCTCTAGTGCGACATGTTTAGGTTTAAAAAAAATTAATCAATGACTGAGTGTGAATCTCGTGCCGGCAGCGGTCCTGATGGCACCGGAGATGGTAGTGACGGCGATGGGCAACGCCCTTCAGGTGTCGTTCGAGAAGCTTCCTCTCACTGCTGTTGTCAGGGTGACGATGTGGAAGAGAGGCAACGAGCAACAGGTCAGAGTTCACTTTGTTCCATTTCTCTGTGTTTCTGCTTTCGAGGTTCTATTTCCTGCTTTCTCCCCTCTTCTTTCATTACCTTGTCCTCAAGGACTGTTATTCTTTTTTTCTCTTTTTTGTTTCATCCCTTTGGTTTGTTTCTTCTCCAGATCTATTTTTTATCCCCACATTTCCCCCTTTTCTTAATGCTCTGCTGTCTTCCCTTTTTATTTATTTCTCATTTAAACTTGTTTTTCCTATCCTCCCTTCTTAAATGAAACAAGGATTTGTAGCACATTTTTTTGCAGTATTCGTTTCATTATCTGGTCTCATAAAAACAGACTCGTTACACCTGTGTTCTCTCTATCTTTCAGACTGCTGTGTATACGATGTTGGCTGAGCAGAAGATGCTACACTTCAACACCCTGCAGGAGGGAGCGGTGTACTGCGTCAAAGCTCAGACTGTCCTGCACACACAGCTCCACAGCAGCAACACCGACACCCAGTGTGTGTCCATCACAGGTACGGTGGGACAGGCAAACACACATTCAATTATGTAATATGTGAAATAGGTGATTTTCCTTACATTCCAAGAGCTTCATCATTAGTTTATTTCACCAGTGTAAAGTGAAAATATGATCCACAAATTAATTGAGTTTATTTCCAAGTAAAGGTTCTTTTTGTCAGAGAACAAAACTACAAGATGTGACCTTTTATCTTTTAATTGGTGTGAAATCCAAATGATCCAGTTTGTAGAAGTAATTAATTGAAGGATTTAAAGTAAGGCTTTAAATGTAAGAATCTAAAACAGATATTAAATGTTTGTTCTATGTATCTATGTAATATCAGTAAGTGCTCGCAACAGGACGCTGACTGCAGTTCACTGAATAGCCACTGGTGTCACTATTAACAGTTTAATGAAAGTTAAATATAGAAGCTATAAGGAACACTTTTTCCTGATTGAATTGCAGGTCCAGACGCTCCATGGAAGAGCCTGACCGCTGTGACTGTGACTGTTATCTTCATGGCAGGTCTCCTGTTTGCTGTGTTCTGGTTCATCGTTCACTGTCGTCCAGATGCTTGTCGAACGTATTTCCAGAAAGAGCCACTGGTCCGCTCACTGGTCAGTCCCAGTCCTTATAAATATATAAATACATTTAAACACTTAAAATAATGGATGGAATAATCATAAAATCACAGATAGCACAAGCAGCAGTGCACCAGTAAGAGATACTTTGGTCTCGCTGACTATCCGACTAATGAAAAGGGGGTCGACTAAGACTTATACAGTTAACACGGTTTAGTCAACTATAAGAGGACAGTCCTAGTTGCTACAGAAGCAACTACACTAAATCACACCACTGAATCCTACACACTGAAACTTTAACTCTACTCACTGTGATTTTGAACAGTGTGTGTTTCAGCACAGATTTAATGTGTAATGAAACTTTAAGTATTTAATGTAAATAAATGAAATCTGTTTACTGTTGCAGAAACCTGATTGGGACATTCAAATGCCGATGAGCCCTGAGGAGGTGGAGCTTTGTGAGCAGATCCACGTGGTGCAGAGAGTCGACTCTCAAACCTAGAAGAGTCACTGCACCTGTAGAAGATCAAAGTACTGAACTTTTATTCTTCGTGGGAAAAAAAAGAAAGGAAAACAACAAGGAAACTATTTACAGCTGAGCTTTGTAAATGTTTCATGACTGCGAGCCTCTGCTGCTCCCTGGTTTAATGACCAGTATCGGGCACCTTGGAGACTGTCCAAAAACTTTTGTTTACATTTAAGTGACAAAGCCTCTACGGGGGCCGAAGGAATAATGACTCTTGTCTGCCGGGATGGATGTACTTTGAGTTATTAACACATCCTTTAAATGTACATTTAATTAATCAATATCAGTTTTTAAAATGATAGTTATGTTTGTTACGTCTATTTATTCTAGTGCACACTCCCAGTGCCTGAAGTACACCAAAGAAGGTGCCTGCACCCCAATTCAACACAACCCTAACCCTAAATATTTTGGTGTTTTTTAGCCTTTTTAAAAAAAAATTCAGTGCTGTTTTCTTTGCTACGTGTTCACAGTTACACAGTTGTTTAGGAGTTCCTCACCAGCATTGGTGTGCGCAGGGTTTTAATTCAATTCAATTCAATTTTATTTGTATAGCGCCAATTCATAACAGAAGTTATCTCAGGACTCTTTTCAAATAGAGCAGGTCTAGACCGAACTCCTCATAACATTATTTACAGAGACCCAGCAGTACCACCATGAGCAAGCACTTGGCAACAAGGGCAAGGAAAAACTTCTAAAAAACTTTTAGAAATATGAAGGTCCAAAGCTGAATGGGGGTTTTGGGGCATGAAAGCAATTATTTTTAAAATACAATTATTATTTTACCTGTTGGAAAAAAATACCAATGACCTCAGAGTGGACAAAAACTAGAAGTGCCATTTCTGGTACTGCACTCCTGACTCCATATCTTAGAATCCTGTATCTACTGTTACCACATTAAATCCTCAATCTGAATGGCTTCAGATACAAGTTACGGTTAAATGCAAGGGCTGCCATTATTTTGACAGATATTACGATTCACAATTAGTGGAAATTATCATTTTTGCATCACAATTTTAGTTTTCACTGACAAAACGATTAAAATCCCGATAATGTGACATTTGTTGGACCAAACAAACATATTTTCTTCACATTTGGCATCTCTGCAGCACTGACGTACTTTGTCATGATGCGGTTTTACACTCGATTTTGATAATATTTCGATTAGTTTTGCTGCCCTGTTTTCTTGCATGTTCTGATTCTCTCTTGGGAGACTTAAGTTAACATGGATTCTCTTGTGTTAAATGGTAATTATGATCCATCTCTGATATTAGATCAAAAATATTATATCATCACTGAGAAAAGTGTTAATTTTGTCCCATAACCTGACCGAGACCACAAACATAAAAATATTAAAATTGCAGAACATATGTTATGTAAATAAATGTTTTAATACTTTAATACAGTGTTTTATAAATGTAATTTTCAAATGAAGATCTTTGCGTAATATTTTCTTCGTTGCAGAAAACAAAAAGTTTCTGAAAAATGAAAAAAAAAATCTTTACACCAAAGTATTTATTTTCTGTGACATTTGACCCGAACGACATACACAGTTTTATGTAACGTGTCCCAGAAGTCAACCACAGAAGTTTGTTCATGGTGCTGTTATGTATAATGTTATAGCGTTTTTATTGTTTTGGTGGCGTTTTATTACATTTATATTGTGTTTTTTTTACATAAATCTTGATGAAATTAAGTGAATTGAACCAGTGTTTGTGTGTTTAGTTTCACGTTAAGTTGATACTAATATTTAGTGTCATTAAATTCAACATGTTTGTAGCAAAATTCTTTCCCTTAAAATGACGAACTCAGGTCATCGCACATTCTAAAAGGTATGACATAAAATCAATAACTTCACATTAACTTTTTACAAATATTATATATAACTATTATATAATAGTGTATTACTAATTATAATAAAGAAAGACTATTTTCTTTGCAGTTTTTATTCCTGGGGGAAAAAAACAACTTCACAAGTACATCACATATAATAATGATTTAGAAGTTGTTATGAGAAAAACATTTTAGAATCAGTATTTGTATAATTACAGTATATTAAATTGTATTATTATGTGATTTTAATACATGATGAAAAACAGCAACATTTTAACTTGAGGTCACAACAGTAAAAAGAAATGAACAGACAGCAGAATTTCGAGTACATGTGTCTGTGCACCAATCTCCTAATTTATTACCCTTGAAATGGGACATTGCTACTTCTCAGCAGCGCCCCATTCAACATTTTTTCCCAAAGGATAACAAAGTCATGACTTAATGACTTAAAATGATTTAAAAGTAAAAATGCACCACTATGAGACATTATATTCTTTTACACTGCAACACTTTTCTCCTGAAATAAAATCCAGGGAAGTTGAGCTGCTGGCACTGATATCAAACATTGGAGGCCATATTATATATTATTATATCAGGTCTGCTATTAGCATTGTCATGCTCCTTCATTCACCCGCTGTCCAGTTACAGGAACATCCTCGTCTACCCCGGCACTAGCTGATGGGTCACCAGGGAGAATGAACCATCCGGTGGTGGAAAATGCCCCCTGAAAAAATTGCAAAATAAACACACAATTAATATAACGTTGTACATTTGGCTAATTTCTGCTACAATGGAGAAAAAAACTAAACTTGAAGAACTCTTTAATTCTGGTTTCTGCACTGCTTTTTTGTATACTGATTTTTTAACAAACAACAAAACAAGATTCTAGATTTTGTTCTTGTCATTTTTGGACATCATTTAGTAATATCATTCATGATTGGTATTTAGGTTGAGGGAACAAACACTTGTGAAGATGTAGGAGGCAAATCTTCAAGATGATAGACAGATATAAGCTATGCGTATGCCTTTTTGTAACACATAAACTGGTATTTATAAAAAGGAGAATTAGTGGTGAGAATGTGTCAGCTATTATTTTCTGTAAAATCTCAATATCAATTTATCATTGATCTTCCTTCTGATGTTTAAAAATTATTTGAGATATTGCGCTACAGCTGGGGTTTCCAATCGGGGGGTCAAGACCTCCACTGGGGGTCGCCAAAGCTTCACAGGGATTGTGAGGCCTTCTTGATTTTAAGACATGAGTAAATGTACAAATATACACACTAGGCCTATATCTCAGCATTTAGTTAATTTCTGTGAAGAAAAACAAATTAAATTGTTATTTTTAAAGTTAAGATTTTGGACTTTGACTTGATCTGAACACAAGCTATATTGATAGAGCATTAACTCTCTGATAAATAGCCTCGTCCTCCATAAGAAAAACATGTGTAGTAAAATAGCCAAAGATACAACAAAACTCATCTCTGATCAATATTCACAGAAAATAATCTGCTGAAAATTCATCCAAAACTCTGGTTTTACACAAACTTCCTTCAGAAAAAAAAAAACTGCAATCAATTTTATAGGGTGTTCATTCTGTGGTAATGATTTAACATAAATGCACATTTACCTCCTTAACAGTCTGTAAGAGTCTTTATTCGGACTTCATTGACTGGTCCAACACCTACTGAGGTCACTGCTCTGCATCTGAACATATACTCTGTGTTAGGACTCAGATCTCTCACTGTGACTTCTTCAGCTTTTGATGCTGTCTGTTGTTGCCATCCATCCTCTCCATTGACACAGTACTCAACAGAGTAGGAGGTGATGTTCTCTGCTCCAAATCTGGGTGGAGAAATCTTCAGTGTCACACTGTTGTGGTTTATGTCCCTGACTGTCACTGTTTCAGGCTTTGAAGGTGGCTCAAAGTTCTCACTTACAGAAAAGCCGTCTTTATAAAGGTAGATGCTTGAACCTTTCTCTGCCTCATTTGTTGAGCCAACTATCAAGAACTTAATGTTCTTGTTCTCCTTGTTGGCCTCTGCAAAGTCACTGAAGAGCTTTGCTTTGTTTCTCATTGCATCTGCTACTTCTTTTGAGGCATACCATTGTTCCTTCTCTACATCATGAGTATGTGAATGTTGAGGGTCGTCTGGTTTGGTTGTTCCTTCTAAGTAGTCTGATAAAGCTGAGAGGAACGGTTCATCGCTTCCCAGTGAGGTGAAAACAAAACACACTGAATGATCTACACTGAGACTTTCCTTGTACAGGTCTGTTTGAGACGGGACAATCTTTGTGTTTTTCATCTTGTTTGTTAAAGATTTTAAGGTGCCGATTTCTCTCTCTTTACAGTCCATCCACTCGTTCAGGTCTTTGCTGTTGAAAGGAGAAGAATGTCTCTTCTTCAAGATCTCTGCGAGCACAGCCTCCTCTTCTCCTCCTCCTCGGATTGATGGAAGTTTCTTTGCCAAGTTTTTTTGGAATTCCTGCTTGAACTCAGAGCACATCTTTTTAAAGGTTTTAATCTTTTCGCCAACCAGTGGGAACTGCTGTCCAGTGGTTCTCAAAGCATAATTGCACCTTATTTGCAGGTCATTGAATTCCTCCAGGACACTCTGTGATTCATTTACTAATACTGCACTAATCTGACGGACGAGTTTCGCAGCAGAAGAATCTAAACTTGTCAGTGGTAACAGCCAGACCTTCACTGGGACTGCATTTTCTCCATTGGCTCCCAACCGTTTTGGCAGGCTGTGGAAGACTTCCACTGCCTCCTGAAAGGTTGTAGGAGTTTTATCAAGCAAAAAGTCTCCATGGAAACTGCAAAAAAATCTCTCAACTTTTTTGATGTCCTCGTTGTCCATTTGCAGGGAACCTTCATTTTTTAGCAAAAGGCTGGAAACCTTCTTGAGGATCCCACGAAAGTTGCTTTCAAAATGTTGATAACTTTCGTCTTCAGACAAGTCGCAGTCAAAGACGAAGAAGGCATGTGCCCCATAAAGAATAGCTGTGACTACATGTGTTGCTATTTTGCTAGTAAAAACATCCGGATACTTCACATTGCCTTTTCCGAAGTGATCCATCGTCAGTTCCTGGAACTTTGTGGTTGCTTCATACTTCAGTGTTACTCTGGCCTGATTTCTGGAAGTCTTAGTATTGTGTAGGTATTTGGCAGAGCCTGAAATATTTACCAGCCCAAACAAGAAGCTCGCTTTCAGGGATATTTCAACATTTAGAGATGACAATTTTTCTGAAATTGAATCTGATGCAAGTATCTCAAAGTCATTGTAGTTCTGGGTTTTTTCTACTATATGCTTTTCCAGATCATCGTGGTCCCACAAGGTCATGCCTGCAAAAATAGACAAAAATCAAGTACAGCTTCTGTTTTTTGCTGAATTATTACCCTCCAAAACTTAGCAACTAACACCAAACCTAAAATTGCACTACAGGTAAAATATGCACTTTTTTTTTTTTTTTTACTTGACTTAAGTGTGAAGGAAAGAAAGAAAGAAAGAAAGAAAGAAAGAAAGAAAGAAAGAAAGAAAGAAGATTATGTACATGAAATAAAAACCTGTACAAGTACAGCTGTATAAATACAACTACATAAATATGTTTGTACGATTCATAAACATCTCTAAAACAAATGTATACATGATGTGATACCTTACCAGGGATGAGTGAGTCTTGACGGCAGTCGTACAGCTTTCCAAGAGTGAAAGGCCGACCGAGTGCCGCCACCCTCAGCGTGGTATTTGGGTCCATTGCTGAACCAGAGGAAATAGACGACAGCAAGTTAGTCATTGAGTTCCAGTGTATCTTAAACCCAGAGTGTCCCAAGTTGGATTCAGTAAATCCTCCTAACACAAATTTGTCACTTGTTTCAACAAGAAAATCCCCCCTGTACTTGAGTAAGTGTTTGTTTGTGGACACAAATAAGCCTTAATAAAATTTTAACTGAATTGTGTCAAAATTCTCCCCTCATACAGTTGTCATGAACAGGGAAATTAGCTATAGAGACCAAAAGCATTTTTTGTACCAGGCTGTAAACATGATTAATTCTGCTTTAAAAGTTACATTTTAATATGGGGCCTTATGGAGATTGACTCACTGCTGGAGCCAGCCTCTAGTGGCTGTTAGAGGAACTGCATTTGTTGTTACTTCAGTGTTGGTTTGGACCAAACAGCATCCTTTGAGGAACTACTGGCAGCAGTCAGTCTTGAGACAATGTCAAATTATACTTGTGTATCAACTAAAACAACATAAACTGCATTTTTTAGAGAATGTAGTGATACATTTAGAAATGTGTAACACTGAATTAAAGAGTTTATTGGCGAAGTCTGAGGATGGAAAATGTATTTATAAGGTGAGATCATTTCAATCCAAAATATAATTTATGAGCAAAGTTTTTTTCTGTGCTCAGAATGTCTCACTGCGTGCTCAGTATTGAGAAACAAATCTACCAGGTCTCATTACCAACTCGTCAAATACCGCCACTCAGTCAGAGGCCTTCTGCTTTAACATATGACGTTGTAGGCTTCCATCTAACATAATTTCTGGATGCGGTCGCTACAAAGTCAGGTGACCAAGTACAAAGAGCGAGTCCGCCTATGGAGGAAGTTGGGTGGATGGATAGCAGGACTTCAACCCAGGAGACTGCCGTAGGTGTTTCATGCGAGAACAAAATAAGTAGTTATTCATTATTAATTAGATCTGACATTAAAATGAGATTATTTATTAATACATGACTAATACAAAGTGAGAAGTGTACAGAAGAGGAACTTTGGGAACCAAATAAACTGTGTGGCAAAAGTAAATTGCTCAATAAGGACAAAGTAGTGACAAATATTAAGCATTGACCAAAAAGAGGGGTTTATGACCTGTCGTGTTCTGGAGTCTAAGTAACGTACTGGTCTACTGGCTCATTCTTAATTACAACTAGAGTAACAAGCCTGCTTTGAAAAATATAAGCAGTAGAAAGTACAGATATTTGTGTAAAAATTTAAGTGGTAAAAGTAAAAAGATGTCAGATGAAAAAATACTCAAATTAAAGTACACATACCTAAACAAACTACTTAGCATCTGTCTTTCCTAATTTATAACCAGTGGTTTTCTGCCTAAACCTAACCAAAATGTGCTTTATGTTATACCTACAACCTACAACGTTATATTTTGAACCTGACCAAGAGGCAGTATTATTGAACAAGTTGGGAATGAAAACGTGTTTAACATATATTATATAATGCAACAAGACAAGAGTCAATGGTACTAACACCATATCTCTTAATAAAAGTAACTTTTTTAATAGTTAGCATACAAATAACTCACTTAGAAAAACTGAAAAATTACAAATAAAACATTTTTGAATGAAAGAAACATTTAGACACAGCACAATAAAAAACAAACAGCTATCATGTACTTACAGTAGAAGACGTGTGATGCTCTGAGTCACTTCTGATGTTTCTGTCTTTATACGCTCACTCCCTGATCTTTATTCAGCAGCTGGAGGCGGTCCAGAGAGAACTAGAGGGATTTCCTAAAAAGGGTGTGACAATAATGACTTGAAGAATGTAAAAAATGATCACAGATTTACAACAAAAGCTGCAATACGTTTTCTTGCATTTGGCAATGTTTGTTTTTTAAATATGCATCTAATTGCATTTGTAAGTAAACAGAGACAACTCATAGTGCTTTACATAAGGCAAAGAAATGACAGTGACGTGATGTTTGGTGCACAGTTTCGACCTGCCAGTGACTGCTCCCTCAAACCCTGGAACACCTACTGATGATTGAGTCTCCCTAGCTAGGCTAGCTATGGACTCCAAATCCCAAAGAAATAGTCTCATAAGATCATAGAGGCTTCAACAGGGCAAAAAACAGTTAAAAATGTCTCTTTTGATTGTCAAGGTTGCTGACACTGCTCTATACCAACATCGCAAAACACACATCATTAAACATTATGGCCGCAGGGCAGAGACCCCCAAACAGAAGATTACTTAAAAACATAAACTACACAACTTAAACCGCAACATCTGTAAGGGTTAGTTCATAAGTGGACCCAAGTGCAGAACACTAGGAGGCAGATGAAGGTTAACAGGTTTATTGTAACGTTACTACTATCATTCACTCTTTTTAGCCTTTTTGGTTTCCAGCAACTCATGAAGGAAATGTCTTCCTCATTAGATGCTAAAGCTAGTTGCTGTCAGCTGTTTGAGGTAGAGCACAGTGAGTTTTGAGCCTTTTCATCTAAAGTGACAATTTATGTCATTTTATAGATGAAACAATAAATTAATTGGCAGATTATTTTTTGTTTGTGTTGTGTGGACAGGATCAAATTAAATAAAAATAAAAAAAAAAGGCTACCAAGTGTAGTTTTTCAGGTCTTCATGTAACTGAGTGGTAAAAGTGATAAGAGAGGTTTTGGTAATAGTGACTTGTATGATCAGTATAGTGTAAATCATTTCTTAAGGTTATGTGTGCTGACAAGACGTATATTTCAATAAATAATCAGTAATTTTAACCTTTTGGACTGATTCTGAAGGACTGACACTGAAACCATGTTTTAATTTGAAATGAATCTAATTATTAATGAAATTTGAGATATATAATATTCTATATAAATAATAAATATTTTTGTTTAATAATAATTCATTATATTTGATAAAAAGAGAGAAGTGTACAAAAGGGGAACTTTGGTAACCAAATAAGCTGTGTGGCGAAAGTACATTTCTCAATAAGGAGAAAGTAGTGACTAATATTAAGCAATGACCTACAAACAGAGTTCATGACCTGTCGTGTTCTGGGGTCGAGAGGTGAAAGGAATTATCAGGAATCAGCGATTTATTTCACCAATGTCAGCAGTTTATGTAGTCGTTGCTTTACTAAAGGTAAAATATGCACTTTGAGTTTTGGGGTGAACTGTTCCTGTAATATTAAAATGTTATATATACTTAATGTGAAGGAAAGAAAGAAAGAAAGAAAGAAAGAAAGAAGATGCTGTGCTTGAAATAAAAACCTGTAAAAGTACAGCTGGATAAATACAACTACATAAATATGTTTGTGTGATCCATAAACATCTCTAAAACAAATGTACACATGATGTGATTCCTTACCAGGGATCAGTGAGTCTTGACGGCAGTCGTACAGCTTTCCAAGAGTGAAAGGCCGACCGAGTGCCGAGTTCATGACCTGTCTTGTTCTGGGGTCGAGTGAGACGGTGAGTGCATCACAAGGAATCAGCGATTTATTTCACCAATATCAGCAGAGGGTTTATGTAGTCGTTGCTCAACCTAACCCTGATTTTGCAAGATATCTAACAGATGGTCTTCAACACACCCTCGGAGGACATCGGTTGCACCAAAAAGATTGTATCACCCTCAAAGGAGAAGCTTCTGCAACGCTGCCGTGTTTTGTGAATTCAGCAGAAACTCTGTGTGTTAAACTTTGTTTAGCAATTTATTTAAGAAGTCAAAAATGCATACCAGATATTTTAGCAGGTCCAACAAGTAGAAAGTGAATTAAAAAGCAAAAAAAATAAAAAATTCAGGTGAAGCATTTGAGTTTTCAACTGTATTTTAAAAACAATAAATAAAATATACATTATTTTCATATAAGAAAATTTTTTTTTTGTAATATACTTGAATAGATATAAATAGCCTTAATGTTAATAACTCTAACCCAGTCCATGCAAGACAGCAAGTCACATTCTAATCACTGACTAATTGATTGATTATTACCAAGGTATCAGTTTATCATTATACAGCACAAGGTTATAAGAACCAAATGAAAGTCTGCACTTCATTCATGCCACACACACATAGGTAACGATTATATATATTAATTTACATTATCATCATCAACATCAATTCATTATTGTTTTTAAAATACAGTTGAAAACTCAAATGCATGCAGTCCACCTGAGTATGTCTTAAAAATTAAATTCAGTTTTTTGTGAAAAAAAAAAACTTAATAAAATTGAAATTAAATTACATTCTTGTGTTTTAAAATTTGTCCCCGTCAATAATTCCTGCTTACATTTGTGCCACCAGAGGGCGTGGAATCTCTATCGATGATGACTAAAGTTGTCACTGAGTCTGTGGAGTCTGCTGTGTTTTCAAACTAAGCACAATGGAAATATAACAGCTATTAGCTACAGAATATTAGAATATTAAAAACAAACTACAAACATTCAAAATATAAAACATTAAATAAAAGTATATAAATAATAAAAACTACAGTTGGCCAGGCCAGCACCAGAGTGATGTGTTAGTGAGAAGTCTAGTGGCTGTAGCTATATGTGTGTGAAAATATCCACTAAGTAACAAATAAAAATAATATTTGGATATATAATTCTAATAATATTTAGTACAAAGAACAACATGTAGTTTGTATAATACAATATACTGATTGTACATTTTATTGTTATAATATACACTGTAGGATGGATTTAAGGGGAGGCCTGCTGTATAAAACACACCAACACATCAGAGGACGACAGAAAAAAAAGGAAAGACGACGATTGTACATGTTAATGATTCAATTAAATCATCTTCTTTTTTAATTTAATCATATACATCATGGAAAGTGTTAACAAAGCATATCTGAGTGTGTGTGGGTTATCCGTAATCCAAACTATTCCTGGCCCAGTGCCCTCGTAGTTTAATGACTTTGTACAACAGTCAACATCAAACTTCTTTATGGTCATCATCATCAGTCACTGCTATTAGTGCAGTTGTTGCTGTGCACCTTTGTCTCTCTCTCTCACACCCCAACTGGTCGAGGCAGGCGACCACCCACCTAGAGCCGAAGCATCTGTCCTAGGTTTCTGCCTTTTAACAGGCAGTTTTTCCTTGCCACTGTCTCCAAGGTCTTGCTCATGGTCAAACTGTTGAGCCTCTGTAAATAATGTTATAAGGAGTTCGGTCTAGACCTGCTTAAAGAAGTGTCCTGAGATAACTTCTGTTATGAATTGGTGCTATACAAATAAAATTGAATTGAATTGAAAGTTGGCCGAGCATTTTGTAGCTTCTCAGTCCCCAAATTGCTTCCTCTGGACTGGAGCACAGGACCAGGTGCCGTAGTATAGTATGAGTGGTATTTGTCTCAATCATCATCATCGGTGGTCACTCATAATCGAGTTCTTGGTCCTTGTGGGTCTTCAGATGGGCGTAGAGGCTGACCCTGGACCTGATTATTCTTGTGCAGTGTGGGCAGGTGAAAGTTGTGGTGGGTTTGGGCTGGGCCTGTTTGGTGGATGCTCTCTCCTTTCGAGTCTGCGTCTGTGTTCTGCAGCGTGGTGGAGCTCTTCATTATATAGTGCAGCACCCTCATGGACAAGATTTCTCCATATCGCCTTATTTTTGTCATGTCCACCCAAGTCTTAAGAATCTGTGATGTAAGGTGGATGGGTTCCATTTTGGGAGGACGCGTGTGCGTGATATCTTTTAACGTGGGGAGACTGATGCCCCTGCAGCCACCACACGGACCTTGACAGAAGGGGGCCTGGTAATCATGTTGATTGAATAATGTTTGCTGATTATACTGTGTTATATACTCACAGGAAAAATGCAACTGAGTTTGCAATGAAATTAACTAAGGAAATGCAGAAGGTTGTTGAATGGCTAAACAACTCCTGTTTGACCTTAAACATTGAAAAGACTGTAACCATGTTCTTTACAAATAGGAGCAAACTCAGGAATTGTCCTGAAATCTTAGTAAATGGGCAATCAAAAAAAAAAGTGGATTAATTAAAATATTTAGGGGTTACCCTTGATCAAACTCTTAGTTTTAAAAATCATGTTAAAAGTTGAGTAACACACTGAAATTTAACCTCATAAACTACAGACACATAAGAAACTCTCTTACTGTTGAAGCATCACATACATATTTAAATGCAATGATTCTCCCACATCTTTTCTATTACATGAACAGTTGGTCTCAGGCATGTAAAACAGCCTTAAAACCACTTGAATCATTATATAAAAGTGCCCTTAAGATTCACGACAAAAAAACACGTCAATATCATCACTGTCACTCACCAAATATAGTATTTTAAATCTTGAAAATCTAATAATGCAGACAAATGTATACCTACTGTTTACAATTATTCATAATGCTACTGCTCCTCCTTTGAGAAGAATGGTTACACTCTGTTAAAAAAAAACAACAAGAGCTACCCAATCAGTTACCAGGGGAGAGTGCAGTATTCCTAAACGCAGGACTTCATTTGGTAAAACATCTTTTTCCTTTGTTGCCACAAATCAATGGAACACACTTCCAACAGAGCTGATAACGTGCTGATTTTAAAACATTTTCATGTCACACAAAACGTTGGATGCTGTCACAGCAAACTTGTAGACATTTGTGAGTGTGTGTGTGTGTGTGTGTGTGTGTGTATTTGATGGGGGGGGCATATTTATCTATAAAAGTTGGCGTGAGGGGGGAATGTGTGTATTCTTAACTTTGAAAAAAAAAAATTAAATTTTGTACAACTGTGAATTTAGTAACTGTTTTGAATGTATTGTATGTTCAATCTACCTGCCCAGGGACTACGGGTGGAAAATAGCAACTTGCCAAAACCCGGTGCAATGCAACTCTCCTTGTTATATATAGGGTTAATGTTTTATTGTGCATTGTCCCTGTTCAAATAAAATAAATAAATAAATAATAATAATAATAATAATAATAATAACAATATAAACATATGCACCAATGCGTCCTCATGCTTGTGTTCATGAATTTGACCAAATTGACTAAAACACATTTCAGTTATATTATGTATATTTAAAGGTCCAGTGTGTTTTAGCTAAGTTTTAGCGATTCACAACTCACTCATAACAGGCTGCAAAACTGTAAAAAATAAATTTAAAAAATACAATAGTCCCTATGTTCAGCCAATGTTGGGTTTGTCCTTTCTGGGTTACTGTAGAAAGACGGTGGTTCAACCTCCACAAAAGGCAACCAACAGCATCTCTAGATAAAAACATCTCATTCTGAGGTAACTAAAACAACACTTTTTATTTTCAAGTGATAATAAATTAATGAAAACATAATGAATATTATATTACTGATATACTAGACTAGATATTTGTCAATATTACACACTGGACCTTTGTTTGTACACATTTTCTCGGTTTTAGCTTTTGTTTCTTTCCGAGGTCTACCTCGGTACAACTCGTATTAATTTTTTGTTTTAGTTAACGTGATCTGAATTTCGGGGCTGCAGCTGAAACATTAGTTCACTGCACATCAACAGCTTTTGTGTTAGCAGTTGTAACATTATTTACATTATTCTCAAAGTCTCTGAGATTCAAGTTGACACTTCGATGAAGAAGCAACTTTGACTCGTAATAACTGGCAACTGGAAATTAAATTGGATATGAATGTGACCCCAGTAAAAATAATTTGGTCAAAGAGGATGATTGAATCAAAGGGCTTTATTAGAAGTAAAACATCAACATATCTGTGTAAGATTGGAAACAACAATGAATGAATATGTAAAAGACAAAACAAAGTGATTTAATCTCTTTAATCTCTCTGATCATTACATGTTTTTCATCAACAATATATCAAAGTTTCTTCTTAACATAAAGCTGCATTAACCTTGGCTGCCCACAGTCAGCTTTAGCCTATTACAGGTAAGCAACATTTTCTATATGAATACATCTGAAGAATAACATGAGCACAAACAAATCATAATCAAAAACAAATTACAAAAGGTTCACACAGTTACAGAATACAGATAATTATTATCACATGCAAATGTATGTCTTCACCACTGGTTTTCAAACCACCACTAGGGGTCCCAAAGGCTCCACTGGTGGTTACAAGGCCTTTCTGATTGTATGGGGTGTAAGAAAACTTTAAAAATATAAATACAGTGGGCCTGTATTTCAGCATTTTCAGTTTCTTTAAGGAATAAAGTTGGGAACCAGTGGTCTACAGTAATAATCTGATTAATGAAACAAAAATCAAAAAGTTTTGAGCAAACATTTAAATCAACAAGAACGTAAATCAACTTTATTTTGCAGTTTTAATAAAAAATTCTCAAAATTAAAAAAAAATAAAGACATGAGCTTTTAGTTTTAATTTCACCCCTAAAACCAAGTCCTAACCTGTCCCAACAACTTTGGTCCCTGTGTGACATAAACACTATGCAAATGTTTCCCAAACATGTTATAACTAATTTAATCAACCAAATGTTTCTCATTTTTTACATTTATTTTTCTACAAAACAAGATACAACATGTAAATCATATATGGAGTTGTCAGAAAGCTTAGAGAAAAAAAAACTATTAAAACTATTATTGATGATTTATTTTTTCAATGTAATTTGGAAGTAAAAATGTGTTTTGATTTATCGCATTGAATAAAAGCAAAAAAAAGGAAAAAAAACAACTGCTAACTTTTGATTGTCCCGCAGGTCCAGAAGATGCGTGTTGACCACTCTGACTCTTCATGGCAGGTCGTCTGTTTACTGTATTCTCGGCCATCAGTCAGTCACAGGCCGCGGTGGAAGCATGCCTCCATGACCTCCTAAGTCTATGCATAAAATACAAATAAAAATCAATAATATTTATAACATAATTTGAAGCATGAGACGGGATGGTTTTCAATATTTTACATTGTTCAGTGGGCTAAACCACATGCAGGACTCAGTAAGTAAACTGCTGTCTCTTGTGTCAAAGTTTCATCTAGTACATCTGCCATTCAATCCCAACACTACCATTATTGGACAAAAATTGAAGCAGCAATCATATTTGTTTAATGACACATGTGTAGTATGTAATCAGAATTTCCAAAAATATTTGTGTCTTAAGTCATCAAATGTGCTCCTACTTACGTGGGGGTAACAGTAGGTGTGTAGTAAATGCGGTGACTTCATTGGCTGGTCCAACACCTACTGAGGTCACTGCTCTGCATCTGAACATATACTCTGTGTTAGGACTCAGATCTCTCACTGTGACTTCTTCAGCTTTTGATGCTGTCTGTTGTTTCCATCCATCCTCTCCACTGACACAATACTCAACAGAGTAGGAGGTGATGTTCTCTGCTCCAAATCTGGGTGGAGAAATCTTCAGTATCACACTGTTGTGGTTTGTGTTCCTGGCTGTCACTGTTTCAGGCTTTGAAGGAGGCTCAAAGTTCTCACTTACAGAAAAGCCGTCTTTATAAAGGTAGATGCTTGAACCTTTCTCTGCCTCATTTGTTGAACTAACCATCAGGAACTTTACATTCTTGTTCTCCTTGTTGGCCTCTGCAAAGTCACTGAAGAGCTTTGCTTTGTTTCTCATTGCATCTGCTACTTCTTTTGAGGCATACCATTGTTCCTTCTCTACATCATGAGTATGTGAATGTTGAGGGTCGTCTGGTTTGGTTGTTCCTTCTAAGTAGTCTGATAAAGCTGAGAGGAACGGTTCATCACTTCCCAGTGAGGTGAAAACAAAACACACTGAATGCTCTACACTGAGAATTTCCTTGTACAGGTCTGTTTGAGACGGGACAATCTTGGCGTTTTTTAAGAAGTTCATGAAGAACATTAATGTGTAGACTTCTCTCTCTTTACAGTCCATCCACTTGTTCAGGTCTGTGTTGTTGAAAGGAGAAGAATGTCTCTTCTTCAGGATCTCTGCAAGCACAGCCTCCTCTTCTCCTCCTCCTCGGATTGATGGAAGAACCTTCGCCAAGTTTCGTTGAAATTCCACCTTGAACTCAGAGCACATCTCTTTAAAGGTTTTAATCTTTGAGCCAATCTGTGAGAGCTGTTGTGCAGTGGTGCTCAAAGCATCATTGCACCTTATTTCCAGCTCCTTCAGGTCCTCCAGGACAGCCTGCGCTTCTTCTATGAACACAGCACTTATCTGACGGACGAGCTGAGCACCAGTAGAATCCAGATGTATCAGAGGCAACAGCCAGACCTTCATTGGTACAGCATTTTCTCCATTGGCTCCCAACAATGTGGGCAGGCTTTGGTAGACTTCTACTGCATCCTTAAATGTTGTAGGAGTTTTATCAAGTAAAAAGTCTCCATGGAATTTGCAAGAGAATTTCTCAACCTTTTCGATATCTTTGTCTTCCAATTTCAGGGAACCTCCCCCTTCGATCACAATGCTTGGAATCTTCTTGATCATCACCTTCAAGCTACCCTCAATGTCTTGATGACTTTCATCCTCAGACACATCGCGGTCAAAGACAAAGAAGGCTTTTGCCCCGTAAAGGATACCTATGACTACATGTGTTGCTAATCCCTTATCAAAGACATACGGATGCTTCACATTGCCTCTTCCAAGATGATCCATCGACAGTTGCTTGAACTTTGTGGTTGCTTCGTAATGCAGAGTTACTCTGGCTTGACTTTTGGATGTTTTATCATCATGCAGGTACTTGGCAGATCCTTCAACCTCTACCAGCCCACTAAAGAAACTTGCCTTTAGGGAGGCTTCAACATTTAGTGCTGAAGATTTATCTGCAATTGATTCGGATGTAACTATCTGAAAGTCATTGTAGTTCTGTGGTCTTTCTCCAATATGATTTGTGAGGATATCGCTGTCCCACAATGTCATGCCTGTATTAGATAGATAGATAGATAGATAGATAGATAGATAGATAGATAGATAGATAGATAGATAGATAGATAGATAGATAGATAGATAGAGCACTTTATTATTCTTTGCAGAACAGCAGCCAAACAAATTCTTAAAGAGGTAAATAATAAATAAAACAACAAAATGTAAGTAAGTATCTTAACTAGAAACCAAACTTCTGTTAAAAATTAGGATCAAACTCTTAACTATGTATGTGTACATGTACACATTCAGAATATATGCATTCTGTCTTTGTCATGTAGCTGTAGCATGCCAGCTAACAGCTGTCTGCAGATATCAGGCTGATGTGAAACACAAACAGCACACAGAAAGTATGCAGTTTTTCATGTTTCACCTGTTCATTGTTGAACTACATGAAACATATCTTGTGAGCTTTGTAATGATTGGAAAACCAATATCTGATATATAGATTGGTTTGTTTTATACGAGGCCTAATGTTTTGCATTTGTGGCACCTTCTAGTGGTGGATTTCAATGAAATTTTCAGGGTATGTTTCAGGTACTTATGTGGACTTTTGTTTTGTGATGACTGACAACGGATATTGACTTATGTCTATTTGTATGCTGAGCAACGCCCCCTCTGAAGCTCATTGATGCCAAAAATGTGTTTTACAAACAATTGAAAACGGTCTAGTTAGGTAATTCTAGTTAGGCAGACTTCAGTGATCAAAGAGGTTTTTTTGTAGAGCTGGACTTGTGTGTCCAGCTTTCATCGAAATCACGGTGCGATGGGCGTGGCCTTTCCAAAACTGGATTTTAGGACCTTAATTACAGCGTCACCATCTGGCTGACTGGGCATATGTTTCTTGGGAAGCATGGCCAGTTATTGGGCCAGGTTTCATGTTTCTAGCTCATTCGTGGTCACAGCAATTTTAGCTTTTCTGCCTTGAACCCCTAAATATGATGTTAATCATAAGACTTTGCATTTGCAGAGAAAAAGAATTGATTAAAATCATAAATTAAGCTATTGAGATTGAATTTGTTGCCGATATCGCCCAGCCACAATTAGCGTATCATGAAAAGAACAGAGAAAAACAGATATCGCTTTACATTAAGAAAGTCTTGGTTCTTGTGCAGTTGCAGTTAATAACTTCATATAACTTCATCGTCCTTACCAGGGATGAGTGAGTCATTGCGACAGTCGTACAGCATCCCGAGGCTGAAAGGCCGGCCAAGGGCTGCTGCAATCATCATGTTGCTGGTTTCGGGATTCATCTTTCAGTGTGAACTAGAGAAAAATGACGTGCATGGCAGTTCATCAACATTTTCTAGGGACAATAGAATAAGGAACATCCAGCCAGTGGAGATTCACTTGTACCCAGGCAATACAGTTATTTACACAGTTTGGGTCAGTAATAGCAAAATCAAGTTATTACTGACCTCCAAACTCATCATTTCACCAGTTTGTACGCTATTCTGTACATATTATAGATAATACGTCTCTTTACAACCTCTTACAAATATTCTGGAATATCCTGAATTCAAGGGGAATTCGAGTCGTCAGTAATTAAGAATCTATATAGAAACAGCTAATCTTCTCACTGCTGTTTTGTTTGTTTATATAGGTCATATAGAGACATCGGTATTAAACTGAGACTGTTTATAACCAGTTAGAGAGAGTTTCATAAACCCATCAGATTTGTATGTGGGATGTCAAGGACTACTTTTTACTACATCTGTCAGCGCCTCTCCTCAAGACTCCGGCACCAAGACACTTCAGATGAGTGGCATAAAAGTCACATGAGCCTCTCAAAAAATCAAACCTCGTATCTGATTCAGGAAATGTCTTCGTATACGCATTTTTAAAAATGAGGTAAAATGGATTAATACTATAATAATAATAAACCTTTTGGTTTTTGGACTTTGTTTCCCCATGCTGCCAGTCTTTATGCTAAGCTAATCACCCACCAACTACTGCTTTTTATTAAAATTTTTATCATATCAACCTCAGGTTGAACATCCTACTTACATTATACGCATTTCATATACATAACCTTTATTTAATACATCATAAACATTTACAAACTACATAGATATCTTTTAATTGAATTGTTGTTTGTTGTTACAATTATTATACTATACCTGCACTGTGCGATATATATAATTATTTCATCCATCTTTCAATATAATATTTTTATATACATATATATCTATTACAGTGCTAACACTGGGTGTGTATTCAATATTCTGTGTAATTATTTCAGTGCAATCAAACATGTATATGTATATAAAAGGTGTTTATAGTGAATATCTAACTTTTATTTTCTATTGTTTTGTATTGTGTTGTTGCTTGAGCTGCTGTAAATTTCTCCAGTGTGAGATCAATAAACCCTGTCTTATCTTATCTTATTGTCTTTACATATGTTATCTTGTTTTAATCAACTCCAGCTCCATGTTTCACACACAGTAGTATCATCTAACTTTAAGCAAGAAGCACATCAACATATTTTCCTAAGTGCTGAACTATTCCATTAAAGGTATTTAAGGTGTTCATATGGATAATTAAACAGTTATTTTATGAACCTGGATTCCTAGTAAATATTTACAACTCACATCACCCCTAAAATAAGCATTGTTAGATTCAGGAATAATTGTTCTCTCATCACATTACACAGAACAACAAAACATCAGTGTAAGCAAACAGAATCACTGTACTTACAGTTGGAAGGTCTGTGGTCCGGTGTGGCACAGAGGCAGTTCTGTGGTCTTTAAACCCTCTCTGAGTGAGAAACGCCCTCAGATCATTATTCAGCATCTGGAGGCGGTACAGAAGAGAGTCAGAGAGATTTCCCAAAAAGGATGCAACATGATGTTTGTTCTGTAAAGGTCATCGTGATTACATTTCAACATATTTGATCTAATTTCTTTACAATATCACATGCTATAAGGCCAAAGGCAATCCACAGCGGTTTATACACAACATGATATGCACTGGTATAGGCTTCCTGTGGCTTTAACAAAATGTTATAACATTTCAGCAACTAAAATGTGCGTCATACTTTATGTCCTGACCCAGCGCCATCTCCTCTATATTATGCCGAACCTCAAAACCTTGAGCAACAGAGAACTAATTTTTATTCATTGTTTGATCATTTAGTTTCTGTGTTTGTCTATGCCCTTCAGTTGATGTCTGGATATCATTGAACACTATTATAACACAATTCACTGATTAATCAAGAAAATAATCAGACGATTAACTGATAGTGAAAGTAATTGTAAGAGTTGCAGCACTAATGGAAACTCACTTCTATGAGCCTACTTTAAAATAGCTTCAAACATCCACACACCTCTTTTAATGTCCACAGTGGAATTGTATAATTTCTTTTACAGCGCTTAAAGTCGCTGAGCTAAACACAAAGCCACTGTCAAAGGCAAACACTTTTTAACATCCTTTTAGTTAGTCATGACGGGTTGCTTTTTTATTTTCCAGGAAAACAGCTCTAGAACAATAGGTTAGTAATTTCAGATCTTCATAATTTAATATACACACATATTCTGGATGATTACAAAAAACCCTAGTGACTAAATATAATTCAATGCAGAAATATATGAAATTCTTGGTACCATTGGATGCAGAATAACTGCAATTTTAATAATATATTCTTTGTTCCAGTGTAAATCTGAAATTCAAATGAAAATTAAACTTATTTTTATTATTATTAAACTGTGATTAAACGTGATTTGCTTTATCTACTATCAAACCCTCCGCAATGTTAATTTTGAAGGTCAGAAGTCCATTGTGTGTGCATCATTGTGCAATATCAATATTAAGATTAACATTAAAGGACCAGTGTAAAGGATTCAGTGGCATTTAGCAGTGCAGTTGCAGATTACAACCTCACCTTCCTCCTCCAAGTGTGAAGAAGAAACTACCCATCTATATTGGTTCTGGGACCCTGCTGGTAGTGTACACAGACCATAATACCCTTACCTTTTTGTGTTCCTTACAAAATCCAAATCAGCATTTAATGAGATGGGCTTTATTTCTGCAACCTTACTATTTGGACATTCGCCATATAAAAGGTACTGACAATGACATGGCTGATGCCCTGTCTCTTGCTTTTTAGGTGCCAGATTAGGGTTGCCTCGATTTGGTCCTTTTCTGTGTTGGTCTGTATTAATGTATCTTAAATACTCCTACAGGGACGGAGGTTGCAGAGAGGGTGAGTGGTTAGATAGATTATGTCAAAGATTCCTTCAGTGGAGCTATTGGATAAGTGTACAAAGGACCAATTATTGAAGATTGCTAAACAATTTGATGTTGAGGTTAACTGATAAAGGTTTGAAGGAAAACATTTTCTCAAAAGTAAATTGGTGGAAGGTGAGATTGTGACTGGAGATGTGACCAAACATGAAGTGTCGTCTGTGGCAGTTGAGGCGTTTACATTTGAACAGCAAAAGTGAATATTGTTTAATTAAACTAATTTTTGTTTAAAACATTTAAATTCTCTGTCTGGTCTCCCTCCTTTGTCATAAGCCTAACGAGCAGGTTCATGACCGTTAATGTTCATACGTTATTCTTCTTCTGGATATGGATATGTGTTGCTATTGTATATAAAATGTATTTGGACATTAACCAGTTAACTTTAGTCTGGTTAATTGATGTTGAAGTAGTGACACTGAAATATTGGAATAAGCTGTGATTAACTAAATGTTTGTGAAAATAATCTTTTGACTTGAAAAATAATGTTTAAGCATATTTTTATTCTTACGAAATTGTTTATGAGAGTAAAAAGGGGGAAGTGTGTGTGTGTGGCAAAAGGAGGAGAGGTGACCATTGGTTCATGACCTTTCATGTTCTGGGTTCAAGAGACAGTAAGGGGAATCAGGCCTGTATTTGTCATCACTTTCAGACAATTTCTCATGTATTCATGGCGTCTGTTGCTTCACTCCACTTACCTTGTATGTCCACATACTCACTCACTCACTACGAGGACAGAAACACAGAAGGAAACTGAATCACTGTGAAACATGTGTCTACAGTTGCAGAGACACTGCAAGATCAGCTTTATGTGGGAAATGTGCTTCTGTGAGGTTGTAAATGTTTCTGCAGACCGATGCAGAGAACATCCAGCAGTGTAATAGATGTACGTTTAAAACAGAGATTAAGGAGCCTTAAATTAACTCAAAACATTACACAATCATTTACATTATTTACATTGGTTATTTGTATTTGTCTTATCTTAGATGTGGATTATTGGCAATTATCCATAAGATGCATACTCATTTAAACCAAAATAAACTAAAAATATACAACAGATGTTTTCAGCTTTAGTTAATTTATCAACACAACAAGCCCAATGAAGCATTTGGTGAATATGTTTATTGAGGCTGTGAGTTAATGTTTAAATTAAGTTAATGTTAAAATTTTTTATTGTAACACCTATTCCCCCAATACCCCCCATTTTATTTATTTATTAATTTACTAAAATTCACACTGAAACTAATAAAAACTAAACTAAAACTAAACATTTTAAACAATAAAAACTAAGCTGAAAGAATCAAAGCCACTCTGTAAAGTAACTGAAACTAAACTGAATTAAAGCTGCAGTAGGGACATTTTTATAAATAGAACTTTTTTGTCACATTTGCTGAAACTGTCACTATCCCGACATAAGAACATGAGACAGATAATCTACATCAACAAGTCCATCAGGTCAGTAATATATTTTTTATTATTATTATTAATTATTATTATTCAACAGAACATTAATAACATGGACAGTGTGTAGAAAGTGTTTCATTAGTTTTTATTTTGTTTTTTATTTTAATTTTAGTTTTTAAAGCTGCAGTAGGTGATTATTTTATTCTTATTTTTTAATTGGTCATATTTGCTGAAACTGTCGCTATATCCCGACATAAGAACATGGGACAGATAATCTATAAGGATCATCTGGCTCCTCCTGGTGCTCCGAACGGCATTAGCAAGAATCCACCAGGCCCGAATAAAATCAACCAATCAGAGCCCAGAAAGATGTAAAGACGCGTTGGGTTGGAAGCTTGAAGATAGTCGATTGTTGAGTCTCAGTCCCAAAGTGTCGGTATTTGATGCTTTGGGACTCTCTTTCTTGGCTCTGATTGGTTGATTTTATTCGGGCCTGGTGGATTCTTGCTAATGCCGTTCGGAGCACCAGGAGGAGCCAGATGATCCTTATAGATTATCTGTCTCATGTTCTTATGTCGGGATATAGCGACAGTTTCAGCAAATATGACCAATTAAAAAATAAAAATAAAATAATCACCTACTGCAGCTTTAAAAACTAAAATTAAAATAAAAACGAAATAAAAATAAAAACTAATGAAACAGTTTCTACACACTGTCCATGTTATTAATGTTCTGTTGAATAATAATAATAATTAATAATAATAATAAAAAATATGAATGACCTGATGGAGTTGTTGATGCCCTGTTGACTTCTGGGTACTAAGAAGGAAGTTCATTGAAGAGGAGGGAGACGGAGAGGAAGATGGCGGAGCTGAGAGTTAACCGCTAAAGTCGACACAGACTTTTAAAACTGAGGGTTTTTTTGTCGTGTTTTTTATTTAATGTTGGACTGTGAACTGTTTGCCGGTCAGAAGTCTGGTTTCTGTGAGTTTTTTTATCTGTTTATTGATATTAAATAACCCAAACAATCTGTGTATTTCAGGCTCATACAACAGTTAGATTAAAGGGTGCCTCACATTAATAAATGAGAGTAAATTAGCGTGAGGTTAATATTTGCTTTGCGTTCAGATTAAAGAATACATTTCATAGTTTTTTTCTGTTATGTCAGTTTTGAGATACTAAATAAAACAAATCTGCAGTTTTTATTATAGATGGATGGTAATTATTAGGGCTGTATATCATATTAATTATTATTCCCTTTATATTACTATAACAGATTACATGTAACTGAGTTACATAATCAGATCTTTTGATAAAGGTAAAATGTGACCAACAGCATTATAATGAAGTACTGTAGTTCTGCAAATAATTTAGGATTACATTTATATGTAATGTTACAATGAATAGGTTACATTTCTTAACAGGTCATTAGTAATTCATCAGATTACCTTTTTAAAGTAATCTTCCAAACCGGGGTTATTCTGATAATTCAAAAGAATATTATTATAACGGTTAAAAATTATAGAAAATAAATTATCTGTTATAATAATAACAATATTATCTTAAAACCTAAAAACGTTTTATAGGCTTTATGTTCTATGAAAGTCAATGTGTTTTTTTTATTAACTTTACTTACTTTAAATCATAGATTCAAACAATAATTTTTATTTTCTAACAAAATTCCTCAAAAACCTTAACAAACATACTTTACTTTAATTGAACAAAAAGCCTATAAACCATTTCAGATAAGAATTAAAACAAGTTTTTATTATTATTATTATTATTATTATTATTATTATTATGGACAAATAATGAATCATTGAACATTTTTTAAATTATTTTAATAATTATAATAATTCACTAGCTAGCTAGTAACCTAATCCAAACATCATTAAAGTACCTTGATTAATTAACTTTTGGATTACCTTTAAACTAACTCTGAAAATAAAGAGAAGGGAAAATAAATGTAAGTATTGATTTTATTCTATAAGACAAAAGAACAATGTGTAACTTTAGAAAAGAAAAAATGTGTCTTCAGAGTAAAAACTGATGTATTTTAATCCTGTGAATAATAGTTTAACTCAAAGTAACATCATTGTGTGTGTGTGTGTGTGTGTGTGTGTGTGTGTGTGTGTGTGTGTGTGTGTGTGTGTGTGTGTGTCAGAAAAACAAAGCATATTAGTAGTAAATGTTTTCGTACTGTAAGTGAATAGGTTTCATATACTTCTGTAACAACATATTGGGTGATTGAACCATCAGCCGTCGTCACTAAAATCTAAAACAATGGCGGTAGGTGACGGTGATCTGTGGTTGTCTGAAAGTACCTGAACAGGTGTACCGTGTTAGATTTTAACACCTGCCCCTGCTGACAGTGGATGGATTCAAGACTTCCTACAAGGGGCTGGAAAAGTAAGTGGCTGCTCTCGGATTTGTGATAATAATTTCTGAAGTCGACCACCAGAACTAACGGCTCGTCGACGCGTTTCCCACCAACATCTGGATCTGACGAATTTCATTACGGGTGGAACTGAACAGAGTTTGGGTGAGTCGTAGAGTAGAACTGCTAACTTAGCATACGCAAAGTTTGCAGGCTCTCATGCCAAAGTCGAATTGAACTGGTCATGTGTTTGTAAATGTGTGTTCACTTGTAATTGTAATTGTGTTTGTTACGATACTAATACAGGAAATTACTCCAATACTCCCTCAAATGATTTATTACTCAAATTTAAGTGTTTCTCAGTATTTAACCTGAACCAGGTCACACAGGCATACTGGCTTAGTAGTATACGCTTGTTAAAAAATATTAATATATGTATGTCTACTTCTTTAATGCACATGTATTTGCTGATGTGTTATTACTGTGCTAGTGCTAGCTAGATAGGACACGGTATTGGTACGCTCTTGCTAGCTAGCTATACAGGAGATGTTATTACTGTGCTATCATTAGCTAGGTAGACAGAACAAGGTTTTATTGTCATAAGTCAAATAAATGTGTTATAAATGTGTAAACTTCACAAATAATACTTACATTCTTAATTGCTCATCTATTTCAACTCTTTACCCATGAAACAGTAAAAATACAGATGTAATGTGGTCAAAGCTCAAATCATCATTTATAAGCCCTGAAAATTACTGAGATACAACTTCCATTCTACCTAAAACTCATGTGGTTGGCACATCAATAACTTTAAAGCCAAACACTGAGGCCCTCTACAGGGACGGATGGAGCGGGCTGTTCTTTCTGACGAGGCTCCGGTCCTTCAATGTCTGCACTAAGCTACCACGGATATTCTACCGGTCTGTAGTCGCCAGTGTCCTCTTCTTTGCTGCGGTGTGCTGGGGAGGAGGCATCGGGACTTGTGGTGCCAACAAGCTGAGCAAGCTGGTGATGAAGGCCAGCTCTGTGGTGGGGATGGATCTGGACAGTGTGGAGGCTGTGACTGAGAGGAGGATGAGAGGGAAGCTGAAAGACGCCATGGACAACCCCTCTCATCTAGGGGTGGGTAAAAATATCAGTTCATCAATGCATTGCAATATATTGTTCCCAGTTCAATATCGATTCATTAAATCCTCTGAATCGATTCAAGCCCCTGGCCAGTGGGGGCGCGGTGAGCAACACCTTTGTGTGATTTGCGTTGTACGGACGGAGGCCGCACTCGACCACACAACAACAACAACATGGCAACCGAAGCAGGTAGCAGCAGTGTTAAACCAGCCTGTGGATTCAAAACAGACACAACTCGAAAGATCCTTCCTTTGCACACCGCCACCAAACTCTGCCCGCACACAGAAGATAACAGAGTCTGTGGCCGTCTTCATATGTGAGGTCCTACGACCGCACAGTATCGGGGAAAACGGGGGTTTTAAGAAGATGGTATACACACTAGAACCACGATACACCATACCAACACACAAACACATGAAGGAAGTCGCCGTCCCGAAGCTTTTAAAATGGTCAACAGTTACTCTAATGAATTATTTGTGTAATTCTGCTTATTACTGAATCAATATCGAAGCATTTAAAATCAATATCGAATCGAATCGAATCGTGAGGTTCCTAACAATACCCAGCCCTACTCTCATCCCCTCTACTCTGAACTGAGGCAGCTCAGGAGCACTTTCAGCCACAGACTGATCCAGCCCAGAGCCTCAAAGCGTTTCGGAGGCTCATTTCTGCCATCAGACATCCGACTTCACAACGCCACAGCACCCAAGACAAGATATTACTGTGCTCTTCATAGCTAGCTAGACAGGACAAGATATTATTGTGATAATTAAACTGAATGTGTTATATTGTAGTTGATAGCCTTTGTAGGGCAGAACTGAAACTGCACAATAAACCCAAACAGTAAACCCAATAACAGCAGGAAGTTTGTGTAAAATGAGAGATTTGGATGGAATTTATTATTTCCTGTGAATATTGATCAGAGATTGGTTTAACTCATATATTTTTATATAGGTGCTATTTATACATGCATCTGTCATCTGTGTTTTTAAACAGAACTTTTTTCTTCCCATTTGTTCTATTACCTTTTTGGTTGTTAATGCAGGATAAAGCTGTTTAGAGTGAAGACTCTGAATATAATTTGTGTTCAGGTCTTCACTGTGGCCTTATCATGTTTATATATGAAGTAATAATCTAAACTTTAATGAAATGCTGAGATAAAGGCCTACTGCATATATTTATAAGCAGTGTTAGAGGCTTCCCATAACCTCTAACATGCACAGCCCTGGAATCATTTGAGTATGAACGAGATCATGTTTCAATACTGTCAGTCCTCTGTTATTTTAGTACTGCTTGAAAAGCCAGTCAGTGCTTCGGTTGATTATATCTTTTAGTGTTTGCCGTGTTTTTTAGCATGCAATAAATATATAAAACACATTTACATCTTCATCACTTTTATTACATTTATTGGGAATGGTGACATCTGGTTTCTTGCTCTTTAATCGTGTATTATTATTACTATTTGTGAAGGTCTTGTTTTCTTCTATTCAACATGTTAGTAAGTATTTTATCACAAATATTTATGACAAAATGACCCTGTACTATGAATACTGCAGTACATGTGTTTTCCTTGTTTGTGGTCATAGTGTCAATGACAGTTTTTAAATGTGTAGTTACACTGAATTTCAAAGGCAGCACCAGTAATAAGTTAATTGACTTGCAATTTTCCAAAGTTGAGGCGTATCAGTTTCTATTGTATTTTGAGGTTTGAATGTTTTTGTTTTAGTGGGTGAATTTCTTCATCTTGTAAGATAAATGACCATCAAGTTTCTCAATATTAATAGTTTGTCGGTCTACCTCACTCTTGTTGGAGGCTGATCATATCATCACAGCCAATATTGTGCTGCCACCTTGTGGACAAAGTTTGAACTGTGTCTTCTAGTGGATTCTAACAGAGCACAGTGATTACTACCTCCATAAACAGTAAGTGAGTGACGATCTAGGCTAAAGATCCCACATTACGATGCTTTGACATTTGTGGATGTACTTGCAAAAAAGAAAAAGCTCTGTGGAAAAGTGAGTAATCAAGCAGGGCTAAGAAATAATTAAACCATTTATTGAGCATAGATATATATAGAGCAAAAACTAAAACTCAAGGGTGGAACAAAATGTTAATTTTATTGTTTATATTTCAGTCATTTCTCCATAAATCAGTCAGTCACTTAAGTTAACTACAGGGGGAAAAGAATAAATAAATACACATCAACAGCTTTTATGTCAGTAGTCACTATTTACATAATTTTCCTGATTTTCAAAAACATGTGTAAATAAAAAAACACACCATAGATCTGTGTAAAAGACAGTTTGAATTGAACAATGTATATTAGTTGCAACTTCAACAGCAACTTTTTTTTTTTAAATCAACAAAAACATTTAAAAATACATCATAATTTCTTCATCAGAAGCAGCTCTTTCACATCAGTTCTTTGATTCAAAATCACAAAATTTCTAATCTCCGTTTCCTGCTCTGGTCCCTGTGGACTATAATTCTTCACAGGAATATCACCTGACTTCTATTCCAGTATTAACTTGGGCCCAGGAGACTAAGCTGGATCTGTCACCATAGGACTCAAGTGTCATTAGATGTCTTCCTGGAAACCAAAGCTTCTTGTGTGCTTAAATGTGTGCTAAATGTATTTTGTTTCTGGCTGTAATGGGATGATGTGTCATAAATTACCTACAGAGTCAAATAAACTTTGTTTAGCCCAAATTAGCATGACTATAAAGATGAAGGGGGAGCACACTTGCTCCTTCTGACAGAATTGACAGAACAGATTCCCTGGACAGTGTAATGGAGACGTTGATCACCAACTAACACTAGCTGTACTGTATCCATACAAATGACAGATAATTTGATAGTTTCATATTCTGTGATTTTCTTCTCCGCCTCCTTTTGAAAATATTGAACCTATTTTCCCAACATTAAGCATTTTTATAATAACTGTTGGTAGTTTAATAAAGCATGAGTATTTATGTGATTAATCGATGGAATAATTGATAGAAGATGCGATTTCTTAATTAATCTATCACTTCAGTCTGGAGAGACCAGAGTCATTTAAATCAAATCACTGATGCACAGACATACATCGATTGTTTAATTCAAAAATAGTTTTGGAATTCAATTGAATTGCCTGTCAACTGAAATTAAGGAATAAAAGCTATACAAGTTATTTTTAGAATTTGTTATGATCTTGTCTTTTCACCAAATTAATAGAAAAGTATCGATAGTGGTAGCGATAAAGACTCGGATCGCTAAGCAGCCTCGAAAAAAGTATCAACATCAATAAAAATGAACAATCCCCTTCCCTACTTAAACCTGTCCACTTATTATCAGATCACTCAAGACACATGTTAATACCAGGTTTAAACAGGCTCTTAGTCCTGCTAGGTAGTAGTCCTGGTCTGTGTTGATATCAGAACAGATATTGTCTCGGTCTGGGTTAGTATCAAGCTCACTGGCTTAGTCTTTGTTCAAATTAGAGTCAGTCTTGGTTTCCTATCAAACACTGATGGCATCTGGCTCAGTCCCATCTTGGTCTATATCAGAATTGGGCTCAGTCTTGTCTTGTTTGGTATCAGTCTCTGCCTTATCTTTATCTGCAGTATTAATCTGTTTTGTCTTGGATGGCATCCTTCTCAGTGTTGTCCTGGTTTTTACTGGTGTCTGTTGTTCTAGTCTTGGTCTCTTGGTTTTAGTCTTGTTGTCGTGGCTGGCTTTATTCTTTGTTTGGCTTTGGTTACAGTGCTGGAAGTCAGTAGATGGACTGGAGGAGTTTCTCTCCTACTTTAGTCATGATTTTTCAGCTTTTTCACGATGTGTTCTTCCTCACTCTCCCATATGTACTTCTGACAAAAATGTTTATCCCAGTAACATTTGCCAGGGCACTGAGTACAGCGTCCATTTGATCCTATTGCCCAGCATTGTATTTTGTCATTGGGTATTCGACAAGAACTATGACAGATGAATTTACACTGCTGACAGGTGTTGAGGTAATTCCTAGTACCAGAAATAACTACTTCATTGGAGAGAATTGAGCTCTCGAACCTCACCCTTTCTTTGAGGACTTTCTTCTTCATTGTCACACTTTTGGTTTCTGTGACATTCAAAGCATTAAAGAACCTCTTCAGGCTTTTTGTTCCAATGTTCCAAAACATCTGATCAAAGCCTCCATCTTCCTCATCCTCACTCATGCTGTCTGCTGCTGATTTATTGTCTGCAAACAAAGCTGAATTATTGAATTTGAAGTGAACTGGCAGCCCGTCTTTTGTTTTTGGACATGGGACACCTGCAGCATTGATTGCCTCTAGAACTGGTGGACGCTGGCCGTCTGCGAATGTCACCAGAACCCTGATGTTTTCTGCCACATCTTTATCAAAGATTGAGAGAACTGAATCAATCTCATATTTCTGTGATGGTGTGAGTTGTGCTGAAGTAGCCTGAGCTACAAAACACACAGCATCAATTTCACTGACACCAAGCTCAGCAGAGAAGAGATCACGCAGCTGTTCTGTGATCTCTTTATCTCTCTCTATGCCTCTCGTATCTCCAAAACCTGGAGTGTCCACAATGGTCAGTGAGTACTCTATTTTAAACCCCTTCTCATGGTTGATTTTGTACACTGTGACTTCATTGGTCTGACCGTGAGCTTTTGATTTTGACTGATCCTCATCAACTAACTTAAAACGGTATGAATCCTCCCATTCAACATCTAGAATGTAATTTATCATCCCATTGATGAGAGTCGACTTTCCGGCTCCACATGGTCCAAGAACCATTATGGTGCGATTAGATTTAGTGGAGTTTTTTCCAAAACTGAAACGCCTGCACCCAGTGACATCGATTTGTACTTCTTCCAGGGGAATTTTATAAACAGGAAGAGGACCTGTCTGGGGTTTTTGCAGTGGGCTTTTTTCTTTAACAGCATCAGCAAGCCGTTTGATGCACTTTTGCTGTGTAATACAATGATTTGATTTCGAAGTGGACTTTAAACCTGTCCGAAGTCTGGATTGCATTATGGCAGAAGTAATTTTGTCACCAGTATTAACAACAACAACAACAACAATAATAATAATAATAATAATAATAATAATAATAAACAGTTGATATCAGATCTCTTGAGAGTTATTTTGGAGAAAGAAAATTGAGTCTTTGTGGTCACAGTTCATCTGTCTCGCTGGTGAGTGTTGCCTCTGTGGTTGTGAAGTGCTCTCTGGTCTGAATCTGCATATTGAAATATAAAATAATATATGTAATACAATTACAGCAACAGTGGACAAGTACCACTCTTGTTATGACTTCTCTGAAGGTCCAGTGTGTAACATTTAGGAGGATCTATTGTCAGAAATATTCATCGATATGTTTTCATTAGTGTATAATCACCTAAAAAAATAGGAATTGTTGATTTTTGTTAGCTTGGAATGAGCCGTTTTTATCCACAGACACTGCAGCCCACCTTACATGGAGGCAAACAAACCAAACAATGGATAGAGCCTCCATAGATTGTACTTAGTGCTCGAAAGGTGAGTAAAGCAAGGGACGTACACTCTCCAATTACACCACTAGATGCCACTAAATCTTTCACACTGGCCCTTTAACTCTGAAGATTTCAACACTATAATGGACATAAAATTCACCTGGCTGAATCATCAAATAATGAAACAAAGTTCATTCACAATACAACTTTTAGTTGACTTCTCTCAGAGAGCATCACAGTAATAAAAATCCTATTAAAGATCTTCAGATTACGTTTATGTGCAGCAAGCATCAAGGAGAGATTAAAGGTTGAGCTTTGTAGAAATCAAATTCTGTTATTTGAATCAGTTCCTTTTTGTAGTTTGAAACAGTTTAGCAGCTATTCTGCAGGAATTTGTTCCAACTAACCAGTCTAGTAAAATATTAAATTATTAATTAGAAAATAAAGTTGCTGAAGGTAAATTTCACAAATCTCTGTTGGCTGTTCTCGGCCCAGTCGTCTGCTTTGAGATGCTAAAGCTGTTGCAATTTCAAAATGTAACTCAGGATTTAAATCATAGTATCTAAAACTCCTAAAACAAAATGAGAACAGGAGTGCTTTTTAAAATATGGTTATGTTTATGATACAGTAATTGCACTTTAAAACCTAATTTGTCTTTATGATTGTTCAGGAAGGATCATAAATGTATTGAAAACATTGACCTATGAATTACTTACCTCGTGTCATCTGATAATACAGTGCAGAGGAACACGTCCCTGAGGGTTGAGTGTCAAAGTCTGGCTTTCCTTGACTGGTATAAAAAGGAAGAGCTGCATGAATATTTGATTATTTCATTTTAAGTTACTTCTTCATTAAATGTACCCAGTAATGAGTTAACATGACTTTGAATCAGAGCTGCTGTTAAAATTTACCAGCGAGCATCTTAATTTTTAAGATGGCAAAACTGACAAAAGTGTCTGAAATCAGAGATTTAACACTAGAAATTGTAAAATCTTCATTTCATTTTTGACTGTTTGTGCCATCCTAGAATTGAAAGCTTGGGGCTTAGCAACAGCAACTAAGAGGACATGGCTTAATCACTGTTTTGTTTTCACTTAAAAGATTACTTTGTCCTTGGGATCCTGAGAGCCTGACAGTGTGGAGGGTTGTATACTATCATTTAAACACAGTTGTCAGTCTTCCAAATATCTCCTTTTAGGACTATATAATAATATTAATATTTATTTTTACTTACAGTTGGTGTGTGGTGTGTTGGACAGTCAAGCTGCTGGTGATGGTCTTAAGGTGCAGCATAGAGAACTTCACTGTTAAGTACTTCAGCATATGGAAGCACTAATTATAAACAAACTACAGGAAAAATATTAAAAATACAAATAATATTGATTCTGAGTATCCAGTTAAAATGACATTTTCATATCATGTCCAAACAAGTTTGGACTACTAAAATGTTGTCAAAGCCACAATAAATACACCAAGATGATGCTTCTTTTCACTCTAGGATCAACTGTTTGGGACAAGATTTTAACAAATTGACCAGTAAAGTAAATTATTAAATATTTCTACAAAAACATACATTTGCACAAAAACTAAAATGAAATCATGAAATTATGTTTCTTCAGCATCACATAAACACTAACAACAGATAACAGCTCACTGCGTTCAGCAACTTACCACTCTGTTGGTCTCTGCCTTGAGTTTTGCTTCACTTTCCTCTGTAGCTTGTTTTATACAGTGTACACACAGTCACACCACACAATTGGTCTTACATAAGTAAATAAATATTAACTCATTTGGAAATGGATCAGCAATCAGTGAAGTAGATTATCTGATTTGAAGAGGTGCTAATGGCACACGCATAGCACATTAAAGCAGATTACATGTTGTTACTGCACTGAACGTCTGAACTTTGATTATATATTCCAATAAAATAATCTTTATCCTGAAAGATAAGTGGACGTTTTATGACCAAATAACTGACTTAACCATGCAAACCTGAAAGTGAAAGAAAAATCACTGCATTTTCAACACATATTGACAGCAGCCATAAAATGTCTATCAGAGCACATTTAAACCCCTGCAGAAGAACTGAGGTCAGCATAACAGTTCTACGTCAATATAAACACACATACATATAAACTATGGGGAGAATTTTGTTCCTTTATTATTCAATTAAATAGAATAGATTTGAAACCAAAAAAGAGATTTGAGAGCAAAAAAAGAGTAAGTGGCAATCAAACAATGTTTTTGAGATCGAAACAGAACAGGTTGCAATTGAAAACAAATATGAGAGAACATATTTCTTCAACTTCAATCAAAACTAATGTTTGTTAGTAAAAAACATATGACCATTTTGCTTATAAATCAGTCCTCTTTGCTTGCACGTTCTAAAGTTTTGCTTGCAAATTCAACTGCACTTGATGGGCGGGGCCTACGCTGGTGGACGAGAGAAGAGTTTCTATTGGTTGGTTTGACTGGCTACGTCTTCCTCATTACACCCACTTCTCCCTGTGCTGTGCTGCTTGGAGAAGCCTGTTGCTCTTGAAACGTTTCCCATAAGTAATGAATTGCACTATATATCGTTGGCTACAGCCTGCTGTACATTCACAACAACAACAACAACAACAACAACAACACCACAAGTAATGAATTATAATGCCCTGCTGCTGCTAGCACACTGATGAGCAGCAACATGGTTGTCTCTGCTGGTCACGGCCTGAGCAGAGTATCCTAATGAGTGAGTGAATTACAGGGAGGCGTATACAACGTAAGGCTGTGATTTAAACATTTAGTGTTGCATGGTACTGGCGGTGCCAAAACGTCACGGTTCCTACACAACAGTACTACCGTGGATTACTAAACTACCGCTGAACGCGGGGCCAGTTTCCACTGTGTAGCGGGCTGCCGCTACTCCTCCCGGCTCCCGTTCTCTACAGCTGTTCTAATGTCAACAAACACACGTGGCGAATAATTACAATCACAGGACATGTCTTTTGGTCTGATTATACAGATCAGTGGTGCTGAAATTTGTGTTTCTCTTCTATAGCCTACACATTGTACATCTCTGAGGTCAGAAGCATCATTCAGTGTCATTTAAGTCGGACCGTCTGACGCAGCTGCTCCTGTATAGACCCGTAATGCTGGCTGGTTAGAAATATGTGCGTGAATTTGTTAAATTATTCGCCACGTGTGTTTGTTGACATTAGAACAGCTGTAATTCACTCACTCATTAGGATACTCTGCTCAGGCCGTGACTAACACAGACAACCATGTTGCTGCTAATCAGTGTGCTAGCAGCAGCAGGGCATTATCATTCATTACTTGTGTTGTTGTTGTTGTTGTTGTTGTGAATGTACAGCAGGCTGTAGCCGACAATATATAGTGCAATTCATTACTTATAGGAAACGTTTCAAGAGCAACAGGCTTCTCCAAGCAGCACAGCACAGGGAGAAGTGGGTGTAATGCGGAAGACGTAGCCAGGTCAAACCAACCAATAGAAACTCTTCTCTCGTCCACCAGCGTAGGCCCCGCCCATCAAGTTTTGTTGAATTCGCAAGCAAAACTTTAGAACGTGCAAGCAAAGAGGACTGATTTATAAGCAAAATGGTCGTATGTTTTTACTTACAAACATTAGTTTTGATTGAAGTTGAAGAAATATGTTCTCTCATATTTTTTTTTCAATTGCAACCTGTTCTGTTTCCATCTCAATTTTTTTTTTCTGATTGTCACTTACTCTTTTTTGCTCTCAAATCTCTTTTTTGGTTTCAAATCTATTCTATAAGTTTAATTGTGATTTATTCTGTTGCTTACAAACATTATTGATGGCACCTTTCTGTAAGTAGAAGAGGTTAAGTGCAATAATTCATGTAATCAAACTAAATTCACCAAATGAGAGCTGAGATTCATCAGTTAACATTGTATTTTGAGTGTTTTAACGGGAGAATTTCTTCATTTATTTCTTCATTAGTGACTTTCCCCAGTGTGGGAAAGTCGATCTTATGTGGAGCCTGATCATATCACTGTAGCCTGTGTTGTGCTGCCACCCTGTGGATAAAGTCTGAACTGTGAAGAGTCTTGTGTATTTTAACAGTGCACAATGATTACAACCTCTGCAACCAGTGACATTGATGAAGAGGTCCCATCGTCCAATTAGGTTGTCTGACTCAATTAAACATTTCAATCAATAGAATACTGAAGTGAAAATTGAAAATGTAATAACAATATAATGCTTTGACAACTATCTGAATATTAATTTTCACTATAACACTATAATGACAGCTTTTACAACAATACATAACATAGATGGGGTGGGATACAACATAGAGCCTCACATTTGACCGTGGCCACACAGCTGTCTAAAACCACTCTAAGCAACAGGAAGAATACAGGTATGTGGACAGTTTGTCTGTGTGGATGTCTGACAGATTTTAAGGTGTGCATGATATAGCTTTTTAAATTACTGAAATTGGTAACTGGCATCTGTTACCAAACTGTTAATTACAGCAAAAAAATTCCGTATATTGGATTAACCGACCTCTCGCACACATATAAACACTGCACAAAAAGAGTTACAACTGTCCTAATTTATATTTTCCAGGTTCTCAAGCTACGGTAGCTACAAGGACTGTTGCTGTGGGACACACCACATCCCAGCTTCTACAGCTCTGTTCTTCAACTCCACCTCAGAGGAAAGCTGAACCACCTGGTGACCCACCAACAAAGCGTCCTCTGCTGGACTTTCCCTCTTTTCAGGGATCTGAAATCTGTTCGAGCTTTGCAGATCCTGATGATTCCAGCTACCTCCCCAGCATGTCTAAATTGGTTGACAGCACCAATGAACAGTAAGTTAAGTTGTTAGTAAGTCAAACAGCTTGTTATAGATCTTTGTTAATCTGACATTACAGGAACAATCAATTCCTCAACATTATTCGATTTTTCAAAATACTATTTGATACGAATATTCTGTCTGACTTTGCTATTTACATAAGACATTAGATATAACACACTTTGTGCCTGGGTTTCTCTCTCTCTCTCAACAGTAAGTAAGTAAGAAAAGCTTCATTTATATAGCACCTTTTTTTGAGAGAGAGATCCAAAGTGCTTTACTAACAACAAATAAACATATGGGTATAACCATACCCAATCAAACAAACATAGGGAGCATGTACATACAAACATAAGGAAGATAAAACAAGAGGGAAGGATAAAGTAAAAGAGAGACGACAGATGAGGAAACAAACAAGGAGATCTATAAAAAGGCTTGCCTGTAGAGATGGGTTTTGAGGAGCCGCTTAAACAGAGCACCAGCTAAGTCACCACAGGACATGGTGAAGTACTTTGTCTACAAATAAAAATACAGCCTGTACCTTAGTTCCATGTCGTAGAGGTGCTTCTTGACTGGTGCGAAGGACTTGCATTTCTCCCGGACAACTGCGCTGAAATCAGGATAATGAAAAAAAAGAATGTATTCCTGTTGAAGCTTATGTCTCCAACTTCTCTGGACTGCCGCATCACTTTGATCTTCTGTTGTTAACTTGTGAATTTAAGGATGATCGATCTCCCTGCTCATATTGTTGTTGTTATTGTATGTTTCAGAGGCCTAAATCCTAATACCTCTCTTTCTGCTATAATCTTAATTAATCATTGTATAGAATGGGCATTGTTTCTAACTGAAATTTGTTAGACTGTTTTGTGTGAACTTTTGCTCATGTGTTGTGTGTGTTTGCGTGCGTGCATGTGTGTGTGTTGTTCACAGCTCCTCACGACGTCGGAAGGTAAGTTTGATGTTGTCGTCTATTTCACTGACACCAAGATCAGCAGAGAAGAGCTTACGCAGCTGTTCTGTGATCTCTGTATCTCTCTCTATGCCTTTTGTGTCTCCAAAACCTGGAGTGTCCACAATGGTCAGTGAGTACTCTATTTTAAACCCCTCCTGGTGGTTGATTTTGTACACTGTGACTTCAGAGGTCTGACTGTGAGCTTGTGATTTTGACTGACCCTCGTGAACTAACTTAAACCAATATGGATCCTCCCATTTGACACCTAGAATGTAATTGATCATCCCATTGATGAGAGTTGACTTTCCGGCCCCAGTTGCTCCAAGAACCATTATGGTGTGATTACGTTTAGGGGAGTCTTTCCCAGAACTGAAAAATCTGCACCCAGCAACATTGATTTTTTGTTCTTTCAGAGGAATTTTATAAACAGGAAGACAACCTTTTTGGTCATCCAGCTTTGTGCTTTTTCCTTTTGTAAAATCAGCTAATCTTTTTTTTTTTAATCTTTTATTTATTTTTTATTTTATTTTTGTTTAGTAGTTGTTTAAGTTTTTACAATCAGTTACCTGGAGCAGCCCTCTGAATAGGTAGACTAGCTCTAATCAGAAAGCAAACATTTAATTTTGTGTAGAAAAAGTGTATATCCTCTGCACTTGAGGTTGATGTCCATGATGTCCACATGATTCAACATATGACCCTGCAGACTCTGCCAATCTTTGACTCCTTTTCTATCAATGTTTTGTTTTTATTGCAGAATGGAATCTTCTACCCCTGTCCATAAGACTCCAACTTATATTGTGTATGAGAACTGCCTAATGGAGCTGTTTCAGGTGTGCCCTGTGTGTCAGCGGGAATGTGACATGCAGAAAAGAAGATTGGGCACGTTTCTCTCTGTAGAACAACGGTGTCCGCATTGTGAGTTCTACAGAAAGTGGAACAGCCAGCCTCTTGTTGGGAGCACTCCTGCTGGAAACCTGCAGCTGTCCACTGCAGTGTACGCCACTGGTGCCTCTTTCTTTAAGCTTGAAAAGGTATTGTATTTACACTAAACTATGAATAAAGTAATGGAATATAGCATATGATGTAGCTAAATTTATATACACAATGTGTATTTCTGAGAAAGTGATTAACGTGTGGGTGCCTGTCCTGTCTGTTTCTTTCTCCCACAGATCTTCCGGGCAATGCAGTTGAAGATGTTTCATGTACATAGAGCCCGCGATTGTACACAGGTGGAAGACGGCACAGACTGCAATGTTGGAGCAGCTCAGTCAGCAGCAGAATGTCGTCCTCGGTGGTGACTTGAGAGCAGACTCACCGGGTATGTAATACTCTGTCATAATAATCTTTTTTATATATAAACAAATTTACTTGAAAATAAATAAAACGCACTGATAAATACTATGTAATGTATATATTAAAAATAATTACTTTCCTTTTGAAGGACATTGTGCCAAGTTTGGCAGCTACACAATGATGGACATGAGGAGCAACACTGTTATTGATTTACAGCTGGTTCAAGTGAGTGACAGACCATAAATAATCTCTGTTGTAATCTGTTACAGTGTAGCTCTTATCAGCTGAAATAATAAATGTTTATCTGCTTTCTTTAAATAATAGAGTAATGAGGTTGGTGGAAGCTGACACATGGAGAAAGAGGGCCTGAAGAGGAGCCTTGCTCTGTTGGAGGAACGGGGTGTTACTATAGATAGTATTGTGACGGACCGTCACCCCCAAATCCAGAAGTTCCTGAGGGAGGACAATATCACGCATTACTACGATGTGTGGCACATGAAAAAAGGTATTATTCCATGTCTTATTTGTCAACATGAGAGGGAAAAAAAAGTTTATTTATGGTAACTGTAGTTCCTTTATTGTTACACTGACAGTTATTGATGTGTTCCAGCCTATTGTTAATTCAATTTAGACTGTAAACTATATCATTTCTGCTATGTTAATTCAAAGTAATATGGTGGTTTACTATGTAATTAATATATGTGAAAGACTCTAAAGCCTTTTGTATTATTAGGACTGTCCAAGAAACTGTCGAAGATCTCACAGAACAAGGAGTGTGAGAAACTGAAGAAGTGGCTTCAGAGTATAAAAAACCACATCTACTGGACGGCTGCTTCCTCTACATCGGTGCCAGCAAAGTGGATGTCCATTCTGAACCACGTCCAGGACATCCACACCCACGAAGATCCTGTTTTCCCCCAGTGTTTGCATCCAACCCGCACTTCAAGGGACAAGAGCAAGTGGTTACTCTACTTAATGACATTATTAAACACTTTCGTCTTTTTCACAGGAACACCAGCCTTCTGCAGGCTGGAGAAAGTGCTGACCAACAAGAGGGTCCTCAAAGAGGAGTGGGATGAGTATCCAAAAGTACGAAAGATAAATTCCTGCACAATATCGAAATGCCAATACAACCATTTATTAGCAGCAAGTTGGTGTTGGACCTAGGTTTAAATGTTGCTAATAAATTATGTTATTGCAAGTTAGATTTTGTGCAGAAATGAATCTTTTCTAGTGTTTGATATGTAACATTTTAACAAATATCAAACTGCCTTACAAGAAAAGTAAGCAATGTAACAAAGGGGGAAATGGAATTGTTTTTGGAATATTTTTATTACAGTTACACAGAATTTATATGCAAAAAAAACTTACTGTTCTATTCCCCTCAGATGTAAACGCACATAGTCTGCTCTGTAGATATTTAGTTCCTTCTGCAGTGAGAATGCATTTAAACACACTGGTTCGAGGCCAGGGTGGTCTACCATGCAGGAAGGTGGGTTTTGAAGTCTTCTTATCACCTGTAAATTTGAAAGGGTAAGTGACGTTTGATGACAGATAATATGACTGAATAGTTACATTTTCATTCAACAAGCATCCATGTACTACCTGTGGTATCTCCCTGCAGCAGACATTCTCTGGCTCTGTAGGCATTGCTGTGCAATTCTCACAAGTACACCTAAACCAGAGGCAAAAAAAGGGAAAAGATATCAGTTATAGTTTTTTATTTGAATATATTGTTAGCAATAAAAACAGTTCAGCTTATGCAACGATGTGATGTTATTAATTGGAATTATTGCATCATGTTGAAACACAGTAAATACGGGTAAACAGGAATTACTATGGGGTATACGGCGGTGTTAGACAGTCGCCCCAACCCCCACTACATCCCTCGTTTCACACCTATGTTGTAAAATTAGCACACGCGTGAAAAGTGGCTACAGTGTGGCTGTGGATAGTACATTAACGTTTGATGTCGGACAGAATAATGATGTAATGTTATTACGGCGTAGCTGAGAATTAAAAAAACGAGTGCTATATTCCCGCTCGTAGCTGATATTGCGACCGTATTTACCCGACGTACAAACATACAAATTTTTAAGAAAAAAGTAAAATAAAGCTCATAACTCACCATTCAGAAACGTCTTGTTGCAGTCTACATTGAACAACTTCTTCGCTAGCTCCTTCTTGTTCAGGGTCTGACTCTGGTTCAAACATATAAGGTTGGACCGAAAAGTTTCTTCCAGCTGCCATGTTTCTCCCAGGGTTCACGTTCAACTGTTGTCATGGTAGCGTGAGCGTGCCAACGTCGGCACACCTACCAGAATAAGTGGGTGGATTGCCTGTGTCTCATTTGCATTTAAAGAGACAGGCACTCAAAACCCCACTGTGCTAACCTGAAAAGTGCAAGAAAAAGCTGCTGCATGGTCCACACTGATAACTAGAAAAACAAACTGTCTTTAAATACAGCAAGGTGTAGAGACAAGGACAGATAACCTGCACAGCAACACATGACTGAAGATCACAACTCCCAAATAATTTACATGCAAAACAAAACACAGTGCCTTTTGAGGAGGAATAGAGCAACCATTCTCTTGGCACAGTTTTAACAATTGCCAGTTTACTTTTAAACAAGGTTTTGTAAAAGTGCTGCTTTTTTATGTTTCTAAGGACTCCAATAGGAGAGATGTTGTTGGGGTTTTTTCAGTGTAGAAATTTTAATTTTTTATTTATTTTATTTTAAGTAGTTTTTGGGGCTTATATTGCCTTTATGATGGAGACAGCTGAAGATAGACAGGAAGGGGGGACAGAGAGAGGGGATGACAGGCAGCAAAGGGCCGCAGGTCGAATTCGAACTCTGGGCCGCTACAGCAGGGGTTCAGCCTCAGTACACGGGTCGCCAGCTCTACCCACTGAGCTAACTGGGCGTCCCCATTGGTGTAGAACATTTTAATAATTAAAAACATTGTCTGTAACCTAGGTCAGCCTGTGCATTAATCTGCCTGTGGGTATGAGTCCAAGAGGCTTTCTTGAAAAGGAAAATCATCAAGACATTGAGGGCAACTTGAAGGTCATGATCAAGAAGATTCCTTGCCTGGCAATAGAGGGTGAAGGTTCTCTGAAAAGGGAAGAAAAGGACAGTGCAAATTTTGTTGGTGTAGAGTGGAACGACAATTTCAGATTCAGATTAGTTGATGAGGATCAGTCGAGATCACAAGCTGAAAGCCAGACCTCTGAAGTCACAGTGTACAAAATCAACCACCAGGAGGGGTTTAAAATCCCCTGCTCTCTGACCATCGTGGACACACCAGGGTTTGGGGACACAAGAGGCATAGGCAGAGACAGGGAGATCACAGATCAAATTCGGAGGCTTTTCACCTCTGTTAGTGGAGTCAGTGAGATTGATTCAGTGTGTTTTGTTACCCAGGCCTCTCTCGCACGACTAACAGCAACCCAGCGATATGTGTTTGACTCAGTGCTCTCCATTTTTGGAAAAGATGTGGCAGAGAACATTGAGATGATGGTGACTTTTGCAGATGGCAAGCAGCCACCAGTTCTTGAGGCACTCAACGTCTCTGGAGTTCCATGTCCAAAAAATTGACATAGGGCTTCCAGTTCACTTCAAATTCAACAACTCTGCATTGTTTGCTGATAACAAATGTGTCAGTGACGGGCCCTGTGATGAGGACTCTGATGAAGATGATGAAAACTTTGATGAAATGTTTTGGAACATGGGTGCCAAAAGCATGGAGAAGTTCTTCACCGCTTTGGGTAAAATGACAACCAAAAGTCTGCTAATGACCCAAGAGGTTCTGAAAGAACGAAAGCATCTTGAAACAGCAGTCGAAGGTTTGCAACCACAAGTTAAAGCTGGATTGGCAAAACTTCAAGAAATTAAGACAACCAAAGAATTTACCAGGCTCGAATTCAGTCTTTAGAGGCAATTAAGGAAAAAGCTAAAATTATCTCTGAAGTAGCCAAATGAGATAAACTAACAAAAACAGACGAGGAATTGTCTGAAGAAAAACAGGAGAGGCAAGAAAAGAAAAGTCTTTTCAAGATAGTTGCAAATGGGGCTGTAGCGATACACTAATCTCACGATACGATACGATACACAATATTCAGCTCATGATACGATATATATCACGATATTCAGCCAGCGATAAGATTCAATACGATTCGATACACTTACATCATTTTCTGAAAGATTTTAAAGGGACAGTGTGATTTTGGTGACATCTTGTATTGAATTAATGAAAACTGAAAGCATCAATTATACAATATATGGCTCTGACTGGACAGAGTCTACAGCTTGCAAATGCTGGAGAAAATGAATCAAAGATTTCATTTATTGAAACAGTGAAAACTTACAAACTTTTGAAAAGTAAATAAAGTGCCTTAAAATAAACAATCAAGACTTAAAAAGTGCAGCAAGTGGCCTGTTCTGAATCCTGGCTGTTTCTTTTCCATCTAAAGAAAATACTTTTTGGACCCACATTTTCCATTCAAAGGATAATATTAATGGACCTGATTTGGATTTAAATCTGAGATGTTGGATATAATCTTCTGATCAGAAAAACCTGTTTTATTGAGAACCAACATTGGCCAAGCTGAAAGATGATGCTACATTTGAAAACGTGAACAGCGGAGGTGCATTAAAATCTCGTGCTTTGCCTAGGCTATAAACACTACAAAGACGGTTCACCAATCAAAGCCCTAAACCACATGAATGAAGTCATATCAATGCACATTTTCCCGCCAGATATATAGTGTAACACTGTGATATGTTTTGATAAACCTAACGTTAACGTTACGTGAGAATGTGAGCCTACAGAGATGGCGGAGCTCAAGAGAAGGGCGTCTGAGGTAACTGCTCACTTAAATGATGCTGCACGTCTCAATTTGCTAAATCCTGACGACGCCAATGCCCTGAACGACGTGATCATGGATTATTTCACATCCAGAGATCCAAGAGATGATGAAGGATCGGATTATAATGAATTTACCGAAGAAGAGGAGTCTGATGAAGGTAAGCTAGCCATGCTTTTCTTAATGTAAGAAACAAGGTGTACTTAATATTTTAAATTACCAATGTGTAAGACAAGCCTTGTTATCAAGAACCTACAAGGATAACATTACGACACGAAAACGGCGACACGAAGGCTTAAAACTTCAAGTTAAAGCCACAAACTATGGCTGTTTACGCATCTAAGTTCGGCTGACATGTGAGTTTAAAACGGAGACTTAACGTTAATATTAATGTTCGAGATGCAGACTGTAGCATCAACGTCAGGTTAATAGACTTGGTGATGTTCATGATCAGTGACCCTCATTAGGGTTTCTGCCTCGCTGAAGCTCACACAGACTGAGCAGCAACGTTGGGCACAAACACACCCCCTCCTCTCTTTTTCTGAGGCTCTCTGTCACAGCACTGCAGACACACACACACACACACACACACACACACACACACACACACACACACACACCAAGTTGCGACCCCGCCCTTCTCCCTCACCTCTAGTTCTACATGCTTGGAAAATGGAGCGAGATCGACAGCCCAAGAGGAAAGGTGGAGCAGAGAGGGAGAGGCTTAAAAAGCTAAAAGCACTGACCACAGATCAGCGAAGTGCTGTAACATAACTGATGTTTGTCACAACCATGGCCTATCCAGCACCACTATCTTAATGAGGGGGTTAGTTCCACTTTGTGGAAGCTGATGGGGCTAAAACTGACTTAATAAAACAAATGTAAGTGCAAATTTTTGAATATTGTTAACTAACATAGACACAACATAATAAATTATATGAATACTGAAATCCTTGTATTATATTATTTCATTTAACCTTTACTTCACCAGGTAAAATCCCATTGAGATTAAGAACATATTTGTTGTTATATGAACATAACCAATGCTTATAAAAATGGTCAATTAGTGAACAGAAACATTTATTTTGAAGGGGAAAGAAACAGAAAGCGTGTGTGGGCGCATGTGGAGCCTTTGCTTTATTATTTTACACTCTTACATCGGTAGGCGCCCAACCTAACTCACTCTTGGTGTTTTGCGTTAATCGGGTGGTGGTGGCCTGGGATGGTACTCCCGGCCTGAATTATTGTCCCAGTCCGCCCCTGTCCATGATTGCTCCATGCTAGTGACATTCAAGGCTGTAGTAGCCTGTGACTGGTGCTTTGGGCTCTTTAAAAGAAATTTTAGGAGGAATAAGGTTGACTGCTTGGAACCTATGTATGACTGGAGCACATTCTTGGGTACATACTTCCGAAAATTACCCACCATTAAAAGCTTTCATCATTTCTTATTATGTCAGGGCTCCACATTAGTAACGATGGAAAAAATCCTTAATAGTGGGGAAGTTTCCCAAGACTTAGGGAGAAATGGTGTCGAGTTTGATCCACTTGACCCAAGTGCTTTGCCTGATCAACTCCTCCCAAAGGGGCTTGATGCTAAAAGGCAACAGTATCTTTACAATGAGATAAGGGAATTTGTGACAAAAGACAAGCAGGACTTGGTTTGCCCCCTCCCTCAGGCTGTAAACATGAATGAGGATTAATTCAGTGATTCTGGGGACAGTCATTGTATAATAGTCTTGAATACAAGGGTTGTATCTATAGTTAGTGTTGTTACTCAACTTTTCCATTTGAATTTACAATAAGTCATGATATACTGCATATTTTTATATTTTCTGTAGATATATACTGCATATTTCAGATTTTTTCTGCATAATTATACTGCATATTTTTGATATTTTTCTGGATATTTATACTGCATGATTTGATGATACTCTGCATAATAGCAAAACAATAATTACATTGAATAGCCTATGTGTTGTTACCTCAACTTTTCCATTTTGAATTCACAATAAGTCATTATATACTGCATAGTTCTGATATTTTCTGTATTTATACTGCATATTCTATATATTTTCTGCATATTTATACTGCATGATTTGATAATATACTGCATAATAACAGAATAATACTGACATTGTCTAATACATATATAATGTACAGTAACTAAAAAGTTACATAAAACAAATTCAATTCATTGAATGTTGAATGAATAAATACATTCTTGATTTTCATCTAATTCATGAGTGTTGTGTGTTTGCTTGGTGCCAAAGTAACAATTTGGTATCTTTTCCAACATATACAGTGACTAAAATAAGTATGTGCCATAATAGAGTAGTGAAAATTTAACATGTGATATTTGATTGTTAAAATGTTCTATTTAGAATGTCTATCTTTAAACCTGTTTTTCTCAAAATTCCGTTTCATAAAACCATGTTAATAAGCTGACTTCAGATAATAATAACATCTGTTACAGACCTGCTATGAAAAAAAGGAAAACAGATTTGAAAAGAGCTTGAAAGCAGCTTTAATGTGGTATCAGAATCTTAAGTTGGTAAAATTTCACCATGTGATGGGTTTTCCCAGATCGCATCACATATGTCTTTATACATTCCAATTTCTTTCACTGCAAAAAAAAAGAATCTCAAGACAGTAAAAAAAAAGTCTTGTTTCTGGGAAATTAGTCAACAGGTGTGTGTATTTATCAGTGAATAATAAGGGCATTGTGGTCAATGGCTTATTGAGTACAGTATGATCAGGAAGTTACCTTAGTTTAATCCACAATGTCGAGACTGCTTGATTTCAGTCTTGATGCAACTTTAAAAAATAAGCTTCAGCCTCACAACTCATGTCAGTATGATTCTTCTCTATTACACATTTTTATCACTGTCTGTAGAACTTAGTATGTTGAATATACAGTTTTAAAAATGTCTTGCTAAGATTCTATAGAGACCCCAAAACATCAATGTTTTTCTTTTTGCAATCCCTCACAATACATAATGAATTGCAACATAGAACTTTTTTTATCGTACATTTGGTAAGAATACATATTGCCCCTGATCCATAGGAACAGTTAATACGATGAAATTATGACAATGTAACACTTGACATGATACATTTATTTATTTTTTTTGTGTAACACACCAGACAAAAAAGACAAAACTACAGGCTGTAATAAAACATATTGTTCTCCATAATTAAGCCACTAAATTGAACCAAAGCCAAATAAAATATAATGCAAACAAAAGTGTATATAAAAACATATTATTTAAAACAATCAATCACATATAAATTTGTCCTCCCAGCCATTATGTCTGTCTAAGTCTGAGTACACACCCGTCAACTAAATTCTTTAAATTTAGCCTGTGCATTTTTTTTATAAAAAGGATTCTGCACTGTGACAACCATTGTGCTACTCTTGTTCTTGTCTGGTATGGCCTTGTTTGGTTGACACTTATCTTTGTGTGCTCTCAGCAGTGATGGGAATAACGGCGTTACCTTTTTCAGTAACAAGTAATCTAATTGATTACTCTTCCCATCTTAATAACACCGTTACCGTTACTGCCAAAAAATGTGTCTCTGAGCCGAGAGGCAAATACTTTTTTACTGTTCTTCTTTGGTTAGTGGGCAGTGCACGAGACAAGCACATAAATGCTGACGATTGGCTGAGGTTGAGTAAAATTTCATGGTAAGCCAATCAGAGGTAGAGTTGGGCGGGCGTTCGAAAGCACGCATAGTCGGACACACAACGAACAACACAAGCGAGTCAGTCAACGAGAGACAGGTATGGCGAGCCCAAATAATCCAAAAGTAGCCTTCTCTAAATGGAAGTATTTATTTATTTTTTGTATAGTGCTTAACAAGCATAATTTTATTTTGCCCAGTTGTGGCCTGTTGAGGGGCAATAAATATCAAAAGTTCCAAAACATATTTTGTTTGTAATATGTATGGATCCACTATATAAACATAATATCTACATACATGGCATTTGATTGGAGGCTAGTCTCACTTTGTCCCACAGCAACACTGGCTCTCAGTCTTGCTGGCTAGTGGCATGAGCCCTGTCTTAGTCCTTGTCAGAATCAGAATCAGTCTTGTTGTGATCCTCATCTGGGTTAGTATAAAGCTTACTGTCCTGGCCTTGGTCAGAATCAGTCTTTTCTTGGTCCTCATCAGGGTTAGTATCAAGCTTACTGTCTTGGCCTTTGTCAGAATCAGAATCAGTCTTGATGTGATCCGCATCTGGGTTAGTATCAAGCTTACTGTCCTGGCCTTGGTCAGATTCAGAATCAGTTTTGTCTTGTTCTTGATCTATGTTAGTATGAAGCTTACTGTCTTGGTCTTGGTTTATATTGGACTCATCTTGGTTTTGGTTGGTTCCTGCCTCAGTCGGATATTTGTCTATATCGGAATTGGGCTTGGCCTTGTTTTGGTTGGTATCAGTCTCGGCTTTGTTCTTTGTTTGACCCTGGTTACAATGCTGTAAGTCAGTAGATGGACTCTGGAGGAGCTTCTCTCCTCTGTCTACTTTAGCCATGCACTCTGCTTTTTCTCTCATGGCTATCAGGGACTGAACTCTTTCCTTCCAGCCTGGCTTGCACTCAGATTTCTCTCCCTCAATGATCATGTCAATATACTCTGGAGTAGAAAGAGGGTTTGGCTTCAGTGCTATCTCTTTAAGTTTGTTTAAACACTGAGCAGAGCACGCTATCAGTTTATTCACCTCAGTCTGCACTTCATCATATTCAGCCTTCAGTTTTCCAATCAATGTCTGAACAGGTCTCTTAGCATCTGCAGCTTTTAGGTACTTTTCTTTCAGTTCTTTCACTGTTCGTTTTTCTTTAACTTCCTTATAATCCCATTTATACTTCTGATTAAAATGTTCATTCCAGTAACATTTGCCCGGACACACAGTACAGTGTCCATTTGATCCCATTGCTACACACCCTCTTTTATCTGCATCGCTGGGTATTCCACAGGGATGGTGACAGGTGTTATGACACTGCTGACAGTTGGTGAGGAAATTTCCTTTACCAGAAATATCTATTTGAACAGGCTTTGTGACAGTAACTTCAAACTCAAAGTTCTCATTTCTGCTGATTTCTGCCTCGTGCTCTTTCAGTTTTTGAGATGTTTCGTTTATCTCCTCAAGCTTGGCTAACCCAAATTTAACCTGCTTCTGCAAGTTTTCAACTGAGTTCTCAAGCTGCTTTCTTTCTCTGAGGACCTCTTTCGTCATCGTCAGACTTTTGGTCTCAATGACATTCAGAGCAGCAAAGAACCTCTTCATACTTTTTGTCCCCATTTTCCAAAACATCTGATCAAAGCCTCCATCTTCCTCATCCTCACTCATGCTGTCTGCTGCTGATGATTTATTGTCTGCAAACAAAGCTGAATTATTGAATTTGAAGTGAACTGGCAGCCCGTCTTTTGTTTTTGGACATGGGACACCTGCAGCATTGATTGCCTCTAGAACTGGTGGACGCTGGCCGTCTGCGAATGTCACCAGAACCCTGATGTTTTCTGCCACATCTTTACCAAAGATTGAGAGAACTGAATCAAACACATATTTCTGTGATGGTGTGAGTCGTGCTAAAGAAGCCTGAGCTACAAAACACACAGCATCAATTTCACTGACACCAAGCTTAGCAGAGAAGAGATTACGCAGCTGTTCTGTGATCTCTTTATCTCTCTCTATGCCTCTTGTATCTCCAAAACCTGGAGTGTCAACAATGGTCAGTGAGTACTCTATTTTAAACCCCTCTTGGTGGTTGATTTTGTAAACTGTGACTTCCGTTGTCTGGCTTTCAGCTTGTGATTTTGACTGATCCTCATTGACCAACTTAAAACGAAATGAATCCTTCCATTCAACATCTAGAATGTAATTGATCATCCCATTGATGAGAGTTGACTTTCCAGCCCCAGTTGCTCCAAGAACCATTATGGTGCGATTAGGTTTATTGGAGTCTTTTCCTAAACTGAAACGCCTGCACCCAGTGAGATTAATTTGTTCTTCATTCAGGGGAATTTTATAAACAGGAAGAGGACCTGTTTGTGGTTCCAACAGTGAGCTTTTTTCTTTAACAGCATCAGCAAGCCGTTGAATGCACTCTTGCCCCTCTGAAATATTATCATTTGGTTGTAAATTAACAAGAGGTGAAGTCTTGGCTGGCTGCTTTTTTTCAGCAATGTTTGATTTTGATCCTGGAAGAGCTGATAAAATTACGCCCCAAGCTGACTTCAATAAATATGCCATTATGGTGAAGGTAAGTAATAGCAGTACTAATAAAGTTATAATCAGTTGGTACCGGGGCCAGCCTGTTGGAGAGATATTTTTAATGAGCAAATAAAATAACTATTTTTGGTCAACGAAGTTCATCCATCTTGCTGGTGAGTGTATGATCCTCCGGTTGTGTGCTCTCTGGTCCAAATTTGCATACACTGAAATATAGAAAATACACACTTATTCAACCAACAGTTGCAGCTCCTGTGACAGAGTACCATGCTGTGTTATTATTGTCTCTAGTTAATGTTTGTGCAACAGCTGCTGTCTTAGTGGATGGTAAAATCAATTTGGAAATTTGAGTCAGTTCACTTTTAGAGTTTGGACCAATTTAGCAGGCACAGGGTCTGCAGGATCTAACCAGTCCAGTAACATACTAGAAGTAAGTATTAAAGCAAAAAAAAAAACATTTCTACCTTAAAATAACAGCTTCACTGTCATTTTATGATGATGATGATGCTACAGTGACTTTAATAGGGTGAATGGTCTCTGTGTGCTTCTTTCATATTAAATGTGTAATGCCTTAAGGCAATTAAGTCTCACACCACCGACTATGTCACTGATTTTGGTGAAACTGGATTATATTTAAGGAGAAAATGTTTTCTGGTTTTCTCTCTGATGTTCTCCAGCTGCTCTGCCTTAACTCTCTGTGATTTACAGAGTTTTCTGGCTGACAGTAAAGTAACTGCTGCAAAATGTAGCTGCTCTAGCTCAGGTGGATGCTCGGTACTGGGTGCTGGTACAGGAGTCTTGGACAACTGGGAATAGGAATTCAAGACACAAGAGTAAATGTGGGACTGACTTGTAGTCATTAGCGTGAGCTTTTTGAAATAAAAGGCTACAGAAAGACTGCCTTCATGCTGTTGGACTAGTTAGTAATATTAGCAGTTTACTATGTCTTGTGTTGTTGCACTTCCTCGATGTTTGGCTGTTTGAGCAAAATTGGGTAACACTTTATAATGAGTACACACTATTAAGCATTAGTTAAGCATGAATAAATACTGAATTCATCATTTATAACACATGAATACACATTAGTATGTAGTTTATAAACATAGTTAAAAATGTTTTATTCATCATTGATAAGCACATTACTTATGGATTAGTAAATACTGAATTCATCATTTATAAAGCATGATTCTGCTGTAAATAGTCATTACTATGTGGTTTATAATCACAGTTATAAATGTTTTACTCTTCATTGTGCTGTACATTTCTGCATGCACTTGCACATCCACTATTCAGACATGTATTAATGATTAGTGACTGTGTTAGCAGATGTTCTATAAAACCCACAACAAATTCATTTTCTAATGATGGCCTATAAACAGTGATTAATGCAGGAATTCACAGTTACAAAGCACTTACTACTCGTTAATTAAGTATTTTGCACGAGCTCATCTAAAGTGAGCACTATCTATGGCTTATTAAGCATTTACAAATGAGATATAAAGGCTGACAATGCCTCGAGACTCACAAAATGTTCAGTTATCTTAACAGACGAAGGAGAGACACAACACAAAGGGATATAGAACATATTGTATTGATATTTACTGCAACTTCCCAACATATTGTATGAAGACGAACAAGGCTGGTTTATGAAGACATGCTATTGTTGTGATCTTCTCTGTTTGGGACGTGTACGTTGAGCTCCCGCTCTCAGCACGTCATCAACTTGATGAGAGTGGGAAGCGGGATGTTACGTCATATTTACGTTAACTCTCAGAAGTTTCTGACAGTGCAGCCAAGAGGAGCATGGAGAAGCACATTGGAGTCGGCGGCCGTCAGCGGCTCTAGTGGAGAGTATGTGTCTTTGTTTGGTAGCACACATTATGGTTGAAAGATAACGTTAGCTTGTCAGCAGCTGCAGGTGTTTGCCCTCGCTCCCCGACTAGTAACGTCAGTAACGTTAGTAACGTTACCGACCCGCCCGCGGTGGCTAAGCCGACCTAGTCTAGTCTCGTCTAGCCGGGCGAGGTGAGGGCCTAGCAGCGGCAGGTCGGCTTAGCCACCGTGGGCGGGTCGGTAACGTTAGTAACGCTAGTAACGTGAGTCGGGGAGCGAGGGCAAACACCTGCAGCTGCTGACAAGCTAACTTTATCTTTCAACCATAATGTGTGCTACCAAACAAAGACACATACTCACCTCTAGTGTCGCTGACGGTTGCCGACTCCAATGTGCTTCTCCATCCTCCTCTTGGCTGCACTGTCAGAAACTTCTGAGAGTAAACGTAAATATGACGTAACATCCCGCCAGCTCAACGTACACGTCCCAAACAGATAAGATCACAACACTTGCATGTCTTCATAAACCAGCCTTGTTCGTCTTCATACAATATGTTGGGAAGTTGCAGTAAATATCAATACAATATGTTCTATATCCCTTTGTGTTGTGTCTCTCCTTCGTCTGTTAAGATAACTGAACATTTTGTGAGTCTCAAGCATTGCCAGCCTTTATATCTCATTTGTAAATGCTTAATAAACCATAGATAGTGCTCACTTTAGACAAGCTCGTGCAAAATACTTAATTAATGAGTAGTAAGTGCTTTGTATCTGTGAATTCCTGCATCAATAACTGTTTATAGGCCATCATTAGAACATGAATTTGTTGTGAGTTTTATAGAACATCTGCTAACACAGTCACTAATCATTAATACATGTCTGAATAGTGGATGTGCAAGTGCATGCAGAAATGTACAGTACAATGAAGAGTAAAACATTTATAACTGTGATTATAAACCACATAGTAATGACTATTTACAGCAGAATCATGCTTTATAAATGATGAATTCAGTATTTACTAATCCATAACTAATGTGCTTATCAATGATGAATAAAACATTTTTAACTGTGTTTATAAACTACATACTAATGTGTATTCATGCGTTATAAATGATGAATTCAGTATTTATTCATGCTTAACTAATGCTTAATAGTGTGTACTCATTATAAAGTGTTACCCAAAATTGTATCATTAGTACTGTAATTGTTACAAATGTACAGATGTCCATATTTACCACAATGGGATTGCAAGAGGGGCCTACAAGTCGCAACAAATACCAAATCTTAGATAGTGTTGCTTTATACAACAAATAAAGCTGCATAACCACAAACCTCTGTTGATAGTTGTCAGCCAAGTGTCGTGATTTCAAAATGCGTGCTCGGGATGTCCAACTCCTAAAACACAAAGATAACAAAGTGCCTTTAAAAACATATGTGTTTAAGGTACATCAATTTTATTTTAAGACACATTGGTCATTGTGGTAATTTTTAGGATTATTAATATATTGAAAACAATAATCTATCAATGATTTACCTCATGTATCATCTGTTAATAGGGATGCAGAGGAAGATATAACTGAGGGAGTAAAGAAGTCTGATGTTCCTCGATGTCTTCTGATGTAAAAAGCACAAAACTGTGTGGAGTCACAGTTGTTCAGTCTAGAAAAAGGATGAACATAAGATTTATTTGTTTGACAGTAAGGTACCCAGTGATGAGTTAGCCTGACTTTGATGTTGGGACAACTTACAATTAATATGTTAATTTTACATGATTTAACTGTAATCTTATGAATCTTATGAATTTTCTTTGAAATTTTCATTTGATCACATTTTGCAGAGGCTAAACAGGCTCAACAAGTCATGAAACTTGGCACACACGTCTCACATGGCTGCATTATACATTTCATCTGGCTGTTGCCCGTGGGTGTGTTAAAATGGCTCGATAGCGTCCCCATACAAACTTTCAAAAAACCAGCCCCGGTGTCCTGTTTGGCGGACATGAATGAAAATTGGCAGATATATTTATCATTTCAGGACATACAAAAAAGCCTCTGGAGCCATATCCTAAACCCAACAGGAAGTCAACCATTTTTAAATTAATGTTAACTCCTGGCACCATTTTAATTAACTCCTCCTAGAGAACTGATCACAACAACTTAAAAATTGGTGAGCACATTCTAAAGGCCTCCAGGATTTAAAGTTTTGTGCTTCATGAATATTCTTTGAACGTCTGTGGTGTGGCGTGAAAGGTTACATTTCGGCATGACATAGGCATAATTGTCAAAAAAAAAGGATATACAAAAAAGTCTCTTTGAGACTCACGCTAAATCCAACCAGAAGTCGGCCATTATGAATTTATTGTCAATTTCAGTGTCAACTGCAGTACAGATTCTTCATTTGAAACCAAACATCTCAAGTTTGTTAAGAGCCCTGGCCTAAACGCATCTAAGTGCCAATATTCACTCGCTGTCATAGCACCACCGACTGGCAAGGTGAAGTGAGCTTTGTATGCCGATTGTGATGTGATTTCTATGTAATTTTCATAGCTTGATGTTGGCATGATGTACTTGTGCGGAACCCAACCGCAGCACCCCGACATGCGTGGGGTGCGAGGGCCCGTTCATCGCTGCTTGCAGCTTTAACTTAGGGCCCGAGCACTGACTGTGCGAAGGCCTTATTGTATCTATAAGGGTTATTACTATTTTAGTACCAAATTAATCGCATTTTTGGAGGCTTTCCCGTGCTCGAAAACTCAAAAAACTCTGCACATATGTCTGTTGTGGCTGAAAAATTTATATTTTATGGGTCTCCACTATGAGCATGGCAATATGGCCCCTCAGGGGCCCATAAACTGAACCCCAGGGGCCGGTTTCACCGATATGCATAAAATCAGTTCACAGATCTTAGATCTTAGATCTTTGCGTGATGTACAAAAAATCCAGTCTGAGCCATATCGCAAACCCAACAGGGAGTTGGCCATTTTGGATTTAGCATCCATTTCTGGCGATTTAAACACGTTATATTTTAACAAACTTATCGGATCAACTTCAAATTTGGTCAGTCGACTCTAAACACAATCGTGATTAAAAGTTGTGCTATTTGTGACTTTTCGTCAGAGGGCGTGTCCATGACATGGCGCCAAGTTTTGACGTTTTGCCATGAAATGGCAAGATGTCATAACTTCAGTATACTTTGTCTGATCGGCACCATAATGCACGTGTCTGATAAGAGTCGTGCCTTGAACACATCTATATGATAATATTCAGTAATAGTGATAGCGCCACCTAGTGGTGAAAGGAAATTATTTTTTTTATACTTCCATGTTCTACTCCTAGCAGGACGATCAGATCTAGCTGATATTTGGTCATAAAATGCAAAACATGTTGTTGATGATATTTCATGATTATGGTGACGGTTTGTTAAACTGCGTGTCCGTGGCCTGGCGTCAAATTTTGATGTACCGCCAGAACACACAAATTTGCTATAACTTGTGTTAGCAAAGTGGACTTGAGTGCCTGTGCACAGGTTCAAATGGATACGTCAAGTTTTGACATGTTTTAATTTTGTGCAAAGTTTCGGGAGCTTTCAAGCGTGGGAAAGCCTCCAAAGATGTGATTAAAGGGGCAAAAAAATAATAACGGAGGCCCTAATGATGGGTATCGGCGCCAATCAAGGCATTTTTTAACTGATCACATCGGCTATACTGAGCTTTATTGACCCGATCCAATCTTTTGTTATACGTCAGCTGTCACACAGCTGTTTTTACTCGCTAAGATTTCATGCATGGTGCAGCCACTGCAGAGTTTCACTGTCTGTCCCTGCTTGGAGGGGAGAAAGCAGCAGAGAGCTTATACACTTAATCTGTGCAAAATGTGTACAGTGGATAATACACTCAGCAGAATAGGCTACAGTTTATTCAGGTAGAGACTGCACTGAAGCAACACACACTGGAGAGAGAAACTCCCTCAAGACAGCAACAACACCAAAAGATTACGTAGGGTTTGTTATTTTATACTTTACTGTGTAAAACATTAAGGAACAGCTTGATGCAGGCTTTTTTTCTCCTTATGCAATGCAATCTCAAGCACAAACATTGGACTGATTTTAATAATAATTTTTACTTGAAGTGTGCACTATATTATCTGGCAGATATTAAACAACTTGGATTGGATCGAAGCAAGGAAACATTTATCACAACATCTCTAATTATATATATTAAGCTGTTGACTTGAAATTGTTGTTGATGATGGCGCTAGATGTAATTATACACATCACATGGCTATTGTAAATCAGTATTTATGATGCACAGCAACTCCAAACCATACATTTATTGAAAGAGCTTTTGATCTCAGTTTTGATCCAAAGATAAAAGGAAACTCAGAACCCAACTGAAACTGAAACATTGCCTGTTTTTATTAACCACAATCTATAAAAAATGTCTCGATATATTCCAGTCTGGACCAAAGGGATGAACTAACTGAACAACTGACTGAAACAGCACTCATTTTCATTTAAACTGCATTTACATTCTTTGGTTAAACAACCAGAAACTGCAGGACTCTGATTACTCAGCAAAAATACACAGCAGAACTAGTGCATACAATAGTACATTAACAAAAAAGTGTACTTACAGTAGAAATGTGTGTGATCCTCTGAGGCAGTGCTGTAGTTTCACACAATATATCGTCTCTGAAAGAGTAACACCCCCTGATCTTTATTCATCAATAGGAGGAGGACATAGAGGAGAACCAGGCTGATTTCCCAGTAATCACCTGACCTGCAGAGGGAAATAATCTGTGATAATGATCTGCCTTAATGGTTGCCTCACCCAGTGTCAGCTCAGATTGGCTCCAATCTCCCACTACTTTTTCTTTCACTTTCAGGTTTGCACACCGGGGGTTTCTCAGAAATGTTTTCAGTAAGAAGTCTTGAACCTGGTTTCTGTCCCTGTTTATCTCAACATTTTCCTCTTAAAACTTGCTCTTATTTTTCAATCACATTGTCTACTTGATCCATTTCCTTATTTATTTATTCACCAGCAAGACTCAGCACAAAGCAAAGCCACACCCAAATGTGTGTATGTGTGTGTGTGTGTGTCTGTAGGTACACTGTATTTATAAAAGAAGCTACAGAGTAAACTGAAGCAGACCTCAAAAAGACCTTAAAGTTGAAATTGCACCTATGCCTGTCTGACATCAGTCATGACCATCAGCAGCTTGACTGTCCAACACAGCCAGCTGTAAGTTAATATAATAATTACACATAATAAACAGATTAATAATTGTCAACTGTGTGTAAATTTACTATTAGCCTCCAAACTTTTTCAGGATCCCTAACAAATAAGAAATAAAAGAAAGATTAAAGCTGCAAGCAGCAATGAACGGGCCACGCAACTCGGGGTGTACTGCGACCGCGCCACGTGCCGGCGTAACACGTGCATTCCATAGTAACAAAAAATTAAGTTGAGGTTTCAGGTGACTTATCAGGTTTGACGTATTGAAGCTTGTGCTACTTTTACCTCCTCGTGGAACTTGCTTGAAACATTTGTTACAATAACAAGCGAACTGTCTTCTTCAGAAAGTCCCAAACAATCGACGCCATGTTGTTTGTTATCAAACGTAAGCACGCTGTGCTGCATTCACGGTGTAACGGAAATTCCCTGTTCCCACGTTTGCTAGTCGTTCTTTCGGCCTTTTTAAGTTCATGTTTCTATTGTTTATGTGTAACGTGGAAAAATACTGTGGATATCAATTCAAGTCAGCAACTACCAAAATTATGACGAGTTAACGAGTTCTTTTCGCAATGAGGGGGTATTCTTGAATTTTCCCAGTCAGAAAGAGTTTTTCTGATTATGCCAACGTCACCTGAACACAGCATCCACTGCGGGGCATTCAGGTCTCACAGTGAGAGCGGGGCACTGCCGTGCTGACAAAATTATATATGTTATCGGGGCTATTCGTCATGATATCGGACTTATCGGAATGACGTAATAATTTCCTGTTATCGGCCCGATAATTATCGTGCACCTCTACAATAGGGCCTTCACACGATTTGTGCTCGGGCCCTAATAATAATTCCTTGAATTACAATAGGGCCTTCGCATGATCTGTGCTCGGGCCCTAATAACTAATTGTAAAACTGACATAAAATCATGCAGTTACGTTTCTGCATTTTCAGCATCACTGAAACGACATAGGAGTAACAGCTCAGTGTGTTCAGCAACTTACTGCTCAGTTTGTCTGATCAGGATGAGAGGACGAGGTCTGCTTCAGTTTACTCTGTAGCTTATTTTATATATACAGTGTATCCACAGACACACACAGACACACACACACACACACACACGCACACGCACATTTGGGTGTGGCTTTGCTTTGTGCTGAATCTTGCTGGTGAATAAATAAATAGGGAAATGGATCAAGTAGATAAACAATGTGACTGAAAAATAAGAGCAAGTTTTAAGAGGAAAATGTTGAGATAAACAGGGACAGAAACCAGGTTCATGACTTCTTAGTGAAAACATTTCTCAGAAACCCCCGGTGTGCAAACCTGAAAGTGAAAGAAAAAGTAGTGGGAGATTGGAGCCAATCTGAGCTGACACTGGGTGAGGCAACCATTAAGGCAGATCATTATCACAGATTATTTCCTTCTGCAGGTCAGGTGATTACTGGGAAATCAGCCTGGTTCTCCTCTATGTCCTCCTCCTATTGATGAATAAATATCAGGGGGTGTTACTCTTTCAGAGACGATATAATGTGTGAAACTACAGCACTGCCTCAGAGGATCACACACATTTCTACTGTAAGTACACTTGTACTCTTTTTGTGAATGTACTATTGTATGCACTAGTTCTGCTGTGTATTTTTGCTGAGTAATCAGAGTCCTGCAGTTTCTGGTTGTTTAACCAAAGAATGTAAATGCAGTTTCAATGAAAATGAGTGCTGTTTCAGTCAGTTGTTCAGTTAGTTCACTTTGGTCCAGACTGAAACATCTCGAGAAATTTTTAAATTTTTCATAGATTGTGTTAAAAACAGGCAATGTTTCAGTTCCAGTTGGGTTCTGATTTTTCTTTTTTCTTTTTCTTTTTGGATCAAAACCGAGCTCTTTCAATAAATGTATGGTTTGGAGTTGCTGTGCATCATAAATACTGATTTACAATAGCCATGTGATGTGTATAACTACATCTAGCGCCATCATCAACAACAACATCAAGTCAACAGCTTAATATATATAATTAGAGATGTTGTGATAAATGTTTCCTTGCTTCGATCTAATCCAAGTTGTTTAATATCTGCCAGATAATACAGTGCACACTTCAAGTAAAAATTATTATTAAAATCAGTCCAATGTTTGTGCTTGAGATTGCATTGCATAAGGAGAAAAAAAGCCTGCATCAAGCTGTTCCTTAATGTTTTACACAGTAAAGTATAAAATAACAAACCCTACGTAATCTTTTGGTGTTGTTGCTGTCTTGAGGGAGTTTCTCTCTCCAGTGTGTGTTGCTTCAGTGCAGTCTCTACCTGAATAAACTGTAGCCTATTCTGCTGAGTGTATTATCCACTGTACATATTTTGCACAGATTACATTAACTGAATGACTAACTGGCTTTTTGTTAGCACGGTTTTTGTTGCACATGCGGTGGCGTGTTAAGTGTATAAGCTCTCTGCTGCTTTCTCCCCTCCAAGCAGGGACAGACAGTGAAACTCTGCAGTGGCTGCACCATGCATGAAATCATAGCGAGTAAAAACAGCTGTGTGACAGCTGACGTATAACAAAAGATTGGATCGGGTCAATAAAGCTCAGTATAGCCGATGTGATCAGTTAAAAATGCCTTGATTGGCGCCGATACCCATCATTGACATTGGATTGGAACATGCCTAGTTATTTTCTTTTTTGTTTTCAATGATCTCTGCCTTCAAACTACTAAACAAAGTTGGGTTAAGACATGAAGAACACCTATTCTTTTGTTGGCAGATGTTGTAGAAGTAAATGTAAAAACTCTTAATGTCCAAAAATGTTATGGGCTGGTCTTTACACAATTCTTTAATTTCAATTGTTGACAATAAATTCTAAAATATCTATATCTTTACTTAAGGAAGACCTACATAGATTGTTTACTTAAAGCTGCACAAATAAATTGTTTTCCCCAACTCAGGAGCACTATGCTTATTGTTAGGGACCGAGCCAGCAACCGCTGGAGGTCCCTATTGTAATTGCCAAAGTTATTATTATTTTGACTGCTAATTTGCCCCCCTAAACATAAACATTATTTGGCAAAGTGGTCAGGCCTGATGTAACTTAGATATTCTATGCGTCAACATTAAAGGGCGTGTCCGTGGCATGCTGTCAAAGCTGGCCAGGTTGAATCGAATGTCAAGCTGTGATGCCATTTCTGGCATTTCAGGGCTTCATATGAACTAACTCCTCCTACAGATTTTATCGGATTTAAGTCTTTTGTAGAGTGGTCTCCCTCGGCTTCCGGCGATGAGGTTTTGGGTGTGGGGTGACGTGACCGCTGTGCAGGCCCCGACTTGGGTTGATGGCGAGGTCCCGCCCAATGCTGCTTGCAGCTTTAATTTTGGTTTTACAACTCCAATGGGATGATGATGTTACTCTGTATCCCCTTCATATATGTATACAGAAGCAGTTTTTTACTAATACTCTCCCCAACTATTATTATGTATTAACTATTATGTTATTTATATTTTATTTATGTATTTACTTTCAAGATGATATTGTCAGTGTTTGTTTACAGTTTGTTCTGCTGCAAAAAAAACGTAATAGAAATATCACTTGCTCTTGCTTGAATCATGTAGTTTATACATTGCCAGTTAACCATGATAATTTAATTGATCTTTTTTAGGGGAGAGTATTTGTTGGTCCAAACTTGAAGTCAGTACAGCAGCAGCTAACAGGTGGTACGTATTTCAAACCTCTTTTTTCTTCTTCTTTTGCTAGTCTGTTTTGTTTGTCTATTTCACACTATGCAAATGTGTCGTGCGCTTTCTTTTCTCATTCAATTCAATTCAATTTTATTTGTATAGCGATAATTCATAACAAGTTAGCTCGGGACACTTTTCAAATAGAGCAGGTCTAGACCGAACTCTTTAACATTAATTACAGAGACCCAACAGTACCACCATGAGCAAGACCTTGGCGACAAGGGCAAGGAAAAACTGTCTGTTAAAAGGCAGAAACATAGGACAGATCCTTCGGCTCTAGGTGGGTGGTCGTCTGTCTCGACCAGTTGGGGAGAGAGAGAGAGACAGAGAGACAGACAGGTGCACAGCAACAACAGTAGCAACAACTACACTAATAGTAGTGACTGATGATGAACATGAAGAAGATGATGACAACGACAACAGCAACGATGGGGGACAATGAGCAGTGACAACAACAACAATAGTAACCATAGCTATAATAATACTTATAATAATAATAACACTAATATCAGTGATATTAGCAATGGCAATCTAGCAGGACCATGGCAGGAGGCTCCACCAGGATCCATAAGAACCTGCGAGACGAGAAAGCACAAGAACTCCGGGGAAGAAGTGAAGTTAGTAACATGCATATATGGAACATGAATGAGTGCAGAAAGAGAGAGGAAGAGAGGAGCTCAGTGCACCATGGGAAATCCCCCGATAGTCTTGCATTTGTTTTTAACACATTTCTAGTAACATACCAGTGTGACTTGAGACAATATGTTCAATATATATGAGGAAACCACCAGATGAAGCTCTGCTCTTCTATTCAAACCATTCTGATATCAACACAGTTGAAAATTGGTTGTACTACAGACCTTTTTGTGTTGGGAAACAGAGATGAGATTTTGTGGTGAAAGAAAGAGACAGTTCTGCAGTAGCTAGCTGTGTTAACTGTAGCACTCTCACCATTATAGGCATCTGCCAAAAATATGACATACACACGACTGAACACTGAATGCTGTTTCAGGTCACCAGCAGAGACCTGGTTGGGATTCTATAGAAATTGTCTCAATATATAAAACCTCTTAAAACCCACTGGGTTGCCCAGTTGAGTGAGTTTTAAGCCGTTTAGATCGCCTACACAAATATAAATGTTTAAACTATGTCAAATGGACTTACTACACATCGTTAGATCAGTTAGAACCTCCACAGAGCAATACTTCAGTACATTTTACGGAAACTATGGACACCAAAGCATAATGTTAATTAATTCAGATTTACCTTCACTATAAACAAGACGGACCAAAAAAATCACAAGTCATAACAAAGTCTCTACAGTCTGTGTCCATTCCTCCATTATTTATATTCCTTTGTAAGGGTTCACCAATCAAAATAATCAAATGGTTTCATTAAGTTTAATGTGTGATTTAAGCAAATAAACGCCTGGGCTATTATTAGAAGTTTTATGCTTTAAGCGCCCAGGCTATGAATAAGTATAATGAATATAATGATAACTGGGAAACTCTGAGATGTCATGTCTGCATGCTCTGGATCCACTCACACATTTGTAGATCAAGCTCTTTGCTAGCCTTCTTCCCTCCACTATGCAGTCTGGTCCTTTTACTGTCTTCCTCCGACAGATGTTGAAGTTCAGCTTTACCATTCTCACTCTTTTTGGTTCAACTAAGAAATGTCTTGCCGCTGTTGATTTTTAGTTTTATTCAGTAAATTTAATTAAATTAAATTCAATTTTATTTGTATAGCACCAATCCATAACAAAAGTTATCTCAGGACACTTTTCAAATAGAGCAGGTCTAGATCGAACTCTTTATAACATTATTTACAGAGACCCAACAGTTATCTGGCCCAGTCACCACATTACAACTCAGTGTAGCATCAAAATAATAGTGAAGCTGTTATTTTAAGGTAAAAAAGTTACATGATGGAGCTTTGTATGAGGTTTGTTCCAAAAGCAACAGGTTTTATTTTACTTTTGACTTCAGTGGAGCTTTTCTTTGTTACAGAAACTATTCAAGGTGACAGATGATGGATTAGATAGCAGAATCAAAGGAGTGAACTATCATACTTTGGTTCCCTATCTAAGAGATGGATCCTGAATCCAGCAGAACGATAGTGTTGGCAGCACTTGGCCGGCCATTCGGCCTCGGGATGCTGTATGACTGCCGCCAAGATTCACTTGTCCCTGGTAAGAATACATATGAAACGTTACAAAATGCAACTGAAACCACAACAAAACTTTCCATCTCTTACCTATGGGAATAGGATTTTAAGTTTTCTTAGCAACTCCTTTAAGTTTATTTAAGCTATACTTTTTCACGCCTTAATAACATACAATAAAAGATAGTTTAACACAACCTTCTTTTTGCAGGCATGACACTGTGGGACAGCAATGACCTGAAAAAAAATACAAGAGAAAGTCCAAAACCTAACAGTGACTTTGAGATAGTTGCATCAGAATCGATTGAGGACAAATCTTCAGCACTAAAAGTTGAAGCATCACTGAAAGCAAGTTTCTTGGGTGGACTGGTAGAGGTTGAAGGATCAGCCAAATACCTGAATGATCATAAGACATCCAAAAATCAGGCCAGAGTTACACTGAAATACAAAACTACCACAAAGTTTCATGAACTGTCAATGAATCATCTTGGAAGAGGCAATGTGAAGCATCCGTATGTCTTTGATAAAGGATTAGCAACACATGTAGTCACAGCTATTCTTTATGGGGCACAAGCCTTCTTTGTCTTTGACCGTGAGGTTTCTGAAAAGGAAGATCATCAAGACATTGAGGGTAACTTGAAGGTGATGATCAAGAAAATTCCTTGCCTGGCAATAGAGGGGGATGGTTCACTGAAAATGGAAGACAAGGAAAAAGCAAACGTTCAGAAATTCTCTTGCAGGTTCTATGGAGACTTTTCCATTCAGAAACCTCCTACAACCTTTCAGGATGCAGTACAAATCTACCAAAGCCTGCCACAGTTGCTGGGAGCCAACGGAGATAACGCTGTACCAATGAAGGTCTGGCTGTTGCCACTCGCTAGTTTAGATTCTTCTGCCACTAAACTTGTCCGTCAGATAAGTATAGGACTAGTTCAGCAATCACAGAGTGTCCTGGAGGACTTCAGTGAGCTGGAAATGAGGTGTAATGATGCAATGAGAACCACCACTGCACAGCAGTTCCCACAGATTGGCAAAAAACTTAAAAAATTTAAAGAGATGTGCTGCGAGTTCAAGCTGGAATTCCAAAGAACCTTGGCAAAGAAACTTCCATCAATTCGAGGAGGAGGAGAAGAGGAGGCTGTGCTCGCAGAGATCCTGAAGAAGAGACATTCTTCTCCTTTCAACAGCAAAGACCTGAATGAGTGGATAGACTGTAAAGAGAGAGAAATCTGCATTTTAAAGTCTTTCACCAACATAATGAAAAACACCAAGATTGTCTCAACTCAGAATGGTCTTAATGAGGAAATCATCAGTGTAAAGCATGCTGTATGTTTTGCTTTCACCTCACTGGGAAGTGATGAACCGTTCCTCTCAGCTTTATCAGACTACTTAAGAAAAACACACAAACCAGACGACCCTCAACATTCACATACTCATGATGTAGAGAAGGAACAATGGTACCTTACAAACAAAGTACCAGATATAATGAGAAATAAAGCAAAGCTCTTCAGTGACTTTGCAGAGGCCAACAAGGAGAAAGAGAACATTAAGTTCTTGACAGTAGGTTTAACTAATGAGGCAGAGAAAGGTTCAAGCATCTACCTTTATAAAGACGGCTTTCCTGTAAGTGAGAACTTTGAGCCGCCTTCAAAGCCTGAAACAGTGACAGTCAGCGACATAAACCACAACAGTGTGACACTGAAGATTTCTCCACCCAGATTTGGAGCAGAGAACATCACCTCGTACTCTGTTGAGTACTGTGTCAGTGGAGAGGATGGATGGCAACAACAGAAAGCATCAAAAGCTGAAGAAGTCACAGTGAGAGATCTGAGTCCTAAAACAGAGTATATGTTCAGATGCAGAGCAGTGACCTCAGTAGGTGTTGGACCAGCCAGTGTAGTCAGTGGTTCCATTAAAACCTTACCTTGCAGCCCTCCTGGAAAACCACAAGTTGAACCAAACTCATGTGAGATATCAGTGAGCTGGGAGAAACCTGCTGAGCTTGGACAGGATGTCCATATTTTGAGCTACATCGTGGAGTATGCCAAATCAGACAATGGGATGAAAGAGGAAGATCTCCAATGGAACCAAATGATGTCAGGAGCTAAAAAGATGATCATTTCAGAGCTTGAGTCAGAGACAGAATATGTTGTCAGGATCAGATGTGATTGTGGTGCAGCTGGCAGAAGCAAGGAAAGCATCTCTGTTAATGTCTGCACAAAAAAACGTGACTTTGCACGTCTTGCTGAATTCCTCAAAGATATCAGCAAGAATATAAATTCTGAATCCCCCTCAGTTTTCAAACTGCCTCTCAAAGAAGACGATATGGACATAGATGGATGCCGGAGGTATAGCTTTGATAAAAGAAGCATGAGGCAAAATCGCACAATAATGCTTCTTGGAGCAACTGGATCAGGAAAGTCCACTCTGATCAATGGAATGATCAACTACATTGTTGGTGTAGAGTGGAACGACAATTTCAGATTCAAATTAGTTGATGAGGATCAGTCGAGATCACAAGCTGAAAGCCAGACCTCTGAAGTCACAGTGTACAAAATCAACCACCAGGAGGGGTTTAAAATCCCCTTCTCTCTGACCATCGTGGACACACCAGGGTTTGGGGACACAAGAGGCATAGGAAGAGACAGGGAGATCACTGATCAAATTCGGAGGCTTTTCACCTCTGTTAGTGGAGTCAGTGAGATTGATGCAGTGTGTTTTGTTACCCAGGCCTCTCTTGCACGACTAACAGCAACCCAGCGATATGTGTTTGACTCAGTGCTCTCCATTTTTGGAAAAGATGTGGCAGAGAACATTGAGATGATGGTGACTTTTGCAGATGGCAAGCAGCCACCAGTTCTTGAGGCAATCAACGTCTCTGGAGTTCCATGTCCAAAAAATGACATAGGGCTTCCAGTTCACTTCAAATTCAACAACTCTGCATTGTTTGCTGACAACAAATGTGTCAGTGACGGGCCCTGTGATGAGGACTCTGATGAAGATGATGAAAACTTTGATGAAATGTTTTGGAACATGGGTGCCAAAAGCATGGAGAAGTTCTTCACCGCTTTGGGTAAAATGACAACCAAAAGTCTGCTAATGACCCAAGAGGTTCTGAAAGAACGAAAGCATCTTGAAACAGCGGTTGAAGGTTTGCAACCACAAGTTAAAGCTGGATTAGCAAAACTTCAAGAAATTAAGACAACCAAAGAAAAGATTAAAGAGCATGAAACAGCTATGACTTCAAATGAAAACTTTGAGATTGAGGTGGATGTTATTAAACCAGTCAAAAAACAGCTCACAAAGAAAGGAGAGTACATTACCAACTGCCAGAAATGTTCAGTAACATGCCACTACCCATGTGCAATAGCAGATGATGATCAAAAACATGGATGTACAGCAATGGACAGGACAGGGAGGTGCACTGTCTGTCCTGGGAAATGCATTTGGAATGTGCATTTCAACCAAACATACAGCTGGGAGTATGTTCCAGTGAAAGAGAAGAAGACACTGCAAGAACTGAAAGAAAAGTACGAAAATGCTACAAAAGAAAAGATGACTGTTCAGGAACTGATTGAGAGGCAAGAGGAAGAGATTGTTCACCTTCAAGAAATGATAGTGTCCCTCATGGATCAGTCAGCTCACTCTTTAACTCGTCTGCAAGAGATCGCCCTGAGGCCAAACCCTCTGACCACTCCAGGGTACATTGACATGCTGATTGAAGGAGAAAAGTCAGAGGCTAAAGAGGGTTACCAGGCTCGAATTCAGTCTTTAGAGGCAATGAAGGAAAAGGCAAAAATTATCTCCAAAGTAGCCAAACGAGATAAACTAACAAAAACGGACGAGGAATTGTCTGAAGAAAAACAGGAGAGGCAAGAAAAGAAAGGTTTTCTCAAGAAAGTTGCAAATTTCTTTGGCTATTAGGTAAAAACCTGTTTTGTGCAGCCATGTTAGCCTCACTGTGAGATTGTTATTACAGTATAAACCCGAACAAGACTGTTGGTGGATGAAAAATGAGTCAAATGTACAGCTGAGACATTGTATGGCCATTGGTATGTTAACATGATTGCAATGTGTAAATTGTGTAGTGTATTATTTAGATTTTTTATTGTACTATGTTCACTAAGAGAATCTTTCTAAATGTCTTGTATGTGAATAAACCCTGATTCTGATTGTAGTAACATGCTAATATTTTGCAGGTTGTCATGTTAAAGTTATCATGGTATGTTACGCTGACATGTAGGTTAGCAAGCTGAATTCTGCTTTCACTTCTTGTCATTATCAAGCTTTGTTAGACAATCATAAATGCGCCAGATTTCATGGCAATTTAATCAATAACAATGTTTTAATTGGTTAACAACCACACTGACCTGGACCTTTTATGCTAAATGTTTATGGTTTAAGAATGTTTGGCGGTTTGCCAATTATTGAAACTTGTTTGTATCTAAGAAGATTTTGGTAACAAAGACGGTAACATGATTGCTGTTTAATTTACATAATTAAATTGTAGGGTTGATGTAGCTGTTGCAGGTTAAAGCTCCTATCTGTGACATTCAGCCTGATCAAACAGCACAGAGGACAAGGCTTAATGTGACTGTTGTTCACCAATGGTTAAAACAGTTATAGAGGGACAGAGCTCTAAAGAATCAGCAGTAATACATTGATTAAAAAAATTACAGATTTCAGGTTTTAACATTTGTCTTTAATTTTAACCCATGATGCATTTTGTGTTTATCTTTTATTGATTGTTGTTGCCTAATTGTACTTCAGATGCTTCAAAAGACATAATAAGCACTCTCAATGTAATTTGGATATTAAGATGTTGATACCAGATGTGCTGGTAAATGTTTGATTATACTGGAAACAGTGTTTCAATATTTGAATGTTATTTGATTGAGAAGAAATATTAAATAAATGTAGTTGCAAATGTTGTGTTCTTTTTCTACCTCAGCTATATTTTTTCTCTTTTTAGCTTCAGCTCGTTTTTATCCAACACATAGTTTATTACAGGTAATGTTGGTATTTCCAGGTCAGGTATGGGTTTCCTATAAATTTTGATTTCTCTTGGTGGTCTTTATTTGGAATCAGACTGTTTTTAGACCTTGTACAGAATATCATTATTATTGCCATATGTGTTGTTAAAATACTCTTCAGTCTAGGTTTCTGTATACTCTCAGACTTTTGAGGTTTTATACACAGCGCTTTATAAGGACTGTAAAGAGAAGACAGGATGTGTAGAGGGCAGGACACCGAATTAAATGTTTGTTAGATAATTCTGTCAATTATACGTGACAGGGAGGCAGCCTGCACAAAGTCAGCTGTTATGCTGAGTTCATGTTCATATTGAGATCTAGTGATTACCAATGTTTAACTTTAAGGTAGCGTTCAGGGCCTGAAAACCATACATGGATGACTCATATTGGCCAACTAACTGTGTAAAGTAGTTCAAACTAGCTCCACTTGGAGCAGCTCTAACAGTAACATCATTAAGTCCACGATTAAAGATCACAGTACTTCTTCCACCACTGAAGGGAAGGAGTTTGTCTAATGAGCAAATACATTTTCAGCTGTTCAACAACACTTACCAGTTTGAATGTACTCCTGTACATCTGTATCAAGAGCTACAGTGAAACATAGTCACATCTTCCTACTCTTCTATAAAAGTAATAAACACATACTGTGTGAGTAAATACTAATATTGACAGAGATAAATGATATATTGGTTTTGGTTTTCCATTGTTTAGGATTACTTTACTGTGCAGACACACAAAGAGGTTCGGACAGAGCATTGTGGGAAGGTGAGCAACTTTATTTGTGTTTAGGAATGTCAAAGAGCAAAGTGAGTCAACACCACGGCTGCCTGAAGGTCACTGCAGACCGTGAGCCGGTTCAGAGTTGGAAAAAGAACAGAAACACTGTTTAAACTGTCAGTTTGTTGAATCTCTCCTTTCTGGAGGTTGATCCAGATGTTGACCGGACTCAATGGTCACTTCTGATCACAAACTGGTGGGTCGAGTAACTGTGATTTTAAGCAGCGAGTCAGTGTTTGTGAAGGTTTACTGAAACTACGGATTATTTTCAATATAGATTCATCTGCTGAGCATTTTCTAGATTAAAGAATTGTTTAATCTATAAAATGTCAGAAAATAGTGAAAAATGTCCATCCCAGTGTCTCAGAGTACAAGGTGATATTCAGTTTAATATGATGTAAAACAGAAGAAAATCTACATATTTGATTAACTGAAAACAGCATTTTCTGATATTTCTATATGAAAAATTTAATGATAAATATGCTAATTATCTTTCTGTCGATCAACTAAACGTTTGAAGCTCTAGTTTACACTCAGGGTACTTTTGTCATTACTACCAAAACTGGTATATTTTCACTATTTTGTATATTTTAAGTAAAGTATACACACATTTGCATTTAGAAAATAAATTTCTCTTAATATATAAAAAAAAATCCACAAGATCTGAGCTGCTTTCAAATATAACTCATTAGGTTGTATTTGTTCACAAAAGGAGTTGAATATAAAATATAGTTGCTGTGAAAATAACAAGAGACATCACTTTATTCACTGAAATATATTTTGTTTCTATCAGATACGTCTGGGATCAAAAGAGTAGAAGACGAATGCTTTGACATTTTTAAACGTCAGTTAATGTCACATCTGAGGAAGTCTGTCAGAACGTGGTGAAAGTGAGGAAGGGTGTTAATGCAAATGTTTCAGTTGATACCATGCTGTATTCAAACAAAGGTTTTTCAGGTTGTTTACGTTTGTGCTGGAAAATATCAGAAGAAATACTTTATTTTGTGAGAAATGTAAAGAAAACACCCTGATGGCAAATCACAATAAATAAATTAATGTTTGTGTTTAAACTGAAAATCAATCTGAGGTTTAAAGCACTACGTTCGATGCAGATGTTGTCCTGATGTTTTAGAATTCCTCTCATCTCAGATCAGTTTTAGTTCAGGTCCTGATGATCCCTTTTGACCACAAACGACCAATGAGTGAAATCAGCAGCTGAACAGTGAGAATGGACTGCGGGGGTGTAGGTTTGGTTTTAGACTGAAAGAACAACTCTCTCCCACTCAGACTTGTTTTGCACACTCTACCTTTTATAAATCAATCTTTTGGTTCGTGTTGACGTGACTGAGACAACAAACATTGAGTCGACAGCTGAAACTAATGACACACATACTTGTACAGCATTGTACACAAATATATACATACAGTAACATATTGTACATGTAATATACACAGTGAGGTTCATGTCTCGACTTTTTCACAAGCCGCGAGGAAACCTTGACCTAAACATCAGAGCCTCTTTTCAAGAAACATGAGTGACAAAGAAATACAGAGCTCATGATGGACATCTGCAGTTGGTGATAATTCAAACAGAACAGGAGTAATATTGTAACAAAGGTTATTAGTTTTCTCTGAACACAATCAGTGTTGAGCTGCCACACAACAGGAACAATAAAATAAATTAAAAACACGCTACAACAAACAAACAGTCTACGAGTTTCCTCTTTTTCTTGCCGTAATTTGCTTTCGGTTTCTCTTCATTGGACAAACGCCGCACTTTGTAGCCGGCTGTTCTTCATACAGACTTCACATTGAAGTCAAAGGTCGTGGCCACGAAGGCGGAGTGAACCAAGTCCTATAAGTCTAAAGCCCTGTCTCTTCTACACACAGCTGCATCTTTTTCACAATCATGAATGTTTTCATTTTAGTCATTTTTAAATTATGAATCAGAACAGACCATAACAGTAATCCCACATTTGCCAATCGGAACATAAACAGTGAGAGTTTGAACCAACAAGGTCCTTTTCCTTCATCAAGCTGAACTCTGGTTGATTTAACGGACGGATTTCCACCATTATACCTCTGATCACTACCAGAGTCTGATGCTCCCATCAGGCTGTCTGCTGCTCAATAAAAAGGCCACAGGTCTTTCCTGCTGCACTGACTTCCAAACCATCTCCAGTAATTTACGTTTTTGTTAAAGGGCAGCGCGGTAACCAAACAGTCGGCGTGTTTAGTCCTCATATGTAGAACAGTACCTGGTACTCTGAGCCCCCCCTATAAAGATGTGATAGCAGGCTACAGCAAAGCAACTGACGTTCCTTTCCAGATTCTCATTCTTCAGAACTGTAACTAAACCCCTTCATTCTGATAGCTCCCTCCCTCCCATAGGGGGGTGTGGCCAGAGTGACAGGCTAACTAGCGCTCAGTGTAGCAAGAGTACAGCTGCTTGTAGTCAGAGCGAACAGAGCCAAGAGCAGCAGCTATCAGACGGTCTGCACTTCAAACACAGACAGTCCACTGGAGCCTTTACAGTCACTAGAAGCACATTCATGCCGTTAGTAAAGATTTCTTTGTGCTACCTGTGTTGAAACATTAGCTAAGCTGTGTCTGTGGGGGTACTGTCAGGCTACGGCTACGTAGCAGGCCACAGTCTGCAGAGTCAGAGTAGTTTTATAGAAAGGTGGTGGGGGGAGGAGGGGGGATTGGTTGGTGACGAAAGCTGCCACCACATACGGCACCAAACTCCAGATCAGCTCACTGTGAAATTCAGTTGCAATAGCTGGTTTCAACCAATAAAGGGCAGTTGCTGTGCAAATATACAACAACAACAAACAACTTCCTGCTTCTACGCTGCTGGAAACTTAGAGCACGGAGGAATGTCAGTTCACAAAGAAACTACTGTAACTCTACTTTGTGTTCAGACTCAGATAATAAAACAGCTGCGTCAATGCTAAGAACCTGCGTAAGGCTACTTGTTCCACACACAGAGATCTGATCAGGAATCAAAAACAGTATCAATTTCCATCCCTACCACAAACTGAGCACTGGAAGTGTAACTATAGTAGATTAATGGTTTAGATTCAGATGGTTTGAGTTTTGGAATGATCAGAAAACAAAAGTAATTTCTTGTTAAACTGTCAAACATTGTGTTCAGAAACTTTCAGCTTATAGTACTTATGGGAAGGCCTGCAGATTGTGACCCAGTAGGGCCAACAGTGGCTCTCTTGTGGCACTTTGGGTATTTACTGGAACACTGATCTGGTTTGACTCAGCAGCAGAAAAACTTCCAAAAAATCTAATAAAAAAAAACATACATACATACAGACATAACAGGATAAAAAAAACTTGAAAAATGTGTTAGCAAAAGGGGTTCTGGGGGTCGGGGGTCAACGTGGCACCTTCCTAGATTACATGTTGATGTCTGTGTTTGAGCGGATGCTTCTTCTTGTGGAAATACAAAATGAACCAGGCTGACTGTCTAGAACAAATAAAACCACATTACATTTCTGACGGAGACACTGAAATGCACATGAAGCTCAGGATGAAACCACCTCCTCCCTCAGTATCCCAGGTCCAGCTGGATTTTGTGCTCAAATATGGCGATTAGCAGCATTATGCAGAAGCCCAGCAGGATGCCGGCGTTCTGGAGCAGGAAGAAGCCGCAGTGGCTGAAGCCGTGGTCGCCGGCGTCGTTATGCAACATCTCCGGCACCTGGGCAGAAAAATAACAGGAAATCTCATTTAAATCAGAGTTTACTGATGGATAAAAGATTGGGGCACTCAGAGGGGAGAGATACTGGAGTTATAACAAGGTGTATGTTTATTTGTATTCATCATATTTCAGTGAAGCTGTTCAGATATCTGAATATAAGAAGACAGAAGTCTTATATTGTCTAGTTTTGCTTTGTCGTTTAGGATTGGGGTGGAAGTCTATAGCAGTCCCTCCAGGAAGCTAACCCCTAACACAAACACAAATTCAACCACTGCCCCCAACCTTTGCGTTCCTGTAATCATTCAACAAGGAGTCTGTTGAACTGAGGTCAGTGCACAGCGGTGGCCACAAGAGGGCAGCCTCAGACAGCCGAAGCTCTGCTGTGTACAGACAGCAGCGGTTTGTGACAGCTCACCTCTCTTGAGTTTGTTTTTGTAAACTTGTTGTGAGTGCAGGTTTTTACAGTGTGTGTGTGTGTGTGTGTGTGTGTGTGTGTGTGTGAGAAGAGGCCATCTGGTCCTGAAGCCTCTCTGACAGACATTCGGTCGAGACCTGTTGAGTCGACAGAACAGATGCTGCTGACTGGGTGACAGCAGAGGAGTTCCAGTTCTGCTGACTCAGCGGGGAAACTGTTGAGCAGGTTTCCTTCTACGCTGCGTAAAGCAAATAATTAACTTCCTCCTTAATACACATTAGAGACCTTTAACGTCCTAAAGGGGTTTTAACTGGTTATGAATACTGATGACAGAAGATTTCTATACAGCTATTCTTAATGGATCCACCAGGTCTAAATCCCCTTGAAATCAATGAAACTAGTAGTTTGACAGTTTGATCTGAGTTTGGTGCGTTGAGCTGGACGGACTCAGATATTGATCAGTATACACTGTATCTTTATTGATTATTGATCAGTATACACTGTATGTTTATGGATGATATTGATCAGTATACACTGTATGTTTATGGATGATATTGATCAGTATACACTGTATCTTTATGGATGATATTGATCCTGTATTGACAGTCAGACTGTGGACATATGACGGCCTTTAGCTCGTGTTTCTAGAGTTACGTGTTGTTACGAACACGTTAGGAATTGTTAAAATGTGATATTTCTTAAAGGGAGTTTGGTGCAGGGAGCTTTTAGTTGGATTCAAACTGCTGATATGGATCATTGTTAACGTTTAGTCTCCACTACAGAAACACTAGCTCACTGCTGAAGGCTGATCAGGTTGTCTGATGTTAGGATCATTATCAGTTGATTATACTCAGTTTCTCAGAAGTCTACTTTCCTAAATAAACATGATGTGCTTCTTATTAATGGTGTTATTAATGACTCTTAGAGCTGGAAGGCCAGTATTTATGTACCATCAATGGCAGAAATCCAGATGAAAGAATAATTTGAAACTTATTTGAATTCTTATGCAGTCATACAGACTGGAACAGGGTTTTTCCCAATCTGGAAATGTGGAAATGTGGATTATTAAGTTGTTTTGGTGACAAATGACCGCAGAAAGGAAGCTGACGTCCAACAAGCGTTGTTGAGTGTCTGCTGTGTTTGTGTTGTAACAGCCCTGCTGGTTCTCAGTTGGAAGAAGAAAACACATTTGTCACTTCCTGTCATACAGCTGCAGAAAATATCTGGTAGTGATTGTCGGCTGTAGTGTCCACAGTGCGTTCTGGAGCTAACGTTGACTCACCATGTCCACCAGGGCCACATACATGAAGAGTCCGGCTGTGAGGGCGAATATCCACATGGAGATGTTCTCCGCGTAGTGTCCGATCAAGATACCTGTCACCATGCCAAAGTAGGCCATCATGGCCGATAACACGTTGTACAGGATGGCCTGACGCACAGTCATCCCCGCCTTCAGGAGCACCGCAAAGTCACCTGGGAAACAGAGGAAACTGTTAACTCCAGACCAGAATCATAGATTTTATCCTCACTCTGCTAAAAGACAAAACATCCATTTGAGTGATAAACATTAGTGCAGATATTTAACTAAGAAAGTCTGAATCCATTTATGATACTAAAACTGTGACTGAAGGATTTTATTGTTAAAACTTCCTCCAGTGAGGTCGTATGTGGACTGACAGCGGACGGACGGTCTTACCCAACTCGTGAGGCAGCTCGTGACAGAAAACCGCCACAGAAGTACTGAGACCGCTGGACAGACCCTCAGTGAAAGCAGCTCCTGTAGAACGAGGGACAACATTCAAACCCACCGTCACCACTACTTCTCTACTGTAACATGCACACATGCGGTGAGTAAAAACCGAGTAAAACAACGAGTTTCCTTTTCTTTGCAAAAGTTAAACCGATGTCTTTGCGCCTCACGATTCATTTTTCATCACCGACTCAAATCTTCAAATATTTGTATCGTGATTTAACCGTCTTACGATACATCTTTACATTCCTATACACTAGGTCTTCTAGTCCTGGGTGATACACTGAATGAACAGGTATACCAGTTTTACTTTCCTGTATGAGATGAATTGTTCATATTCCACACAGTTGTAACAAATGAGTTACATTTCTTCTGCAGAAAAACATTTGAGAAATATGAACACTTGAACTATTTGAGTATTTTATGTCACTTTATAGTGTTCATACAACAATTTTCATGTTTGGTTTTTAAAAGGAAGCAATATTAAATGTTTCTGACTGATTTAACTACATTGCAGTTTGTACATTAACTATTAACTCTTTAGTAATCAGCCCTACAGGGACACCGCCAGAGTACCATCATACTGATTTTAGGTCACCCGGCACCAACAGTCACTCACCGATAGCCAGGCCGTCGCTGAAGTTGTGCAGTCCGTCTCCCATGATGACCATCCAGGCGAGCGTGGCCACGCCGGCCTGCTGGAAGTGCTGCTCCGAGTAGGAGTGGGAGTGGCTGTGAGGGTGGTGGTTCTGGGAGTGGTGGTGGTGCAGGATGTGGTGGTAGTCGTGGTGGTGGTGGTGCATGCTGTCGGCCTGGCCCACCGTGTCGTGGAAGTGGGAGTGGCACTTGTTCTCGCAGTCCTCGGCAGTGTAGGCCGCGGCCCCCGACGCTCCGCTGTAACCCGGCGTGACGACGGACACCTGCGGCGCCAGCATCACCTGCTCCTCCTCCGCCACGCCGCCCTGCAGGCCGCTCGGGTGTTCACCAAACATACCGGCACCATTCGTCTCCACATCTGGAGAGAGAGACAATGAGGTCGCCAACAACAACAAAGCAGGATTTTGTTTACCGATTACACAGAAACACCTGAATAGTCTTACACAGATATGTCAACTTTGTGCCGCTCTTACATACATTCTGTGAGCAAGGAGATTTAAACAAAGATATAAAAGTCATAATATGTAAAGTACAGCTCCAACAATTAGTCTGTTAGTAGACTATTAAATTAATCGCCAACAATTATGATAATTATATAATTTCATGTAATTTTTAAAGAATAAAATCAAACTGTTCAATGTTAAAGGTGATAGTTATTATTTTATAGCTGGACATTTTCCTTCATCTTAGACTCGTATCGTCCCACCTTCAGTCGGCTTCAGGTCGTTGTCTTGCAGAGCCGGCTGCTTCTCTGGATCTGCTTTGTCGTTCTGGTCCCACTTCTTCTGGATCTGTTTGGACGGCAGGAAAACGTTGTTTTTATTTCATACAACAGAACGACCGCAGCAACAACACCAGTACACTCAAACTTGCGTTTCCATGGCGATTACAGTCTCCAGAGGAAGTGTGTTGACCTAAAAAATCCAATATTCACAATCACCTGCCATCCATTTTTAACTGCAAATAACAGTTTTAAAATGTATATTGTAAAGTTTCAATCACAACAATTGAGGCCAATAGTGTGACAAACTGTGTGCGCCTTCTCCTGTCTTCTGATTTTTAATTTAATACTATACAAAAAAATACGAACTATTATTGCTTTTGCTGTGAAATCCTTCAGGAAACTGACATCGATCCATTCATACAGTCACAGGGTGTGAATTTTAGGAAGCGTTTTAAAATAAAAACTTCACTCCTGTTTTCACTGACCCAACATGGAAAGAAACAAATCAAACTTTGACCTTTTGTTTCTTGTCTTTGTACATTTTTCCCAGCGTCAGGAAGTGTTCGATCAGAAACATGAAGTAGACTCCGCTCAGAGCCGTCAGGCCCTTCCACACAGCGTCCATGTTTTCCTCTTGCTCGTCATGGTGGTGATGTCCCTCAGAGAAATTCATGCCAGAATCCTCGTGGTGGTGATGGTGGCCTCCCTGAGACTGAAGCATCCACAGATGAAGTAGACAAAAGAAATGTAATATTGGGTGATTTTGAAAATGCCAACGCTGCCCTAAAGTCACTAGGAAACTTTAACAACCTCCATATGGTGCAAATAATCTGCAGTTTATTTGGAAAATTGCAAAACAGTGCAGCCAAACAAACACACATCAAGGTCTCATTCTAAGGTAACACAAACACAACAATTGCTATATTCAGGTGATTAAACACTAATGAAAACATATCTATGATTATACTATATTTCTGACAATAGATGCTCCTCAATGTTTTTACACTGGACCTTTAAACTGCGGCGTTTGTCGTGTTGAAATCCTTTTCTCAAAATTTGAATTTGACCCGCCAGGACAGACAACGTGAGGTCGCTCCAAGACGTCTAAAGAAAGTCGAGCTGTAAACAAACTGCGACTCACGTGGGGGATGAGGTGGAGGAAGGCGTCTCCGCTCAGGGTGCCGACGGCCAGCGCCACCAGGAAGCTGAGGAGGAACTTGAAGAAAACTCTGTTCATGAGCGGGATGAGGACGACACCGAGCAGGGACAGCAGGCTGATGACCGTGATGGAGATGAACCCGCCGACCCACGCTGCAACACACACACACTTCATCTTAACTTCTCCACAATTCAAATAAAGAAATGAAAAACGTACAAATATTGTGTGAAACTGACCGTTTGTGTTTCATCTCGTTCACCATCTTACCTATTGTGATGCTTTTGCCGCTTTCAGAGCGCTCGCCGTGATTGTGGTGCGAGTTGTTGTGGTCACCATGGTGACCGTGACCATGCTTATGGTCTAGAAATGAAAGAGAGTGTTAATCAATCTAGTTTTGCAAATGACAACTTTGGAGCTTTTGTTTTGATAGTGCCTTTTCTTTTTCATATCTTTTATTTTGACACCCAGCAACAGATGCTGCGTCTATAAGACCACAAAGTGACTCTAGTTCAGAAAGAACAAAAAGGGTTTGTAGTGATATTCAAAACAAAACAAGAACAGCCCTTTAAATACTTCATAATACTTCCGGTTGATTCTGCCAGGTAGTTAGCCGTGTAAACTGGTAAATCTGGATCATCAAAGCTTCAACCCTCCAGGTGTGTCACTGAGTCAGCTTAAAAATATTTTCCAAACATTTTAATTTTTATCTCCACCCAGGAGAAAAGAAAGAAGTACAAATTATTTCTTCTTGAACACCCTCCTACCTCTCTCCTCGCGTCCTCCGTGCTGGATGCAGGCGCCGCCATCAATCTGGTTGAGGAGGGCGGGGCAGAGGAAGCTGAAGTCACTGAGGGTCATACCCACCTCCTGAGACATCCCATGTGAGGAGAGGATGCTGGAGGCGTTCAGACACTGGAGGGAAGAAAATACATACACGAAGAGTCACTGGAGGTTTAAAGGACTACTCCTGTACAGAGACTACTGTTGGTTTCTTCACTCCAAAACTCAAAGAATCCTGACAACAAACTTTATTTGGAGCACATTTTCAGCTATTGATGGGACGATATACGAATATTATCACGTATCCTCGGAGCTCACTCACCCACATCTTTCATCTCGTTCCACAATCCTAAACCAATGTGGTGTAATAAAGATGTAATGAACACATTCCAGTATGTTTTAGTGTCATTTTAAGAATTTTATTTTGAAGCTTACTGTTATAATATTGTGATTGTTCTTGGAAGGATATTTGTGAATTTAAATGTTTATATCGTCTGATGCCTATTTTCAGTTCAAAGGGATTCCAACTAATTATATGTTAGTTGTAAATGTTACTTTGAGTGAAATGGACTTCGTCACATTCACCCAGTCACACAGCGATAGCTCGGCATCGGGAGCAGTCTGGGGTTCAGTATCTCGCTCAAGGATACTTCAGTGACAGACGTTCAGCGGTGCAGTTCACACACTGAGACAGAGAACAGCTGTAGAGCCAGTGCGTTTTCACATCTGACTGCTGTGAAGTTAAAGGTTTATTTCCTCTAGTTTGACGACAGGGAATACAGTAACGAGGTGATTCACAGAGGTTCCAACCAGGACTCTGACTCTGGGGAAGACGAGGACCCAGCAGGGACAGCAGAGGAGAGGCAGCGACATCATACAGTTAGACAGCAGAGTTGATGATTGTTGGAACAGTGTAAACACTAATAAAGACGGTTTAGTTCTCAGATTAAGAACAAGATCCTTAAACTTTATCTCAGACGGAGTACGGTTGTACTTTTCTGTTTAATGAGGGAAATCTGTGTTTTTATTTTTCCTTTCTTGACATTTAGTGAGTTTTATTTTTTTATTAAAGCTGTGAGCTCGCTGTTCATCTCCCAGCTGGAACTCCAGTACATATAAACGTAACCCTATTGGACGACCCGCTCGGTCTCCTGAGCCCCAGCTGTCCCAGTTCCCATTTCCATCAACCTTTTTCTAAAGATGTTGATTATATTATATTTTCTTTAAGATAAAGTATTGAAACAAAACGTTTTTTGCACCTAAACTCAGTTTTTGTTGACAGATAATCAACATTTGATAAGAAGCTAATGTCGTACCTCTACGCTGTCCGCGCTTCGGTTGTGAGGAAGGTCCTCGTGGTCATGATCGTGATCGTGGTCGTGATCATGGTCATGGTCATGGTCGTGATTGTGGTCATGATCCCCCCGGCTGACGGCAGCTGCCTGTGTCTGGCTCTCAGCGACCCGTCTGGTGGTTTCAGGGCCATTTTGTCTCAGCTGGGCGCTGTACGCCGCCGTGACGCCGACCTCCAGAGCCGACCTCTTCCTTTCACGCAGGTCGCCGTGGCTGTGCTGGTCTTCGGCGTGAACGTGTTTCTGGTGATGCGAGTTGTCGTCGTGGTGACGGTGGCCTTCGTGGTGGTTGTGATGGTGGTGGTGATGATGAGTGTGGTCGTGGTGGCCCGCTTGCTCGTGATGTTGCACCATCACGGTCCTGATGCGATCCAAACCCACGTTCTGTAGGAGGCGCTTTAACCCGGCCAGAGAGATGGTGCCGTTCTCTCCGTATCTGAAACAATACAAACACAATAATCAATAATCAGTAGAAATAACTGCTGACAGTACAGTTCTTCTATGACCCGCCAACATCAGTCCAGAGGTTTTACTGCTATTTATACACAAATCATTAATATTTCACTGGATTCAATATTAAACTTTAAATATTGAACATGTTTATTTATTGATGACTCGTATATGACGACATGCACCATTTTTAAAAGTCTTTTAATATAAAAAATGTATTTAATACAGATAACCCTGCATCAGCAGTAAAAAGAAACACATTTTATAAACACTATTATTTAAAATAAATGTTTACAGTTTATTTTTTAAACCTGAACAGAAACCAAACTGCAAACTGGAGAGAATTAAAAAATAATACAAATATTAAATATTATAGTTAAATCAGTTAATAATATTAACTTCCATCACACATCACATGATGGTCGATGATGAACAGCCACCAGGGGGATCCCTGCAGCTTCACAATAAAAGCATTTAACTGGCAAAATACGAGTTGACTTTTATTTTGTAGTAAGCTATTGTTCAACAACTACTTAAATTTTCTTCTAACTTTAATGTTTTTCTCAAAGTTCTAGCTGCCAATAATTGATCCCAATAATACGATTATGTCTGTAGTAACTTATTTTAATCAATTTTAGAGATTTTGCTTCATTTCTTAAATACAAAAATGTGTTAATTATGATCAGAGAGAGCAAATCTTCAGTCACAGCTCAGTTTAAAACATTATCCATCAGTTTTTAATCATCTGCAGAATTCAATCATCACATTAGGATTATTTGTCAGTATTGTTGGATTTAATGCGACAAGTCACAATTATTTTAATTAGAATATTTTTCAGCTAAGAGTTAAAATTCTCAGCAAATAAGTGAGATTTTATATTTCAGTTTTTAAGGATAAGTAAGTGTTTGATATAAAGAGTGTCTCACCTGTTGAACAGAGCCTCCAGGTGCTGCCTCTGGCTCTGCTCGGCTCTCTGTGAGTCGACCGCAGCCGACAGTAAACGCGCCGCGCCGTTTGCCTCCGCGGTCGACGGGCCGCAGTCCGAGCCGGCCGACCCGCCGCCGCCGGACAAACTCGCCGCGAGGAGAAACATCAAGGCCACGACGCCTCGACTCTTCTTCTCGTCCATCGTCTCTGCCGGGAAACACACAGAGTCAGAATATCTGTTCAACACATTTACTCCTGAAGAAGCTTCACGCAGGTTCAAAAGATTAAATCAGATATTATTTATTCATTTAATCAAACAAACTAAAACTTCCATGATAGTTAATTTAATTCCTTCTGAGAGAGTAAACTGAACATCTTTGGGTTTTGTAAGAGGCAGTGAACATAAGCCCCGCCCCTTTTTGTTCTGTCCTCCAATCACAGTTGAGCTAGCCTCGGCCATGCTAAGCTAATCTACGTTGAAAAGACAACCAAACATTTTGAAGAAGGTTCAAAGATAAAAGAGATCACAGTGAGACGAAGTCGATAGAGTCTGCTAACATTAGCTCACTTACACAATAGTGGCGTGATGTCGTGTTTGTCGAGGAATTAAAGAAACGTATCCATCGCGATGCAACACAGGATTGTATAACGACATTAAAGTTTGTAGTTTGTGCCGCACACACGTAGAAAAAGATCTTTAAATTCACAGAACAACATCTTTTAAAAGTGGTTGTCTTAGCTATTAGCCTAGCACGTAGCATATCTCAGTACAGGAAGTTGAGGTTTCCTAAAGGTGGATGAAATAAAGGCCAGCTGTGACACTAACACGTCCCGACTCACAGCACTACATTAACACCTTCTGTCCCTCAGACCTTAAAAACAGTCAGAGAGATTTAAAATAGCATCAGGAAACAGTAACGACACAATACTGTGTGTGGATGAGTAATTCTCAAAAGTTCCCTAAAACGCGTCACAACAGACGTAAAGCAACAAATTCACGAAGCCGGAGCCGAGTCGGGTTTTAGATCCTGTTTGTAAAGTTAGTTTTCTGTCGTCGAGTCATTAAAAAGCAGTTTTTATTCCCTTTAGAGGAAGAAAGTGAAACCGACAGATGAGGGGATATTGTCTCCTGCTACACGTGTTCAGACTGAATTTATGTATTTACTGTTTATTTATATTATTTGAGTAAAATTCAAATCACTACAATGTAAAAATATTACATTAAAAAGGTAAAAATGTGTCAGAATACCAATATAATGCTGGTTTACTGTCACTAATCTATTATTACAGCACTGTACAGTTATATAAATATACTGCAATGGAGCTAATTGTGCACATTTTATATTCTGTTGAGGTTTCATTTACTTTATAATATATAATATAATCATAAGATAACCGATGATTTCATATTTTCTAATTTAAAAAAAAAAAAGGTGGAGGTTTAAAAGAAAGCAGGTCCCCAGAGATAAAGTTTAAACACTAATAAAGAATATAAATGTGCACACACACACTTTAAGGGATTATTATAACCGGATATAACTGTAGAACAACAGCCCACTGTCTCTGGCAGATGGGAGCAGTTGGATGGATTTAAATAAAACTAGTAAACAGTTGCTGTTTTCTTGTTGGATGTTAAGCCGAATAGAAAAGCACCTTCAGAGTAATTGGATTACAAAACTTCCGTTGTGTTGAGACTGTATTCGCCCTGTGACAGCAGATTACATTAAACTGGTCCGTTTTCTGAATGGAGTCTGGCGCACGGCGCACACTGCTGTTGGCCGTACGCACCGTACAGCTCCTCGTTAGTTGTGAAGATGAGTGAACGATGTTTATACGGTATAACTGATGCTAACGCTAACACGGCTCTCACCTCTTCTGTGTGTGACAGTGAGTTAGCTCGCTGTTAGCCACCCTGCTAGCCGCGGTTCTTCGGTAGATTCCTCGGGAGGATGCTGACAGACGGCCGCTGCCAGGTGGCCGAGGCCCGGGCTCAGGCCTCGGGCTGCTGCCGAGGCTCGGACTAAAAGATATTAAGCCATAAAACTATAATAAAAGCCTCCTCCCGCCGCGGTACGAGCAGCCATGCGTGTGTGAGCACAAACACCCGCCGGAGGTAAACAGTAACACGTTGGGTTTGTGCGCTCTGCACCAGCCCGGTGCCGTGTGCACAAAGACGGCAAACCCGGAAACTGCGCCCGGCCGCTCCCGCCACTGCCGCCGCCGTGCGGAGCGGACGTGCTGTAGTTCGGCTCCGGACCGCAGAGAACAACCGCAATGAGCTCCTAACAGTGTGGAAACGACTTACAGGGAACGGTACCGCGGTGTTTTATCCTCTCCGGGTTGATGTGTGGACGCTCCTCGGTGCCGCTCGGTGCCGCTCGGTGCTTTCCCGCTCGGTGATTTCCGTCCGGTAACGAAGGCTTAATGGTGTGGGTTAGTGCCGCATTCAGGGTCTGCGGGAAATCTGAGAGCCGACCATCAGCCGTTAGGCGGCGCTAAACATATGAGTATTAAATATCTACTTATTCTTGTTGTTTGTTTTTTATAACTCTCAGATTCTCTACACATTCCTTCATTTATTGAATATATTCAGCCACATTGTACCTATTTATCTTTTTTATCTTTTATAAAGTATTTATTAAGTATTTTATTCTATTGTATTTAAATGTACCTGGCTGCTATGACGACCCAATTTCCCTTCAGGGATTAATAAAGTCTATCTTGTTCTCTTTATTGTCTCTATTTTTATCTTTATTTATATTTCTCTGTTTACTGTAATACACAATCTTACCTACTTCATCCTGAGTCGGATTTAGTTTCCTGAACCAAAATAAAGCAGTTATTCCCAAACAAACCTTTTTCCTTATGGGAGCCCTTTTTATATTTCATCTACATATATATAATATATATTTATATAATGTATATTTCCTCTATATATATATATATATATATATAATGTATAACAATAACAGTAAAGAACAGCTGATAAACTGAATAATGAACCCAAACAGTAAAAACACAATAACTGCAGGAAGCTTGTGTAAAACCAGAGATTTGGATGTTTGAGCAGATTATTTCCTGTAATTATTGATCAGAGATCCATACATTTATATGTTTATATATATATATTTCTAACCCCGTAGGTACAGGAAAGGAGGAAGTTGACCGAGGGACTTAGGAAGAGTCTCTGACTGTCCAAACAATAAATATAAATAAAGTTTGCTGTTACTTTGATGCAGCATTAAAGGGAAACAACAACAACCAAACTCAGATGTAGTATTTTCCCAGCAGCACTTGAAGGCAGCACCGGAGGACTTGAAGCAGATAAATGAGGGAACACGTGCTCTGCTAGCATGTGTTAGCATGTGTTAGCATGTGTTAGCACTGGCAGTGTAAGGAGGAAGGAAGCTCAATGCTTCAACTTTAACTATATTTAAACTTTAATAATGTTTACTGTGAATTAATGAAACCACGGATCGTCTCATGAGGACAGAAATAAAGTGGTGAAATGTTACGTAAGTAAGTTCTCCGAGTCGCTCTCTCCGTCTCCCTGCAGCAACCGAGCTGAACGGGGGGGGGGGCGTACGACTCGTAAAACAAAGATTTCAGCGCCCGTATTGAGATGTATGTTCTTTGTATTTGACTACGTTGGTCGTTTTAATGTCGACTTTAAATTCTCCTACAAACTGTTTACATTGCTGCTTCAGTCTCTGTGTCACTGTGAGTTCAACTCAATGTAAAGGTTTGTGTTCCAGCTGGTTGCTAAATAGGCTAATGTAGCTAACAATAACACTAGCCTGCCACTGGTGGCCCCTCGTGGCCCCTGGAGGCCCCTGGAGGCCCCTGGAGGCTCCTGGAGGCCCCTGGAGGCCCCTGGTGGCCCCTGGTGGCCCCTGGTGGCTCCTGGTGGCCCCTGGAGGCTCCTGGTGGCTCCTGGTGGCCCCTGGTGGCCCCTGGTGGCCCCTGGAGGCCCCTGGTGGCCCCTGGTGGCCCCTGGAGGCTCCTGGTGGCCCCTGGAGGCTCCTGGTGGCTCCTGGAGGCTCCTGGTGGCCCCTGGTGGCTCGAGACAAACGCCACAGCACTTGTTGAAATTGAAATAGGCGAAAATGGCAAAATATTATTGAACTGTAAGACTTGCAATAACAGAATTAGTTGAAATGTTTGTGTTTGTGTAGAAAAACATTATTATTATTTACATTGAGCTCGTTTAGATGATCCACAATCAATAACAACAGCTGCTGCACTTCTGTCTGACTCGTAACGCCCAAAGACAAACTGGAGCTATCAGTGGTACAAGCAATGACGTCACGTTCTCTGGTAGAACAACTCGGGCTCCGAGTTCACGAGACAAATGGAAAGCAGCACGAGGAACATACTGTCTGTGCTTTTAGCTGGTTAGCTTGCTCGCTAACTCAAACAAATGTACGTGCTGATTTTAGCCAACAATAAATGATGAAAGCTAACGGTTGCGTTCTGATTTGTAAACAGTGAGCTAGTTAGTAGCACTGAGCTAACGGTCCAAATACAATATAGGAACATTGCAGATAGGAACGTTATTCTAAATATGACTCAGTTATTTTACAGCGTTCAGTTTGTCTCTGTTGGCCGACGCCCAGGATGGTCAGCGTCAGTACATCGTGTACTGCACCGAGGTAACTGTACTGAAACTACAGCTGCTACAAGCCTCAGACACAGTTGAGATAAAAACCCCACAGAGCTGAAAACTGAGCCCACATGGATCCCAAAAACCACCTGCTGCCTCCCCTGCAATCAAACCCGCCTACAAAACAAACATGGATTAGTTCTTCTGCCAACACACCATGTTTATGTTTTCTTTTCCATTCAGACACCAGCTTTAAGTTACCGGCTGTTATATAAATCCACGTTAAATGTTCCAGGTTGTTCCAGGTACATAAAGGATGTGTTTATTGGTGATTAGTTCGTGGTTGTTGTCGGTGGTTCTCGCTGCTTTTTGTTTACCACTAACATCAACTGGACTCTAAAAGCTAATATTTACCAGGATTTGTGTTTCTGTCCAACCCGGGCTGGGCGAGAACTTCAAGGCCAAACACAAACAAGACTAAACCGAGTTCTGTGAGGGAATCAGGGCTGGAGAGGAACAGCTGTGGTTCCCAACATTTAATGGATATTTCATATTATATTCAAACAATAACACATTAACTTCAACCCATCGTTACTACATTGCAAGTTTCTTTCCCCAGAAACCTTTGTAGAAGTGAAACTCCAGGACATACAGGGATAAACACGCAGGCCAAAGTTCGCCCATCCGCCCCTCGATTGTTCAGAAGAAGCTCCTCTCGCTCAGCCCACAAGAACAATATTGGTTTTGGATCGGTTGCCAGGCGGGTGTGCTTCTGTTTTCCATCAATACGAAATGCAGCTTCACTGAATCTCCACTCTCTCAGGCTCAGGGCTGTAAGACGTCCGTCGACTGCCCAAAATATTTGTGTTCTTCTAAATAAAAAAATACTTTTTTAGGGAGCTTGAAATCACAAAGTAACAGAGGAAAGTAACTCCTGGAGTACTTTGACTTAAAGGACCAGTTTATAGGATATAGCGACATCTAGTGGGGAAGTTGTAGAATGCAACCGTTTGAATACAGTTTGTCTGTTCTGGGCTACTGTAGGAACATGGTGGTCCAACATGGCGGACCACTGTAAAACGGCTCATTCTAAGGTAACGAAAACACAACAATTATTATTATCAGGGGATTTTACACTAATGATAACATCCATATGAATATTATATTAACTTAATACTACACACTGGGCCTTTAAATATGATTGATTGGGATTTTACTGTACGGCTTTTATCTGACAGCTTTAGTTACAGATCAACATTGAGATATGGGCCAACTGTATATACGGTATATAAATATATATATATATATATATACCGCTTAAAATCAAAGTTCCAATTAATTAAGATACAATAAATGTAAAGCTTCTTGAACTCAAGCACTTATTGTTGCTTTTAAGTAAGAGATCTTCCACTGCTGTCAAGTGTTTGACAGCCTGTGGTTCAAATGATAGTGTTATATCAATGTAGGAAGACCTGTAAGTAAATAAGTCTTCATCCAATTTAATGATTCTGGCTGAAAACCTGAACACAGTGTATATTCACTGAACCTTCACTGATCAACAGCCTCATCCTGCATTAGAAACAACCAAAGAGCTGATAGAACAATGAGAAGAAAACACTGAACCCGTCCACAGACAAGCCTATTAATACTATTATACCTATTCACATCTCATAAATCTATCTGACAGCACTGAGTGTCGTCCTTCATCCTCTGAACACCACGGCCCGACACTGCCCCTCTGAACTCACTCCTCCCACATCCCGTCCACCATTCAGCTCACTTCTTCCGTCTGCAGCAGGAGGTACACGTGTCCTTTTATCAGTGAAACTCTTGATATTGATTTGGGATGGCATGGCTGATAGCTAGCTTGTGTTGTTAAGCATACTGTCAAATTATATTTACTGTTTTATTAACTTTGAATCTTGCTAGAATAACATTAGCTCTCTGTTGCTTGTTGCGTAACATTAGTCGCATCTATGGTTTGTCCTATTTACTGACATTTTAACTGCAACAGAACCTTATGGGATGGTAATGATTCCTCCAGGTATTAGGAAGGACCTGAGGTGTTAACAGGGAAGCAGTTATGGCTTGTAAAAAACGTTAAATTTTGGCATTATCCCTTACATTATTGTTCAAAAATGATTTAAAAAAAAATACATAATACAGAGAGAAAATTGTATATAAAGTTCATAGAAATATCAGTTAAACTCATTTTTGCTCAAACTTCATCCAAATCTCTGGTTTTATACAAACTTCCTGCAGTTATTGTGTTTCACTGTTGTGTTTATCAGCAGCTCCACTTTTATTGTTATACATTAAATATAATATGAAATATCCATAAAATATAGTCAGTTTACTCAGTGATATTAAAGGAAACAGGTTGGGAACCAGTGCTCTTTGTTACTGTGTGGTAGTATTACTGTAGATTTCCACAAGGGGGCGACGCTTTACAACAAACCTCTGTACAGGAACTGGAGGATACTTGAGAGGAGTCGTGCTGCTTTCATCTGCTTCTGACTGAAATGATTATATTTTACATCATTATTAATACATCAGTGTTAGAGCAGCATTTCACTGCTGCTGCTGGAGCTAGTTTGAACCACATTATATGAAGCTGTAGTGAGTAAATAAATATAAATGTATGTATTGATTTATTATATTATTCAAATGTAACTATCTTTTCTATGCTGTGTGTAGCATGAGAGATTGCCTGTATTATGTTTTTGAATGTTATTTTTAACAATCATACAGATTTAATAAGTTTATCTTCTGACAGATTAAATGTTTTTT